TGCACAGATAACACCACAAAAAAGGAATACTCAGAGTGCAAAAAATGATGGTCTGCTGGATGAGACATTAGAACTACAGGCAAAGAAAGCAAAAAAGCTGAGTTTTCCGACCTCGGAACAACCAGCTTTTGATCAAAACACAACAAATATGAAGGATGGCGATGTGGCGGACTCTGCCAAGGAGCAGAGCCGCCCAGCTCAATGAGTCTATTGAGTTACAACTTACAACTGCCGAGGCCTCGGGAACACCCCGACAGTTGAAAAAGTAAAGGCGTTACTACGCCACACTAACCCGATGTTGTTTTCTTAATGGAAACAAAACAATATGAAGAAGAATGGAAAAGAAAAATAAAAGAGTTTGGGTATTTTGATGGTCAAGGGGTGGCAGCAGGGGAGAATATAGCTGGGGGTCTTCTAATGATGTGGAAAGAAGACATTTCAGTGGAAGTTAAGGGTAGTGACCCTCATTTCATTGATGTGCAGATCAAAATGCCAAACTGTAGACAAGCCTGGAGACTGACAGGAGCCTATAGATGGCCAGAAGGAAAGAATAAAAGACTGACGTGTGAAATGCTGGAAAGACTAAGTCAACAGGTTCAACTACCTTGGCTGGTGATGGGGGATTTCAACCTGATCACGGATTACCTTGAAAAGAGTGGCCACAGAGAACCAGAAGCCAAAGAGATGGAGATGTTCAGAGAAACAATTGAACTGTGTAATCTGGAAGACTGTGGCTACTATGGGAAAACTTTCACATGGGAGAATAGTCGAGATGACCATGAATACACTGAGGAAAGGCTCGATAGAGCCTTGGGGAACAAAGAATGGAAAGAATGCTATCCAAACATGGGAGTATACCACCTGGAGAGGTGTGGGTCAGACCACATACCAATTCAGGTTAAACTAGATATGGCAGAGGAGGAAATCACGTGGGGATGGTCCTTCCGCTATGAACCGTTTTGGGAGAGGCATGAGGACTGTAAAAAAGTGATTGAGGAGGAATGAAATCAATCGGGAGGTGGTGGCTCTATGGATCAAATTAAACAATGTGAGGAAAAACTTCTCTCCTGGAGTAAAGAAACGTTTGGCTCACTAAAGCAGAGACGGAAAAGCATTGAAAAAGCCTTAAAGGCTGTGGAAAAAGGAAACGAACAAAAACTATGTTACAGCAGAGGAAAATATTAGAGTAGGAGCTCAATGACATCATCCTCCAAGAAGAAGTAAAATGGAAACAGCGATCAAGAGCGGATTGGCTAAAATAAGGGGATCAAAACACTGGGTATTTCCATAGGAAAGCTACAGAGAGAAGAAGAAAGAATACAATCAGAAGGTTGAATGATGCAGCGGGGAGGACTTATACTGGGCAGCAAGAAGTCACAAGCTGCCTTGTGGAATCCATGAAGAGTTTGTTTACCAAAGGGAATCGAGTGGAGGAGAGTAGAATACTTCCTTTAGTCACCCCTAAAGTGACAATTTATATGAACCAGACTCTCCTGGCACCTTTCACTGAAGAGGAGATTTGGTTTTCTTTGAAATGTATGGGACCAAACAAAGCCCCTGGGCCAGATGGTATGTCAGCTCGTTTCTTTCAGAAACACTGGCACATAGTTGGTCCAACAGTCCTGAATGAGCTATGTGGCTACCTAGAGATGGGAGAGTTCCCAATGATGTTAAACAAGACCCTGATTGCACTGATTCCGAAGAAGAACAAGCCTAGCACACCTACTGATTTTCGCCCAATAAGTCTGTGCAATGTACTTTACAAAATCATGTCTAAAGTACTTGCAAACAGACTCAAATGAGTGTTGAACATGGTTATAGGAGAGCAGCAAAGTGCTTTCATCCCTGGAAGATTCATAACTGATAACACCCTAGTAGCTTTTGAGTGTTTCCATACCATGAAACAGAACACTTGAGCAAAAAAAGGATTCATGGCAGCAAAACTTGACATCTCAAAAGCATATGACAGGGTTGAATGGGGATTTCTAGAAGCTATGATGTTAAAGCTTGGATTTGCAGAAAGGTGGGTAAAAATGATTATGAAATTCATCACAACAGTCACCTATTCTATCTTGGTGAATGGACACAGATCATAGGAGTTTCAACCAGAGAGGGGTCTCAGGCAGGGGGACCCTCTCTCACCCTACTTGTTTCTATTCTGTGTGGAAGGTCTAGCAACACTGCTGACAAATGCTGTTAATTCAGGGAAAAATCATGGACTGAAAACCTCGGCTAGAGGACCAATTATTTCACACATACTCTTTGCAGACGACAGTGTCCTCTTCACTAGAGCTACTCCACAGGAAAGTTGCCAACTAAGGGATATTCTTAAGCTATATGAGGAAGAGTCAGGGCAGGTGGTAAATCTACAAAAATCAGAACTAAGCTTCAGCCCTAGTGTGGACCAGACGAAGAGGAATGAACTGGCTAATATCCTTGGAATGCAACAGGTAGAGTTTCATCAGAAATACTTAGGGTTGCCAACAGTGATGGGAAGAGAGAAAAAGGCTGCTTTCCAAGTACTGATTGACAGGGCGAGAAAGAAAATTAAACATTGAAAGGGGCAGACCTTGTCTATAGCAGCTAAGGAAGTACTTATCAAGTCAATTGCACAAGCTCAAGCTACGTATTCAATGTCTGTGTTCCTAATACCAGAAGGGGTGATATCAGAGATAAGGAAAGCTACTGCAAGTTTCTGGTGGGGACAACAAAAGGAAGAGAGGAGAATCCCATGGCGAGCCTGGCATAAACTTTGCAAGCCAAAGGTGGAGGGAGGAATGAGGTTTAAGGATTTGCACACTTTCAACACTGCACTACTAGGGAAACAGATCTGGAATCTCATCAACAATCCAGACTCCCTAGCAGCTAGAACGTTGAAAGCCAAATACTACCCCAATACAGATGTTTTGCAAGCACAATTGGGATCAAACCCGAGTTATACTTGGAGGAGCATCTTAGCTACTCAAAAAGCAGCAAGGGAAGGAATCAGATGGAGGGTGGGTAACGGATCAGATATAAACATATGGTCATATTGTTGGGTGGCAGGCGCAGAGGAAGCTAATTATAGTGTCACTATGCCTAAACTAGATTCAGGGGGTTTAACAAGAGTGATTGATCTCATTGATCACGAGGCAAGGGAATGGCGGGATAATATGCTGCAGAATACTTTTAACATGGAGGACAGAACAAAAATTCGGGCAATTCTAATTCCTAGGCAACCGGCTAAAGATATCCTAGTCTGGAGTGCGGAGCGAAAAGGGTGCTACACAGTCAAATCAGCCTACAGGCAGCTGATTAAGAAGAAAGACTTAAGAGTCTCCCAAGAAGACACAATGGCAGAAAGGGAAGAAGAGGCTGGAGATCAAAATGCCGAGGTCTATGATCCCATGGACTGGGCTAGACTTTGGAAACTGACGATTCCACCAAAAATCAAGATATTTCTATGGAGACTAGCGCATGAAATTCTACCAACAAACAAGAACATTGAGTCAAGGAAGAAAGAGGCGGCAGTGGAATGCCCTTTTTGTCATTTGGAAGAAACCCAGAATCACATTTTTAGGGAGTGCCAGTGGGCGATTCGCATCTCGAGCTCGTCACTGTTCAAACCCCTATTCGAACTGGAACCAAACCTATCATCTAGCAGCTGGCTATGTGCAGTTATGAATCAGGTGGAAGACGAGGCCTTGGAGAAATTAGGCATCATACTGTGGTCAATTTGGAATGAACGGAATAATCAAATGTTCAATAGGAAGAAAGCGGAGGAATGGGAAGTGGTTGGTCGTGCCCTAATTTACTGGGAGGAATACAAAACACAACACAAATTGGAGGAGGAAGGTCCGAAATAGAAACATACCTGGGAAAAGCCCCCTGCGGGCTGGGTGAAGATGAATGTTGACGCGGCGGTGCTTGAGGGAGGAGGAATTGGATTGGGTGCGGTGGCAAGGGATGCAGATGGGGGTTTCCTCTTTGCAGCGGTGAGACGAGAAAGGATCCACTGGGAACCCGAGTTGGCGGAACTCCGAGCTATTCAATTCGGACTACAGATGGCGGAGGAGCAGCATCTCCGACCAAAGGTGGTTGAGAGCGATTGTCTCGGCGCTATCCAACAAATCCAGGCGGAGGAAATGACGCGACTGGAAGGGGGAGTGATGATTCGGGAAGTGAAAGAGAAGGCGCAGTAGATGGGCTTGGTTAGATGGAATTTTGTCAAACGGGCTGGGAATGAGCCAGCCCATACAATGGCCCACTTAGAGTGTGATTGGGGTCAAGATTGTACTATGGACTCAAAGGCCACCCATTGCTATCATGTCTCTTTTAGACAAGGATGCTTTGATTCATGAATAAACATACAAGTTTCCATAAAAAAAAACATGAGAACTTAACGTTTAGGCCTCGAGAAGTTGAGGAGGAAATAACTTGAGAGTAAGATTTGAGAAATGATAAAAAATTCAGTATGTTACTGGAATATATTAAACTAGGCCAGACATGTAAAAAAAATATGCATAATCGCGAATTATATTTTTCATTAAAATCAGTTACTTGAGCTATCAAATTATGAATTAGATGTGTATTCTTTGACAATTTTTTTTATAACTTCTTCTTCGACAATTTAGTATGAATAAATTAGGGCTCGTTTGCGTTGTGGATTTGAAAAATGAAGGTTTTAGTATAACTTGGGTTTTGAAAAACCATGGATATATGAAGGTTTTAGATTCATTATGGATTTGATAAACACCATTGTTTGTTTGATGGATTTCATGATGGATTTTGTTAATTAAATTTTTATGTATGAAGTGTAATTTACCTTTATTGTCCTCAATGATCTAAGAAGAAAAAGCAAATATGAAGAGTATGTTGATAAAAAGCGATGGACTTCAAAATCCATAATCAATTCCCACCTAAATAGATGGAACTTTCAAGTTTGTGTAGTCCACGAATTTGTTTCACTGCATGAAACAAATAATGGATTTTGGACAAAGTCCATAATGGATTCAAATCCTCGCCTAATCCATCGAGCAAACGAGCCGTATGTGATTTGAAGCAATCGCATTTCATCTGTCATCACGCTGCCGTCTAGCAGAAAAGTTTTGACGGAGGAGCGGCTGCGGCACCACCACAATAATCTCTTCTCAACTTAGAACGCGCAATCGTCTTTCCCCCCACCAAAGCCACCGCCGGGACGCGGAAGCCGGAGATAGTAGTACTCGATACCAATCACGCGGCCAGGATTTCTCATCTCCGAAATCATGACGGACTACGAAGGAGGAAGGTACGAAGCCGACGATTTTAACAACAATATCAACAGCAACGGCGGCGATGGCGACTACGCCGCAGCTGCTAACGCCAGCGCTGGCGTCGCTTCCCCTCAGCCACGAGGCAGTGGCCACGGCGCCGCGGATGACTTGGGCGATTCTAGATCTCAGGTACTCGCGCACACTTTTGCTTCTTTCTTTGTGATGCCATATACGTGTTTGTGATTCGAGATTAGGGCTTTCCTTGGGAGGCTTGTGTGGATGCTGTTTGCTTGATTGAAGACTTCTTTTGATGCTGTCTTGTGCCCCTTGGCGACTGAATTAGGGTTTGTTTTTCCATAATAGAGAAAGGAAGACGGGTGTTTTCTGGGTTGTCAGTGATGATTTTTTGAGAATTTATACCTTAAATTATTGTCTCAATGGAGAAAAGGTAAATTTGGTTTCCGTTGCTGCTATAGTTTGTTAGGTGTAGTTCAGGTATCCTTGCCCGTTGAGTCGCTAAACCATCACAAACTTTTTCAACTCCCCGCAGAAGTTAGGTAAAATGAGTCGATGTGTTTTTTAAAGGCGAGTATTATTGATCACAGCGATGATGTTAACTTGGATCCCAATTAGCTCACTGACTGTTGGCAATATAATTTTAACGGATGGTTGCTTTCATGTCTTAAAGCTTTCTTACTGCAATCTTTATGCATTGTGTTTATTGGACTCTGCAGCATGAATCTCGGGACCGTGAAAGAGAATCATCAAAGAGTAGGGAAAAGGAAAGAGATAGAAGGCGTGACAAAGAGAGGGATCGAGACCGTGAAAGGGACAAGGATAGGGATAAGAGCAGGGACAGAGACAGAGATAGGGAGAAGGACCGTCACCACCGTGATAGAGATAGAGACAGAGACAGAGATCGGCACAGGGATCGTAGTGAACGAAGGGAACGGGGTAGAGATAGAGATGACGATGAGGATCGTCCTCGAAGCCGGGATTATGATAGGTATAAGAAATATAGCCTCACTTGCAGTTTTCAATACGAGTTCTCTTCTTATAGTGTTAATTTGTATTTTTCATTGCTTATGCCTACTACAGGCGCAGAGATCATGATAGGGACAGAGAAGAGAGACGCATACGTAGCTCACGATCTCATTCCAGGGGTCGATCTCCTTCTAAGGGTAGATCTGAACACAGATCAAGGTCACGCTCTCGGTCACGTTCTAAGAGGTATGAGAAAATTTCCAATAAAAGAAAGATAAATAGAATTTTGGATATGAAAAGGTTAACCTCTTACTTTTCTTTTTTGCTGTTGGTCTAGACTAACTGTTCCTTCTTGCAGCAAAAGACCTAGTGGTTTTGATATGGCTCCTGCTGCTCCTGCGATGTTGCCTATCCCTACTGTCACAGGTATATTTACATTCGGACGAACTGAAAATTGTCATGTTTTCTTAACTGCTACTTCTGTTTTGGTTTGGTATAGTGTGGAAAGTGCATATGCAATTTCTTGGTCTCACTTGGTAAGCAGTTATTTCCCCCTATCTGTGCATGTAGCTCTTTAGAGCTGTGGTTTTTAAATGGGCTCTATTATCATTAATGCTTACTTTGGTAATAATTCTTGAACTGAGAGACGTTTTTGGTTTTTCTTGTGTTTGGTGTTTGTTTGTTTTTTCTTGTGTCTTGTCTCTTGTTGTAAGAAGGCAGTGCTGGCTACTTGTCCCACTGTGTTGACAAATGGGTGTGAGCCGACTACTGTAGCTTATATGTAGAAGGAGGAATCAATGCACCGGTTTGATGCTTCTTGTTCGTCTTCAACTGGTGACTATTGCGTGTTTTGGTAGTTTGCGTATATATCCTCCAGAACTTGAATAAATGATGCATTTATGACTTACTGGGTATACTAGACTATTTTGCAGGCTTAGTCATTTACAGGATATAGAACACCATGTATATTATGCAATTTTGTCAAAGTTTACTCATTTTATTCAAATTCTTGTTCTTATACAGGCCAGATTCCAGGGGCTAATCCTGCCCTCGCTGGAATGTTTCCCAACATGTTTCCGCTTTCGGCGGGTCAGGTATGATGCTTATGATACTTTTGTTTGCCATGTCTCTTCTTTTTACTCCCAAGATGCATTTATTTCCTGACATTTGTTCACTTGCAGACATTTGGAACACTTCCTGTAATGCCAGTTCAGGCAATGACACAGCAGGTTGGTGGGGTTCCATTTGTCTGGATAACTTAGTATTTATCAACTTATTCCTCATCTTTTGCTTTGTTAATTATAACGTGCTACTTGGTCTCAGGCTACCAGGCATGCGCGGCGTGTCTACGTTGGAGGCCTTCCTCCTACAGCTAATGAGCAGGTACAAACACTTCCATCTGCTCTCTTTTTTTGTTGTTGCATATAATTTATGAATGACATATTGTGTTGTACTGCAGTCTGTTGCAACATATTTTAATCAAGTCATGGCAGCCATTGGAGGAAACACAGCTGGCCCAGGTATGGCAGAACATCTTTGCAATGGTGTAGTTGGATGTACTATCTTGATTAACATCCTGGTCTTTGTTGTGTTGCTTTTTCCGTTTTAGGTGATGCTGTGGTAAATGTGTACATAAACCACGACAAGAAGTTTGCGTTTGTGGAGATGAGATCTGTCGAGGAGGCCAGTAATGCAATGGCCCTGGATGGTATTATGTTTGAGGTGAGTTGTTCATGTCTTAATTGCTTTCAGTTAGGGTATTAATTATTGATGTGTAATGTATTTTGAACATTTCTTTGCTGTGCAATTGTTTTCAGGGAGCTCCGGTGAAGGTGAGGAGGCCAACTGACTACAATCCATCTCTAGCAGCAGCCCTTGGCCCTAGTCAACCAAATGCCAACCTCAACTTAGGTGCAGTGGGTCTAACCCCAGGTTCTGCTGGTGGACTTGAAGGTCCAGACCGTATATTTGTGGGCGGCCTTCCCTATTACTTCACAGAAGCCCAAGTTAGGGAGTTGTTGGAGTCTTTTGGGCCGCTCCGAGGATTTGATTTGGTAAAAGATAGAGAAACTGGGAACTCGAAGGGTTATGCATTTTGTGTCTATCAAGATGTTTCAGTGACAGACATTGCATGTGCTGCTCTGAATGGAATTAAGATGGGCGACAAAACGCTAACCGTTAGACGAGCCAACCAGGGTGCGAATCAGGCTAAACCCGAGCAAGAGAATGTCCTATTGCACGCCAAACAGCAGATTGCTTTGCAGGTTAATATTTTAAAACTTCAGACATTGTTTTTCCTTCCTTTGTTGTTTTTTTCCCCCCAGCTTTATGTTACTCTCTTAAGCCGTATGTTACAGTTTGCTGTGTTTGGAAGGGTTGCTTATTGGAACCTTCCATCTTGCAGAGACTCATGCTGCAACCAGCACCTACGAAAGTTGTATGCTTAACTCAAGTTGTCACCGAGGACGAGCTGAAAGATGATCAGGAGTATGAAGACATCTTGGAGGACATGAGAATAGAAGGCGGGAAATTCGGTAACTTTCTTCAACTAGTTTTGCACACTGTTTGCCCCCCTGAAACGTGGAGTTCAGTGTAATTAATTTGGTTTGCTCTGTTTGTCTTGTATGTCTGTTTTTTTTTTTGTACAGCCATTTGTAGTCCCACATTCTGCTATAAAGAATCAGGCCTTAACATACAGACTGAAGACTTCATTATACCTCCAATTTATATCCACTTTGAGATTGTCTTATTCCTTTTGTTTCATTCCCTGAAAACTGATGACATGCCATATGTACGTTCACAAATTATACGCAGGTAATTTGCTGAATGTAGTCATCCCCAGACCAAGCCCTGATGGCGCTCCTTCGCCCGGAGTTGGCAAGGTAAGTGTGTACATGATAAACCACCGTGGTCGTCCTTGTTCTTCTTTAACGTCTCGCGCGACCGTCCTGTTGGAAGATGCTGTTCTGTGACTTGCAGGTGTTCTTGGAGTATGCTGACACTGATGGTGCTTCAAAAGCTCGAGCCGGCATGAATGGCAGGAAATTCGGTGGGAATCAAGTGGTAGCCATCTTTTATGCAGAAAACAGATTCCAGGAAGGTGACTACGATGGATGAAATGTGCTTCATTAGTATGTTATTAGGTCAATGAACCCTTTTGACGGGTTAGGAAGGTTGGATGTTTGGTAACGAGGAGAACCCTAGGTTTGTTTTTCTTTTACCATTTGTTTCCCCCCCATTTTTCCTGAATCAAAAAGAGTTGCTAGCATTGAGAGAGTTGCTCATATTACACAGTAGCATGTGTTCTGATTGGACGGATGAGAATGGATGCATGTAGTAGAATCATGTCACGGACCTATGCTATTTTAGTTGCAGGAATACATTTGACTCTTGTGTTGATTGGACCGCTTTAAAACGCTGTATTTACTTCCCCATTGTTGCCACGTACTGTCCAAAGCACGAGACGATGCCGCCACGTGTCTGTCCGGCGACGGTGAGTCACCGACCGGTTTCCTCAAAAATAAATACACTTCTCTGGTTCTCCATCCAGCCCATTTTACTGCACGCGAGCAGAGCTGGAGGACACCAAAATTATCCAGTAGAGCACTGAGGAGGATTATATTGGCAGCAAAATGGGACAAGGCGAGGAGAAGAAGACCCGACCCGACTCCCCAGTCGAGATTCTGGTCGATCAGAGTTCCATTTTTCAGCTGGGCTTTCACCTCTGATCGACAAAGCTTTCCAACTGTTTGCCAATTTTCTTGTTTGTTAATTGCAGGAGCGTGGGGAGATATTCTTCTTCTACAGACCGAGAGTGAACAGAGAAGAAGCTCACAGCCTCGACGACGTCCAGCGCCTCTTCATCGTCCTCAGGCCTGAATCCGGCGACCGACCCACCGAAGACAAGCAGGAACCCGACTCCGGCAAGGAAGGCTCCAAGCGCCGCCACGACTCCTCCTCCTCCCCGAGCGGCAGCAAGGAAGGTGGCCATGGCGTCCAGGTAATTAATTCAAGAGGAAAACCATTGCATAATCACCAGTTACCAATCTAATCATAACCTAAACGCACATCCATGGATGAACACAGAAAGTGAACATCGAGAAGGAGCGGCTGATGAGGTTCATAGTCATGGGGCGCAAATCCCTTCCGGACCCAAGCAAGAACAAGGGCCGCCCCTTTTGGGGCTTCGTCGATCTGGTCACCACCGACCTCGACCACGTCAAGGACGCTCTCAAATCGAGTACGTACCTCGATTTTTCTCCACTCCCCGTCAGTCAATGTAGTCAAAATCACGCTTTAAATCTTAGCTAACGTTTTTACATTGAATCACAATTTTCACTTATAACCATAGTCGGTAACCAAAACTTCTATATAGAATCACGATTTTAACTGCATTGATCTCCATCGACTTTTCTCCCCGCAGGAGATTACGAGACGGCCTCCGGGGGCAAGAGGCACGAGGCGGCGGCTCGAGCGGTGGGGGAAGGAGTGTACCGGATTCTTCGGCACAACCCGGGGAGCAAGAAGATGCACACGCACCTGGTCTACAAGCTGGAGCTGCCGGCGGCGGAGGGGAAGACGAAGAGCCACGAGCCGCAGGAGGCGCTCCACATCGAGAGGGAAGGGTCGTTCGTGATCCAGATCAAGAACCCGGAGTCGGGGTCCGGGTCGGGTTCAGGGTTCGGTGGGCTTAGGGAGAAGCGGAGGGCCCAGTTCCCGGCCCACCTGCAGGGCGGGTTCGGAACCAGCAGGAGGTTCGGGCCGGCTGACCCGCCGGACCTGCTGAATTATGAAGGGTGCGAGTTTCTGATGATCGCGGCGGCGGACGATGTGGAGGAGGAGCTGGGGTTGGAGCTGGAGGTGGAGAACGAGCGGTGGGAGGAAGAAGGGTCGTGTTCCGATCTGGTGAAGGAGTTCGGCGACGTGGTGGCTCCGGCGCCGCTGTTGGAGGGCACTTGGGCTTGATTTAGCTTCCTCGTGTGACCCGAAAGGCTTATCTAATTGTGTGTGTATATGTTTACGGTAGTCTGTACATAGCGTAGCTCGTAGTTGTAATGCCCTCCTCCATGTTTAGGTGGAAGAAGGTAGCTGGTTAGGTGTCTGTGTTGTTATTAGTAGCTGTTTAGGGTGGGGATCAGCAAATTTTGTTGTCGGGAAACTTTGAAACTAAATATCCGTTTGTCTAAAATGAAAAGTTTGCCTACAACAAACATCTGGCCGTCTTAGCTCAGCCGGTAGAGCGCGTGGCTTTTAACCACGTGGTCGTGGGTTCGATTCCCACAGACGGCGTTTCTTCCTGCCAGTTCTTTTTTTTCAATTTTGAATATTTGCCGGTTTGCCCAATATAGCGCGATGGAATTGGGTCTCCTGATCTGATCTCCATTACTGAACCGCGGTGATCACTTGGTGCATTGCAACGGTTTTGGTGCTTGGACGGGTGAATTTGCCCTGCCACTGTATTCGACCAGGTTGCCGGTAAGCAGGTAGGTACAATGATCGGGCCATTTTTGAAAATTGTTGCTCGCGAGGAATTGAATTTAACACAGGATGAAAGATGCTTATCCGTATGATCCTCGGTTTGTGTTTCCATGAAATGCAATTCTCAGCTGTTGGGTTGTGTGTAGTAAAGCAGAAGATTGAATCTTTTGACGATTTCAATGCGATCGAGGGTTAGTTAGGGTTAGGGCTGTTGAAGAATCAAGCTCCGGACGAACGAACGAATGATAGGAATCGAAAATGGTGATCTAAGAAGAGAAAGAAAGGAGTTTGGTTGATTGATTGATTGATTGGAACAGGAAATGGGAGCAGTTTTAAGCGACGCAGCAAGCGGAGTTCATTTCATTCCTTTTTTTTCTCTTCCTCCTGCTGTGCGGTGCAGTCCTGGTGTTCTTGTTCTTGCTGTTCAAGATTGGAATCTGCCAATGTGTAACCAAAAGCCTGTGCAAGATGTGCTGGTCCGGGTTCGCGACTTACTGCTATGCCCTTCACGACACCTCCTGCTGCATATGGCACAAGATGATGCGCACGAACCGGAGGCAGAGGAGGACGAGGAGAGAGTTTCAGGACATTGAGAGAGGTTGTGATGGTGGCTATGATGTTGATAAAACGACGTGGTCATCATTGTCAAGCTCTGCTGGCCGTGGCGGCCATTTGGGTGGCGGTAGAAAGCGGAGGAGGGGTGGTGTTGCTTCCAGGAGGAGGAAGAGCTTCCCTAGCAGGAATGGTCGTCGGATTAGGGTACTGAGGACTGCTACTGCTAAGGATGTATCTGCTGCTGCTGCTGCATCATTGTCGTCGAGGAGGAGATTGAGGGGTTCCGGGCGGCGGGTTCAATTGATCAAAGGGAGGAAGAAACCAGCAGGGAAGAAGGGTATTGGGAGTTTCAAGAGGCAGCGGCTCAAGTAGTGACTGACACCAGTCTAGTGTGTATATACTATATAGTCTCTTCTCGTCAGATCATATGCACAGGCTGTGTTGCCTGAGACTTTTTGGGGAAGATCAGACTGTTATCCTTAGAGAGATTTTTTTTATCTGTTGAGCGACGGTCCTTCCAGTTAGCATCGTCGGATCACTAAGACCGACTTTCGTTCCTGCTCGATGGGTCGGTCTTGCAGGCTGGGACTCCACTGTTGGAATGTGAAGTGACAAAGTAAGAAGATCATGGTTGTTGTATAGAATAGTGGCAATCTTTTTTTATGGACCTCAATTCATTGACCTTGTGTCCCTATCCAACTTGTGGTTGGACTAGATATGTAACTTTTGGCTGCACTTGATAGAACCGTTGTAACTTTGTGCATGTCATTATCTAGATTCAGTTTGTGATCAGAGGACAAGTAAAACCTTAGTCATCAAGAAACATACACGACTCATAATATATTCATATAATTGTATATGAAATTAACTACTCTGTATAACTTTCAATTAACACATAAGTAATTTTTAAAATTTATTGGTTGATCTACGAAACTATTCATTTAGCTACATTACAAATTCTACAATTTTCAATTCACACATTAATATTTGTTCGTTCGTCTATTAATAAAAAATATTATTCATTTAATTACATAACAAATTCTATCAAATATTTTATGAAAAAAATGTTAAGGGGTTGATTTTCCATACGTGACTTTATAACCTAAATTCCTTCTTTATGGAGGTCGTCAATTTTTTTTTTGGGTGATAAACCCTTCTAAATCCCTTGTTTCCTCCTAATTTTCAGCTTTATAAACCCTACTCCAGCCGGATTTGATTCCTCCCGCCCCATCTTCCCTCGCCGCACCGTAAAGGAAAACTCCGGAGAGTTCTTCCCTCTCTCTCTCTCTGTCTCTCGGATTGCGTCTTAGGCCGCCGGTGCTCGCTATTGCAGCTGCAGAAGCAGGGAGGGCAATTGTCGGCCGCCTCTCGCCTGCTGTTTGCCGCTACTCCGTTCCTTAATTATTGTGTCTACAATTTGCTTGTTGTAGCTGGGTTTGGTGCATGAACTTCAGTTCGCCTGCGCAGTGAGGTTGCTTTTCAGGTAACGTGATCTGACCTGAATTAGTAGCAAATGTAATCTGGCTTGGTCTTTTGACTCGTTTCTTGATGCTATTCGACAATGTTAGTTTGACGTGGAACTGTTATGGTGAAATGGAAGCTGAAAAATTGAATCTTTCAGTTGTGGGCGGACACCCAATCTCTATGGAGATATGCTGAAGTTGCTTGTGACGATAAAGTTTCCTCCTTGTTGTTATTACCACTTACCCTGTCTTAATTTCCTTCTCCTATATCTGCATTAGCACTGTGCACCCTTCCAAGGCTACTGAATAACGGGCTTGGCAGTTGGAGTTGAAGGAAACATATAGTAGAGAGCGAAATGGAAATCGATTTAGGAGAAGTTCCGTTTAATATGGCCTTCCATCCGTCCGATAACTTGGTCGCTGCTGCCCTAATCACTGGATACCTCCACCTGTTAGTTCTCTTGTCCTCTGCTCGTTTGCTCTGGTCATAACTTTGGAATTCAGAAATTCTGTGGCATTTTACTCATATATTTGAATTTCATGTTTGACGCAGATATCGTTATGGTGCTGACTCCACTTCACAGAAGTTGCTGGAAGTGAAGGCACATACTGAATCTTGTAGAGCTGTTCGATTCATCAATGGTGGACAGGGTAGGTAAATCAGACATGTTCCATTATCCGATAGGCTCCTACATTGTTTCCTCTGCCGTCACTTGTGAAGTTTTGGTATTTTTAGTTCTCTAAAGTGAAATTTGTTATGTGATTTCAGCAATGATTACTGGGTCCAAGGATCGATCTATCTTGGCAACAGATATAGAAACTGGAACTGCTATTGCCCGTCTAGAAAATGCTCATGAGTACTACTCTTATTATCTATTCTTCTTTTGTTTTTTTAAACGTTCTTCAGAATGTCTGGAATGGATATTTGAGTGCTCATTTTATCATCATAAACTTTCATTTTATTCCATTTTGAGTGAGTATAGACATTTTCTTATTTCCTTAATTTTGGTACTTGGTGTAGGGATGCCATCTATAGTTTGATCAACGTCACCGAATCAACTATTGCAACTGGAGATGACCAAGGCTGCATGAAGGTTAGCATCTTGTCTCTCTCTCTCTCTCTCTTCGATCACACATTTGCTCATCTTTTTGACATCAAGACGACTTCTCTGATTAGTGAGTGTAGGACTGTATAGGACAAATGCTTTAGGATTGCTTTCAATTCTTCTTTCAAATCCTGTTCCTTGATATTTTGTGTTTGTGTTGAAGTGCTTGATATATTGCCTTCTACACAAAGAGCAACCTTTGATCTGACTTGCATCCTTGTTCTTGATTTTTAGGTATGGGACACTCGGCAACGCACTTGCTGCAACTCTTTTACTGCTCACGAGGACTATGTTTCAGATATGACTTATGTACCTGAGTCAGGGAAACTGCTGGGAACAAGGTTTTATTCAATTCTGTAGTTTTGTTTCGTGAAAAGGCTAGATCGTATTGGGTTTTTTTCATCCCTGTGGTAATGTTCTCTGATTCTTATGGACTTTTTTCTTACATTTTTGTAGTGGAGACGGGACTCTTTCTGTTTGCAATCTTAGAAGTAACAAGGCAAGCATTTCTCCTATCTGATGGTATACAGTGTCCCAAAATCTTGAAAGTTCTTATCTCTTACCTTTTCCTTGTTGCCTCCCTTAGGTCCAAACCCGCTCTGAATTCTCAGAAGAAGAGCTCCTATCTGTGGTTATCATGAAGGTAACTTTGACCTCAGATTTCTGTTATTATCTGAACATGTTGTTACATCCAATAACTGATTCTGTCTCAGAATGCTAATGAAATTACTTCTATCGGAGTTATTTCATTCTGTGTGATGTACATGTACTATATTCTACATGATGACCGTCCCATTTGAATTATTGAAGTACTCCAGGAGTTGTAGGAAAAATATCCCCTTGGTTGGGTAACTGCAACAAGTATTGAGCTTTGAATTAGTTGGTTTGTGCTAACTTGGAACAATTTGTGTTTAGAATGGTCGGAAGGTTATCTGTGGCTCACAAGATGGGACACTATTATTATATTCGTGGGGGTTCTTCAAGGATTGCAGGTATGTTGTTTTGGACTAAAATCAGAAGATTTAGGCCATCAATTACTTCTAGTCTTTTTCCTGTGATTGTGGGCTGCAATTTGCTCATTACTGAATTGGACCAATGTTGTGATTTCCAGTGATCGCTTTGTTGGTCTAGCTCCAAATTCCATTGATTGCTTATTGAAGGTGAACATCCGAACTTAAATCTTCGATATGTTACTTGCATTGTAAGGCAATTGGGCTTAAGTTATGAGAAACTCTTCTTGTTTTTAGTTGGATGAAGATAGAGTCATTGCTGGCTGCGAGAATGGACTCATCAGGTGACTTCCTGCAAGTTACGGGTGATGTCCCTAGATTTTGGGCTGTTGTTCTGATGATCAAATGTCCTCTTTTGCTCACTTGGTTGCTTTTCTATTATGCCTCTTTTCAGTGTGGTTGGTATATTGCCCAATAGAGTCATCCAGCCTCTTGCTGAGCACTCAGAGTACCCTATTGAGCGACTTGGTACATTGTCTTTCTCTCTTTCACAGTCTAATAGATCCTTGCAGAGATACCGTCTGTCATGCAAAATCAATGCTCATCTGGCCTTAAATTGTTTTGTGGGTGGGTGCAGGGTTTTCTCATGACAGAAAGTTCCTCGGCAGTATCTCTCACGATCAAATGCTGAAGGTCCTCTCTCTCCCCCCTTCTCCCCCTGCTGGTGATTCTGATAATAGAACATGCTGATCTGCATATCTATGCCTCCTGACATCCAATTCGTTTTTTCTCCCTCCGATGTTTGCTTTCATCGCAGCTGTGGGACATGGACGAGTTATTGCAAAGCGATGAAGCTAATAATACTCAAGAGGATCAAGGTGATGCGTCTGAAGATGATGATGGTGATGGGATGGATGTGGATATGAATCCTCCCAAGTCCAAGAAAGGTATGTATACGTTCTTATACGAACACACTCGAACTGCTCGTGTCGTGCTATTGGCTATTCCTTCTGGTAGAAAATGTTGTTCATGATGCTCCTGAACTTTGCAGGCACCAAGAGGAAAAATGGGCAAAATGGCAGTAGCAGTGGCAGTACAAGTGCCGCCTTCTTCTCTGAAATGTAGTACTTTCACAAACCATAGTACCAACTTGTCTTGTATCTCTGTAATTGAGAGTTATGGAGAAGTTAGGGGACCAAAGATTTTATGGAAATACTGCTCTCATTTTCTCAGCATTGGTTTAAGATTCATACGGATTGCCTGTGTGACGACAACGTGTTGTCGCGAAACCATTATGTTTCGTACGTTATCTAAAATTTCGAAAATGATTGAATGTTCTCGTAATAACTAACGCACCAAACTCGAAATTGCTTTAGGGAGCATTTATACACTATGCATTATTAGTATTGAGTGCCATGTTTTTAGAACAAGAACATGAGAGTTTGTTATATCAATCCGCGGTTCAAAAATTATTGAAAAACAATTGACTCAAATTTTTTCTATTGAACAAATATTGGAATGTCAATTCCTTGATTTGCTAAAATAATTAATATAGGTCCTTAGTCTAAAAACAAAAGTTTTTTCATTGAAGTAATGAAAACAAATTCCCCCGATAATGTGAAATATCCTCCCTAATCGCCACTTTAAGTGATTCCGAAATCAAGCCAAACCACGGAATTGCCAACCTAGTTGCACGGTTGAAACCGAGGACAATCTACCTCCGGAATCACTCGAAAGACGGAACGATGACCGGAACGATCCGGTCATCACATGCCAAACCTGCCCCCACCAATTGAGCTATCTAACCAAAACAAAATATTTTTCCTCTTTGTAGTTAAGACTTAAGACTAATTACTAACATACCGTTTGGTATAAATGAATTCCATAAGTTTTGAGAAATTCATTTTGAAATGAAACACTTTTGTGTTTGGTATTTAAAAGAATTCATTTTCAATTCTAAATTCTATGGAATTAGAACTAGTTATAGCAATTCCGAGAAATTGAGATGAAATTTCCAAATGAATTTCCCACGTATTTACTAATTATAATATGTAATGATATAATTATTCTCTTTTATTAACTAAATTACTTATACATATGACATACCAAACACATGAATTCGTTTGACAATGAATTCTACACGGCAATTCATTCTGTTTCTAAAGATTTGAATATAACATACCAAACATAAGATTATTTGACAATGAATTCTACATAGTAATTCAATTTACAATGAAATAAATTATCGATTCATTTGTTACCAAACGGTCTATAAGTGTTAAGTCAGAATCTAATCAGAAAAGAAGTGAGGTCAAGAGTTTAACGACAGCCTAACCAAAAACTAACGGTAGGGGCTCGATTGAGAACTGTCACATAGATCAGTGACCTACATTAAATACCTGATAATTCAGTAACTTAATTAGCATTAAAAAAAACGTCAGGTATTCCACGTCACGATACGGTGGGGACCACGATCATGATGTGGCATCGTCCCATTCGTGAAGCTGACACGGCGTCAGGCAGACGTGGACGCACGGGAACGGAATATACTAGAGAGGACAGACGGCGTGAGTCAATAGACCTTTTAATTATTTAATAAATTATAAAAAGGTAAATTTATCCAAACGAGCAAACGCGAAACAAAAATCACAACAAACCCTGACCCCGACGAAAAGATTTACCATTTCCGTTTGTTTCCTTCTCTCCGAGTGAGAAACGACTGCAGATTTTCCTGCACAGAGAGAAAGAGAAGCAGGGCCGGCCGACCATTGGCGAGGATCGGAGGTGCTTTTGCTACCGTTGAACTTCTCGTAATCGTTGAATTCCTTCGGCTATCGGCGGTTTATCTATGTGGAATTCGCTATATTCTCTGCATTTTCCTGAAAGGTAGCCTTACCTTCTTCTACCGTTACCGCTCTGTGCTAGCTCATGATTTCTCTTCCCTCTCGTGGTTTATGATCTCGAGTATGCATGCGGATGCGAGTGATTTCGTCGATTTACAGATCTTTGTTGGTTTCTGTGTTTGGAAATCGAGTGAGGGGAACGTAGTCGGGCTTTGATTCGTGTAGATCTTAGGGTTTCAAATGCTCTTGCGGTAGCCCGGATCTTGCCTCGTCACTGATTTGCCTTTTTCCGAAGAAATGTAGGGATTTGTGAAGGTAGGTGGGCGTATATTGGTTAAGTCAGGTCTGAGAGAAACCTAGTGTGGGCTGGAGTGAGGGACATATTTTTCCTGGCGATCAAACAGAAATTGGCTGCTGCCAATCTTTGAGGATAATGGTTTTGCTGAAGGCAATAATTTTCTTGCCGGGAACATTGTCCTAGGATATGAAGATTATAGGCTGAGCTGAGCAGCTTGGAGCGATTATCAGTAATTTTTGTTTTGTAAAGGTGAAAACAATTGTGAATGGCTAGGCGCAAGGCTTGCAGAAATGCTAATCGAATAAAGGCACTAATTTTCTTGCCGGCAACATTGTCCTAGGATATGGAGATTAGGCTGAACTGAGCAGCTTGGAGCGATTATCAGTATTTTTTTTTTGTAAAGGTGAAACAATTGTGAATGGCTAGGCGCAAGGCTTGCAGAAATGCTAATCGAATGAAGGCTCTATGAGTTTTGAGTGCTGCTATTCCACGATTTTACTGAATCAAATTACTTGAGGAATGGAAAGATGTGGGGATTATGCTGCTAAGAATTTTCCTTGTCAATTGCATTGTAAATGCACTGTCTCGGAATTGCAATTTTTCCAGACTATTTAATTTTTGTTGTTTCTTTGATGTGTCATCAGTATAAGCGAATCTAGAGTTTCTAGTTCTCTGTCTGTTTGGTGTCCTAAACATCTATATTGGGGTCTGGTTGACGTAGTTCAAGAATCCTGCTTCCTTTTGTTGTACTTTATAATTGATCCTCTCTCATTAGCTTATGTGTGGATGAGATTTGTATAGTTCCATTTGCACATATTATATATCTTGACTTGGATGTTCACATTTTTTTTCCCTCTCTTTCAGGAGTTAGAATGAGTCCCTGAGATCTTTCAGCCATATGGATCTGCTTGTCACAGCTATAGTGTAACCCAAACAGCAGCATTTCCAGAAAAGTACTCTTCCTATAAAATCACCACCTGCAACATATCTTTCAATTGAGAAATAAGATTAATTCAAAATTCAGCGACCTGCATCAGGGGGCGATTTGCCCCAAACTGCTGAGAGCTATTTTGCTGTAGCGCGAAGAGTGAATTCCTCTAGCGCAATGATGATGGGGGAGGATGTTGAGGGTGGGAGCTTGGGTTCATACCAAGAGAGGCCAAGGACTTTCCCCAATATGCGTAACAAAGCTTATACTCCACTGGTACGGAATTCAATGTCGCCATGTTTTTTCTTTTTCTTGATGTTGTAAATTTTTTTTTCCCCATTCTTCGCGATTTATTTTGTAAAGGTGTGGTGATCTGGTGGGATTTTCTTCAAAACCATCTGTAGATGTCCCATATACCGATTCCTATTTTACTGAATGGTTATTGGCATTTTCTATGTTTTTATTATTATAGCCAGTTGTTGGCTTCCAAATTACATTACTTTATGTCTGAAGTGGATTTCTTCTCCATATAGTCCTAGATCTCTCCTTATCACATGAGACTCACTTTATTTAAGCTTCTACTAACCAGTAGTAAGTGCGTTATGGCTGGGTTGAGCTATGGATTTCATGCGAGACATGACTGCAAGCAATTGTGTATATGCAATCCATGAAGATGTTGCAAATACATAAGCAAATATGGTAACAGCAATATGTTGAAAAGTTTTTCCTAGTTATAGTTCTGTTGGGGTCTTTCTAGACAATGCTCTGACAAGGATAGGTTTTTAAACCAATATTCGTCCTATTTATTTTCGCCATTTCCGCTCTAGATGATCTATATTCCAGCAATATGCTGATATGTTTAATTCATGAACTTCATTTCTTCTTACGGACAATAGAGCTCAGCAGGCTTGTCTAAGAATCATGTTGGTCCATTGCTTTATTTATAACTATCCTCTCTCTTAGGAAGCTGCATGGTCAGTAATTATTCTGTTTGAGCTATTACCTTGTGCTGATATTATGTTTTCCTTCTCTTTCTTTTTCCCCTGCAGATCTTTCGGATCCTCATGGGGATTAATGTCCGTGTTCTATTTATACTTCTATTGTTGACTATGGGGCTGATTTTTTATATTGGAGCATGTACTTCTGGAATTATTGTGTTTGTATTCACAGTTTGCATCATCAGCTTCCTTATGTCAGTATATCTTACTAAGTGGGTCCTCGCAAAGGATGAAGGGCCTCCTGAAATGGCTCAGGTACATTGACACTTTTGGTTTCCTGCTTCCTTGACAACCTCTATCAATCCAATTTTAACATTATGTCTTGGTCTTTGCTGGAATATGAATAGGGTTGCAAGTTAAATTTGTCGGTTTTGTATCGTTTAGGCTTGTATGATGCACGTTGTTTATTATACTGACACTAGTTACATGACTGGTTGCTTGTGGACAGTTCAATTTAGTGTTTTTTGTTTTTGTTATTTTCTACTTAGTTTTCATTTCTAAAGAGAAAGTTAGTTGCAACCTTGTGAGGATGCATTACAAATTTCACTTAGCAAACATCCTGAGCCTTATTATCCTAATTTCTAGATATCAGATGCCATACGCGATGGAGCTGAAGGTTTCTTCAGGACACAGTATGGAACTATATCGAAGATGGCAATACTACTTGCTATGGTGATCCTCTGCATATACTTGTTCCGTAGTACAACTCCTGAACAGGAAGCTTCTGGCGTAGGGAGGTAAATTCCTCTGCTAAAATATCATTGGTAGTGTCTATTGCGGAGTGCCTTGCCCATGGTGACAATTTTTGTGGTTTTGCTTCATCATTGCAGGTCAGTAACTGCATTCATCACTGTTGTTTCATTCCTCTTAGGAGCACTTTGTTCAGGTGCTGCGGGTTATGTTGGAATGTGGGTGTCAGTTCGTGCAAATGTTAGGGTCTCTAGTGCTGCAAGACGGTCAGCAAGGGAGGCACTGCAGGTGGTCCTATTCTACAGCTTGTCTTTTGCTAAGTCTTTTTATCATCTATTTTCTATCTAACAAGTTCGAATTGTCTACTCTGTATTATATGTGTAGATTGCTGTTCGTGCTGGTGGGTTTTCTGCAATGGTGGTTGTTGGAATGGCCGTTATTGGAATAGCCATCCTTTATGCCACATTCTATGTCTGGTTGGGAGTGGATACCCCTGGGTCAATGAAGGTCACAGAATGTGTGTAACTATTTCTTTTCCTGCAACTTCTTTGGACACGATTAATATGCCTCAACTTGAATCAGTTTTCATTTCTTCATGAATTTAATATCAACATATTGATGGATTTAGTCCATCGTGGAAATAGTGAGAGAATCAGGTCAGCCATTATTTGACTGATATCTTTTGGCCTTTTGTGTAAGAACATTTTATCCTGAATTCACTTCAGAATCCCCAGTTGCTACTTGTCTTTCATAGTGCCTTTGTAGCTGGATCTATGGGATGTATTCTGAAGGCATGCATCTTTGTTTGAAAGAAGGATTTGCGTGGATGGCAATAGTTTGTTTATGTTTGTCTGTGTACTCTCTATTTACATACCCAATGGCTACCATTTTCCTCATAGAGCGATTTGCTTTTTTATAATTGTTATGGTCGTAGTTACATGTTAAGTACTGAATTTTTTCTTCTTTCAGTGCCTCTTCTGCTTGTTGGATATGGTTTTGGAGCCTCCTTTGTCGCTCTCTTTGCCCAACTAGGCGGTGGAATATTCACAAAGGCTGCTGACGTTGGCGCTGACCTTGTTGGAAAAGTGGAGCGTGGAATTCCTGAAGATGATCCTAGAAACCCTGCAGTCATTGCAGATCTGGTATTAAGTTCTCTTTTGTTACCTACTTACTTGAGTATGTTTGCTCTTGTGATTTCAGCATACTTGTGATAACTGCAATTATTTCTTCTTTTTTACTGATTTGTGTTCAACTTAAAATGTATAGTAGAGTGGACTTGAAAAGGATTGTTAGAATTGTCATGAGTAAATATGGTTGAACTGCAATAAGATGAACAAAAGGTATTTGTATAGTGTTCTTGTTCTGTAGTCGAGGAAAGGAGGATGACCATTTGATAAGACTAGTTTCTTTCCCTCCTTTTCTGCCTCCTTTTTATGCTTTGGATTTCAATTCCAGATGCTTTGAAAGGAACCAACACAGTGTAGTACTAAGAGGAGTGCAGACTTCTGCGAAATTTTACGTAGAAATGGTGTCTGCTCGCAATTAGTATGTTAACTTGCTCAATTTCTCCTTTCATTCTCCCCACTTAAATTATTGGTTGGAAAATATTTATCACATTTACGAAAAGCATAAAGAACTTCAAATCTTTTTCTTTCACTTAAAGTTTCAACTCCTTTTACTTAAAAGGTACAGCCAAACCCAACTCCTTTTCCTCGACCCCTATTAGGCTATTATTATGCCATTGGATTATAGAGTGGGTTCTTTCTGCATTTTTGTTTTTTAGTCCAGTGAGTGTATTTCAAGGTTGCTTTGATCTAGTGGCTAAGAACCTTTGGAAGCGAGCAGAGAGTGAGAAATGGAGTTGCTTGGTTTCTCTAAATTCTTGTTGCATTAGTTTGATGCATTGTTTTCTCTTCTATTTGTTTTGTGATATGCTTGACTACTCACCGACAATATTTGAATCAATCACTGTGTCCTTTAGGTTGGAGATAATGTTGGTGATTGTGCTGCTCGTGGAGCCGATCTGTTTGAAAGTATAGCAGCTGAAATAATTAGTGCCATGATACTTGGTGGGACAATGTCAAAACGTTGCAAATTAGAAGGTAAATATCTATGTTGCTAAAGTTATGGCTATCGCGCCAACTATTATAGCTGACCTGAAATGGCTAGTCATATTATGAGCTACTTACCATTATTTAGTCATCTTGTACGGGATCTGAAAAACAGCATGCAATTTCAATCACCTCAAACCTTGACCTGTCTGTTAGTTTATTTCTTATTTGTTGGCCTTATTCCTGTCCATTATTCTTGCAGATCCATCTGGCTTCATCTTATTTCCTCTCGTTGTTCATTCATTTGATCTGGTTATATCTTCAATTGGAGTACTCTCAATTAGGGGTACACGCAATGCTAGTGTGAAGTCTCCTATGGAGGATCCGATGGCAATCCTTCAGAAAGGATACTCTATAACGATAGTTTTGGCTGTCCTGACATTTGGTGCGGTAATGTTTCTTCTAGATTTATTGCTGGAATTGTCTTCATGTAAATTTTGAACCACTGCTATTACATTATACAGGACCCCAAACTGAAGTCTGCATAATTGTGGATTTCTTACTTTTTTGCAGTCAACCCGTTGGATGCTTTATACAGAACAAGCACCTTCAGCATGGTTTAACTTTGCCTTGTGTGGGCTGGTTGGCATTATGACTGCCTATGCTTTTGTCTGGATCACCAAGTACTATACTGACTACAAATATGAGCCTGTACGCTCCTTAGCTCTTGCTAGTTCCACAGGTCATGGAACTAACATAATTGCAGGAGTTAGTTTGGGCCTGGAATCAACAGCTCTTCCTGTTCTTGTCATCAGCGTAGCAATTGTTTCCGCCTTTTGGCTTGGTCAGACCTCAGGTTTGGTGGATGAATCTGGGAACCCTATTGGTGGATTGTTCGGTACAGCTGTGGCAACGATGGGAATGCTCAGCACTGCTGGATATGTTCTAACCATGGATATGTTTGGCCCTATAGCTGATAATGCTGGTGGAATCGTGGAGATGAGCCAGCAGGTAAAGCTTTATCTCTGTGTTTTCTTAGTTGATTATGGAATCTTTAGTAAGTACCCTGGGTGTTGAGTTTGGGTGCTTTCTTCCTTGCTACCTGGTATTTACTAATTGTAAATATTAACCTAAATTATTAGCAAAAAATTTGAATTTGAAAGTCTGTTTTTATCATGAGTCTTTTGCAGCCAGAAAGTGTGAGAGAGATCACTGATCTGCTCGATGCTGTTGGAAATACGACAAAAGCCACAACAAAAGGATTTGCCATCGGATCAGCTGCACTTGCTTCTTTCCTCTTGTTTAGTGCTTATATGGATGAGGTTTCTACTTTCTCCCAAGAGGCTTTGACTCAGGTAACATGAATTCATTAATTTCCAAAGTAATTTCATCTTTGGATGCTACTCCTACACTTATTTATACTAGCTTTATTTTTGCGCCGGATGTTATCTCATAATTTTGAATTGACTGCCAGGTTGACATTGCCATTCCAGAAGTTTTTGTTGGAGGGTTGTTAGGGTCGATGCTTATTTTCTTGTTCAGTGCATGGGCTTGCTCAGCAGTTGGCCGAACAGCTCAGGAGGTTGTTAATGAAGTCAGAAGGCAATTCATTGAGAGGCCAGGAATCATGGTGGGAATACCTTCCCTCAACATATTCCAGTGACTACTGATATATAATTTTCTTACTTGATGTTCCCAATATTTTTTTCTGACATGAGCAAACAGGAGTACAAGGAGAAGCCAGATTATGGTCGCTGCGTCGCAATCGTGGCATCTGCATCTCTGAGAGAAATGATAAAACCTGGTGCTTTGGCTATTATATCTCCTATGGTAGTTGGTAAGTGTTTAGCTCGACTTCTCACTTGGTGACCGTGATGGAGTCATCGACGAAGAAAAAATTGAACTATTTATTCGCGTACTTCAGGTGTTGTGTTCCGGATCCTGGGGTATTACACAGGACAACCACTTCTGGGAGCTAAAGTCGTGGCTGCAATGCTGATGTTTGCAACGGTGTCCGGTATTCTCATGGCTCTGTTCCTCAACACAGCTGGTGGCGCATGGGACAACGCTAAGAAGTACATCGAGACCGGAGTTCTTGGAGGCAAAGGGAGTGAGTGTCACAAAGCCGCAGTCACAGGGGACACGTAAGCATCATGATCCCATCTCACTGTTGATTTGCCTTGCCTCTCTTGTACGTGTGACCCTAAACGCGCTCTGGTTTCCTCGCTTTGCTTTGCCTTGCCTTGCATTGCAGCGTCGGAGATCCTTTCAAAGATACAGCGGGGCCATCTCTTCACGTCCTCATAAAAATGCTGGCGACGATCACCCTGGTCATGGCTCCCATCTTTCTGTGAGAGAAGAATTGTAGTGGGGGAAGTTACTGTCTTGCAAATACAGAGAGGTAGTTTGATTTTTGATTGGATGTAAATGTAGTGGAGGAGGCTTGTCACTGAAGCAAACTTGGGTAGGACGGACTGACGTTTCGAGTTTCGCCTTTTTTTCGGGAAAACAAGGTCATAAGGAGATGAGGTTAGGGGATGGTTTTCGCGCATACTTCGTCTTTTTGTTTGTGCATGGTCTGAATCCGATAACTAGACTTATACCTCTGCACTAGTCGATGGAACCGTTTCGTCTAATCAATTGTGGTGAATTCAACAATGGATTTGGAGGATCGTCGACGCCACGAATTGGTTATCGTGCCCTTTCGATTGCGATCATCACTACCGGTGTGGCTGAATTCGCTTGAAGGGGCTCGATATAGTACGATATCACTTTGGATATAATCCACAAATTAACTGTGTTTGTAAAACTGCACCGTATCGACAGTCTGACCGAGAAGAAAAATAAACCTTCTATGAAAGTCTAGACTAATAGGTGTTTTTTTTTAATCAACCATGAAACCATGAAAAAAATAAACCTTTTTTTTAGTAATAAACAGTTAGTTAACAAGCTTTTTGAACGAGCTCAAAAGCTGGAGTGGTTGGGACTCGCTCCGATAAGAGAAGAGAAAGCAACACGAACCAAAAGGCTTATCGTCTCGCTCGCTCGCTCGCTCACTGAGGAATGTCCATCTCAATTGCTGCAACTGCGACCACCGCAATCGTAACCAGAACCAGCGGCGGCCGTGTCGGCCATGGGAGGAGTAGTAGTAACAAGAACTGCAGCTTCTTCTCCTTCCGAATTCGCTGCTCTGATTCCAATCCGAAGCGCGGTTTCGGTGCGCCTTCCGACAATAACAAGGCACCTTGCTCCTATCTTTCTTCTCTCCATTTCCATTGTGATTTCGTTATGCGTTTATGCTCATCTTTGACCTCCTTTCGTTGAATTTCAGACGTCCGCAGCGGAGAAAGGCTCGAAGAGACCGCAAAGGTATGCCGTAAGGAATTCGCGCCAATTATTTGGTTTGCAATTGAGAAATCGATGTTTTTAACTATACGTTTTCCCTGATGCAGGAAATCGAATAAACAATCTGGTTCCTTGCCTACGCGTAAGTGCATAATTGAGAAACCTGATCTCTTCATTTGAATTTATTTATCTTTTGATTTCTGTGGATGGAAACTGAGTAGTGACGAGATGGATTTCCACTGTCCAGAAGAATGTGTGATAGCATTTGAACTTCATTTTTGAGATCGAGTTTTTTGGTAGTCCATGTAGTGATTTGCATTCCTGGCTTAAGTTTAGCTTTGTTGCTGTCCGATGAGTCTTCCCGTTTCATGCTTAGTCGAATATCCGGGATGCACTCTTCTTTCGAGTTGCTTACAAGAATTTTCCATGCAGAGGCACCTGGTTTAAGTGCAGGTTTTGATGGGAAGCCTAAAAGCAGTACTGCAGACTTTGATTTTGAGGAGCGGCTGCTCGCTGTTAGAAGGTGAGATGCAGAGCGCTTATAGTGTTAACATTACATATTGGTTTCAACTGGCACTATTACCTCATTTGATGACACCCACAAGAGTAGGGTGGTATCTGTTGTAGATCTCATATAATACATGTGCATGGGGCGGTCTGTTGGAATCTAGACATGCTATTTCGGCTTATGAATAAGGAACAGCATAAGTTGTTATGATGTGTCTCATTGGGTTATAATTCAACTTGAATGAATTTGAAAAAGGTATCCCTTGTCAGAAAAAAAAAGTTTTAGTATCGGATATTGCAGTGTACATGAAGAACCGTCTCAAACATATCTGTTGATTCTTTTTCCTTAGGTCGGCACTTGAACAAAAAAGGGCGGATGTGGTCAAAGAATTTGGACCAATTGACTATGATGCACCAATTGAATCCGAAAAGAAGACGATAGGAACTGGTACTAAGGTGAAATATCTTATATTTTCCATTCGTGTTTGTCTTAGATAATTATTGATCTCGACTAGCTACGCTGAAAGTGACCAGCTCTAACGTTTGCTGTCCAACAGATTGGAGTAGGAGTAGCTGTTCTGGTCTTTGGTTTGGTGTTTGCTCTTGGAGATTTTCTTCCGACAGGAAAGTATGTATCTGTGTCACTAAATCTTTGTTTGTTGGTCTTGAAGCTGTTTTAGTTCAAAAGACAGATTTGACTAGGAGAACTGAAAATTCAGAGAAGTGATGTGTTCTTGAAATTCATGGTTACCATTTACCACCTCTTTTTTATTTTACTTTACAAATAATATGTTTCCTTTTTATTCTATCGAGAATGAATTAGCAAAGTCTTGAAACAATCAGCGTTCTTAAGACCCTATCACAATGCAGTCTTTCGTTTGGAAACCTTGGTCAACCAGTGATGATCTTGCTTGTGAGGCTTCATGGTAGTGGTTGGAAGATGAAAGGAGGGTTAGCCATTATAGGCTGGAAATGCCATTACAGTTACATGCCTGTATAGAGAGATGCAACGTTGTTATTTAATCTTCTTCAATTTGGTGGAGCTACTGAAAGTGTATGATGCTTTGCAAAACAAGAGGACCTGTCATGCTCAAAAGAGTTTTTAAACCTAAAAGATGATAAAATTTTCCGAGGAAGCAATCAGTATGATGAGTAGTTCTGGTTTTTTCTCTCTTACTCATTTTTCTACCACATAATGCAAACCAAGTTACGTCATTTGAATGTTTCCTTCTACTTTTCAGTGATAGTACCACTCAGGAAGCCATGGTAGTCAATAAAAAGTTGCCTGAAGAAGAGAAAGCTACTCTTGAGGTATGTTTTGTGGGACTGTCCCATTTTTCTTTTTCTGAACAGTTTAGCTCTGATGAAAAATAATCATCCTTCAGCCAGTTTTATTGGTTGGCATTTGATGACATTGACAAAGTGTAAAAAGTCGGTTTGTATCCAGTGATACGAATTATCCATTTTTTGTCAGTAGAATTTTAAGTGCCAATTCACCTATCTGCCTCATATTCAGTTATGCCATTATGTCACACAATAGGTGTCAGTAACACCTCCCATGTTCTAGTTATAGAATTCTAATTTCATCTTCTTATTCTGCGGCAGAACAGATTGAAACAATATGAGTCTACACTCAGCATCTCCCCAAAGGATCCGGTTGCACTTGAAGTGAGTATTGAAATGTTATGAATGGTAGTTGACCTTCTTGCTTCTTTCCAACTCTACTCTTCTCCTCTCTGTATTTCTATGATAGTTATTTAATTTCCATTTGATATTGATCTGTGGCAGGATGTTATAATTTTTGGCTGTGCTACCAGTTATGCTATTTCGATATCCTTTAGCCATCATTAGCTTCTCATCATTCCTGCCAGTTATCCTGGAATTGTACTGAAATTGCTCCTGTCCTTATATATTACGTTCGCTCTGCTATTGAGTTCTAAAGCTAATGCTGTATGAAGCAATCTTTTCTATAACCATCAACATATCCCATGCTCGATATGAACTATTACCTGGATTGTGTGGTTCACATGGGCCTTTCAAGACATATTTGAGGGATCGTGCAGGGAGCTGCGGTAACCTTGGCGGAGCTGGGGGAATATACGAGGGCTGCCTCTTTGTTACAGGATTTGGCAAATGTTAGTTAATCCTACTCATAGCCTGATTACTCAATAGTTGACTGAAACATTTTTATTTTCCTCCAATGAGCTTTGTAAAAGTGTCTTAGTTCTCTGAATTCTCTTGCTATCTGATGCATTTCAGGAAAAGCCAAATGACCCTGATGTTTTCCGTTTGCTTGGAGAAATTAAATATGAACTTAACGACTATGAAGGCAGTGCTGGCGCGTACAGGATGTCTGCTAAGGTGAGAATATATGAACAGTAGACCTCCGGTGGCACCAAATACTGTCTAGTTCTTATTCTTTAAGCTAAGTTATGCTCACTGTGACATTTCAATATCATAGGTCTCCAAGAGCACCAATTTTGAAGTTCTACGTGGACTTACTAATGCACTGCTGGCTTCCAAGAAACCAGATGAGGTACATTAGAATAATAGAACATGCTCGGTCCAGTAATGTTAGCTTGCTGGTTTGTTTTGCCGCGACAGTATGAGTGATCATATTGAAAGGGAAGGCATTATCATTTCATTAAAAATGGAGACCTCTTGTGCTTATGTACACAACAGCTAAATTCTAGGCATTTTGATAAGCTCGTCTACACTAGCACCGTAGTTTCTGCCTTCGCTTGATAAAATCTCCAACTTACCCTTTGGTGAAGGCTGTTAAATTCCTTTTGGCTTCTCGAGAACGCCTTACATCTGAGAGATCGAGTGCAGCTGGGGCCAAAGCTGATGATGGACAAATGAAGGATCAACCAGAAGTCGTAGATCCTATTCAGGTCAGTTACCTCAAATTATATTGTTGCCCTACATGCATGTTGAACCAAGGCTGTCTAGGTCGTGTGACATGGTAAACAATCGGAGGCATAATTCTAGGTTGTCCAGGTCGTGCCTCGTATTAAGATCAAAGTTCAGTGAGTGATCTGTTAGTAAGCAAGAAATTGTAGAGTTCATTTATGTAGGCGACCCTTTTTATCATAGACGAGAAGCACAAAATTAGTGTTCGCTTATGTGGGCTACCCTTGTTATCATAGGCCGCGAGACTCGACCATCAGTACTAAAATCGTTGTTTTTCGACGTACGTGCAGGTTGATTTGCTACTTGGAAAAGCATACTCGGATTGGGGGCATATCAGTGATGCCGCATCCGTCTATGATCAGATCATCTCCGGTCACCCTAATGATTTTCGGGGTTACCTGGCAAAGGTAAACGAAAAGAAAAGAGTAAAGAACACTTGGCGATTAACCTCTTCTTTCCCAGATCAAATTGTTATTCAGCTGTCTCAGTTAATAACTTGGGAAACTGCAGGGGGTATTACTGAAGGAGAACGGGAACCCAGGAGACGCTGAAAGGATGTTTATACAAGTGAGTAGTCCATTTATATAGTAGAACACATTCTTTCAAGTTCCATGGCTTGTAATAGAGATCTGTCTCAATGTTGCAGGCACGATTTTTCGCACCAGACAGAGCAAAGGCCCTCGTTGATCGATACGCCAGGAAATGATTAATTGACCGGACCAAACTATGCAGATTGGTTTTGGTAGTTTGAGCAATTTAGATTTTTTTTTCCTCTTCTTCTGTTTTACTTGGGGCATAAATTAGGTGATGTAATGTACCACGCACCATTTAATGAGTTAACGAGAATTTGTAATGAACGTCTTGACGCGTTTCGAAAGCTCTTCTGCACTGTATTAACGTACATAACAAGCAAGCTCGCAACGAACTACGAAATTTGAAACAGAGAACAAAGTGCCTACTAATCGACATAACGATTGTGCAGCCGATGGCGCCCACTTACAAGGGGACTATAACTGGACAGTAGACACCAAGATGAACTCATGGGTGCCCAATCTTCAACACGTCACGTACAAACCGCCGATTTCAGAGGGGGTCCTGCAAAACAAGTAGAAAGCAACGAGTGTCAATAGACCGGTTCAAATCATCGTAGAAACCGATTCCAGACAGCCTCCCTGCAAAACAAGTACAAAGCAAACACCAGAAGAGCATCATCAGTAGCAAACCAATCGGTCCAAAACCAAACACGCGAAGGAAACAAGCTGAGACAGTTTCATACTACAACACCAAATATTGTCTAACCTTGTCTATCTACACGAACACAATCAACTCTGGCCTGCTGTACACGTTATTCTCCTCGTCGTCCATAATAGGGTAAGCAGCCACAAGCGCGTCCTGCGCGCCAATGTAGAGGGAGTTGTATATCTTCCAGTAAACCTCCCTGACTTTCCTCGCAGGATGAAACAGCCCCTGGAGACAATAGTTCAACACGACAGCAGGGCCGAGAGCCACCCTCGTCCCTTCTATGGCTTCCGTCACAGCATTTATCACGTGGGGAGACGTCTCGAATATGTTCGGCCACACATAGTTGAGCAGGTGGACCAGAGCGTCCTCGCAACCAAGCCCAGCAACACCCAACGCCATATGCTTCACAGCCGAAGCTGCAGTCTGCCGGTGAACCAAGTCCCTGTCCATAAGTGCATCCTCGAGCAAAGGCGTCACAGCATAGATATAGTCCTTCCCCATCTCACCAATGTACTCGAACAGAAAAGAGAGCGACTTCAAAACACCATTCTGGACATTCAGCTCAGGAACTCGGTACTCGTTCATTAAAGCAGGCAGAACCGTGAAGGGGGAGCAAGTCTCGGCGACTATAGCAATGGCGACGGTTGTGCAGACACGATTTTGACGCTCCTGGACCTTCAGATTGTTCAGCAGGGTTGCAAGCACATCTTGTGGACCGATGGCCTTGGCAATGTATCCAAAAGTGTTGACAGTGGCTCGCCGAATGCCTTTCTTATGTGCCTTGAGCATCTCGAGCAGTTCGAAACATATCCTCATCCATTCTCTAGCTGGTACAAATTCAGCTCCACGATCTGCTATACGTCCGACCAGATCGATACAGTTCTCCTGGACTTTCTCGTGTCTATTCTTCAGGATAGGTGTCAGCCTAGGAAGCAAGTCCTTGATTGGTGGTGTCATTTTGGTCATACCAATAACATTAACAATTGCCTTGAGCGCTCCGAGGATTGACCCTAGTACTTCAGGGTACTCTTCTCCCAAATACTCGTAAAGAACGACACCAAGATGGCCCATGAGTTGCTCCTCATGGCACTGCTTCATCACCACAGCGATTCTAGAAATAAGATCAGCTGCTTGTTGTCTTACTTTAGCACTTTTGTTGTTCAACCGCCACTTTATGGTACCACAAATTTGAGGGAGATAAGGTTTGACCCTCTGCCCGAGAGAATTGACGACTGCTCCAAACCCATTAAGCATCACATTGGCATCATCGCTTGTCTGCTCTTGGAAAGCATATAAAATACCATCTATCAAAAGCTCTTCCAGCCTAGCATCAATATCAGAAGAACCCAAGTTAGCGACCACCTTCTCGATGGTTTCCATAACCATACGTCGATAGGGTTCACTCTCGTCTTTAAGATCCTCAACAATTCTCCCCACAATATCTTTGACACCAACCTTGTTGGCAATCTCCACAGTTGTTTCCACAAGCTGCTTATAGTTTCTTCTATCCAATGCCATCCTTCTAACCCAAAAGTTCTTGAAGAATTCAGGGAGGATATCAGAACGGATGTAATCTGGTTCCACACCCTCAGTGCTCACACATTGCTTCACCACTTTCAGAACAATCTTCTTCATTTCTTCATCTGGAGACTGAAACTCCCGAATGAGGATGTACATCACTTCCTTCGTGTAGTATGATGCATACATGGCATCCATTAGAGGAATGATAAAACCAATTGCCTTCAAGAATGCAGCCAAGACCTTACCACGGTGGGACCTAATTCCCTTCCACAAGGGTTTCAGAACAGAATCAAAACTTTCAATACCATAAGGAGCAGCAGCCTCAGCAAGAGCAGCCAACGACAAAGCAGTGATGGTCCTCACTTTCTGGTTCTCGTCATTAAGTCCATGCTCTATAATTTCAACAAGGGACCTTAAATGAGGGAGCACAGCACACCCAATCAGAATAGCAATCTGCTGCACAATTTTGATTCCGGTGTGACGAGCTTGCCAGGACTTCTTACTCTGACATACAGCCTTCAAAAATGGAAGGAGTGCAGGAATCCCGAGAGCAGAAGCCACAACACTGAAAGCCCTGGCAGTGGTATTCCTAACATACTCATCAATATTGTCAATATCAGGACGCATTGCAGCAATCATAGTCGCCAAACCAGCAGCTTTGCTCAAATTAGAAATGATCTCCCTTCCTTCAACACGGGCATAATAGTCTTCATCAATCAGCAGTGGCTCAATGACAACAAGAATCTTGTGCACATAAGGCCTAACCAACTCATCCAGCTTATACAAAACTCTATCAATTACCTTGACCAGAAGATGTCTCTCCTGATCCTCCAATGTGGGCTGCATAAGCAAAGGCAAAATCCTATTGAACAGCGGGCCAGCACCCAAATCTCTTGCCTTATCTGTCAACTGCCTCAAAGCGGTCTTCCGCTGTGGCGGTGTTCCATTCTTGACCTTCAACAACAGCTTCATAATCTTCCTCTCTTTTTGCTCATCAGGTGACAACTCTTCCTCCTCATCCTCATTCAAGAGAGATCCAAAGTACTGATAATCCTCTGGCTTCATAAACGGCAACCCACCAGGAACTTCCTTCGGCACATCATATTGCTGCCCCCTATTCTCTTCAGGGATAGAGTAAAGAGGAGTCCCCATAGGAGTGGGTGTAGCCAGCAACTTCCTGGCAGGAGTCCTAATGGGAACATAAGATGCTGGTGGCTCCAAAATCTTGTACCCTTCCAGCGGAAAGACAGCATCCAGTTCCTCATCAGTCAAAGGTCTATTCCTCTCCTCGATATCCTTCTCCCATCTCAGAAGATTATACTGCTCCGGGGTAATAGCACCACGCTGCATAAGACTTGGAGTTGGGGTGGCCAATTCAACACCGCCAACAGGAGTAACACCAGGGGTAAAGGCAGCAGCAGCAGCAGGTGTAGCCCCAGCCATTGGAGTCGCACTCCCCATAGTTGCAGGTGTTTCATCCCAACGTGATCTCTGCCTTTTAGGCGTCGGTGTGGCCAACCCTTTAGGGGTTGCATCCCAAGTCACACCAGCAGGAGTAGCACCAGGAGTTGCATCAGAATCAGCAACCCTGCCGGGAGTCGGCGTTTCATCCCACCGATTCCTCCTCCCGGCCGACGGAGTCGCATCACCGACTCTACCAGGCGTGGGAGTAGCATCCCACCTCCCGATTCCCGGCGTGGCGTCGGGTAAATCCCAGTCAGAGCCAGTCTTCGCTTTCTTCGCCGCCGCACCATCACCTCCTTCATCCTGCGACATGTCCCATCGATTCCTCCTCTTCGTAGGACGAGCAGCAGCAGCCTTCCCTTCCATCTTCTTAGCGATTTCCTTCAACGTATCCTCTCTATCTCTCTTCAGCTTCTCCTCCCTCATCACATCCACGTAGGTCCTGGCCGAGGCAGCCGGCGTCTTATCCCCCATCGCAAAAGCATCGTGCCTGTCCGGAGAAAGCTTCCTGTCCAATCTCCTCCGCCGGTAACCATCCTCGCGTTCGAGGATCCTCGACGGCTTCTTGAACCCGCCGTCTCCGCCGTCGTCTCCCCCGCGAGGCATCTCCTTGAGGAGCGACTTCGGGGCGGTGTAGGAAGGAAGCCTGCTGCGAGGGCCGTCATTGTCGCCGATATCGTTGTCGTCCTCGCCGTTAGCGGGGATCGAAGGGACGTAGTCGTCCTTGTCCGTTCCTCCGTAGAGGTCCTTGTCGTAGGTGAGAGAAGTCAGGGAGGCGAGCTCCTGCTCCATTTTCTTCCGCTCCTCCTGCGTCTTTGCTATCTCGGGATCCATTGGGAGCAACTCAAGAGGAGACAACTGATTGGATTAGGGTTTTCTACCGGAGCTGATCTGAAGAAGAACGGTGAAGGAAGAAGCGATTCAGATTTATATGAGTTAGGTTTCTGAGAAATATCAAAAAATCAAATACCCGCGGAAAAGGAATCCATTATCCTGACCGGAGAAGGATTAACGAAATTATTAATAAGTATTAACCGACTCAGAGCCATGGTCGGTTTGGGTTCTGGATCAGTTCCTTGTCATTTGGGCTTTAGATTCGTCGGCGGATCTGGGCCGGCTAATATATGGGATTAGTTCGATTCTTTCCTTGATGGGCCACTGGTTTTTAACTTTTAATGGACCTGTGACTCTCTAGTTGATCCGACAAGCTTTTCGTTTCTTCACATTGCAATGCAGGCTGAGGCAAACAGCTCTAAGAGCATCCACAATGGGTAATTCTTCCCCATTTCATATGACTATGAAATGGGGAAAAATTACCCCGTGTGACAATTTTCTGTTCACTTTCATTTTCGTTTCCTGTTTCCTGTTTTTTGTTCACTTTCATGGATGTAGATGAAAGGAAAGTTAAGAAATGAAGTAGAGGTGGCGGTACAGACCACATATGAAATAGATATTCATATATAAGCTATTTTCATGGTTGTTGATGGTCTAAGGGGTTGCTAAAAGTTTCGAGGAGATTCTAGCCAGTAGCTACTACTCCTTGGTTGAGTATATTCTAACATTTTACAAAATTAATAAATTTTAAATGATCAATCATATAGTTTTTTTCAATTTATAATGTTCCTTCACCTTTTTGTTTGATTTTGGTTCCAATTATTAATCATCGAGCGCATTCCACCCATTGAATTCTTGCTTGCCGAAAGGATTAGTCCTCCACGGTGTGTATAGAACATGATGATGATCGGAAGCACAGGAATGCAACGAGGGATTCACTTGAGAGCAAAGGATTTTTCTCCGCCTATGGATGTGCATGGCCCCCCAAACATTGCATGGTCGCGGGGGCCAATGCGACCAAGGATCACCATGCTAACGACTTCTTGTCAACCAAGGATCATGACTATCGGATGGCGAAGCAGGTGTGCGATTTTCACCATCGTTGGTCTCGAAAGGATTGATTGCGGTATATGTGGGACCAGAGCAACGAAGGTTCGTGATCCCTATGATATGTTTGTCAATGCCAGAGTTTGTGGTGTTGATGGATAAGGTGACGAAGGAGGTCGGGTTCGAGAACGACATTTGGAGACCTAAAGTTCAAAATTAATAGCTAAAAGAACAATGCCTTCGTGATGCATTGAACGACCGTGTATAATTCTATCTTTATCCTTTGTAAACAATTAACCCTGGAGATGATAAACCCGCAAAGATAGCCTTCGAGAATGATAAACATAAGTTCTCTTTTCAATTGAATACATGGGTGTCCATTTGGGTTCAGTTTTTCGGGGTTTTTTTGTTTCGGTTTCGGTTTTGCGTATCGAGTTTTCGGGTTCCGGCTCAAAACCTCCAATGTATAGAACTCAGTTCGTATTCTTAGGCGTTCGGGTTTTCGGGTTTCGGTTTTGCTTTAACAGAACCCTAATCCGACAAGGAATTTTTGGGTTTCAGATAACCGGAACCCGCAAGTCCTTATCGGGTTCGGTTTTCAGTGATTTTCGGTTTTGGATTTTCATGTTTTTCCAGGTTTCGGTTCGGGTAACCGAACCCGACCCGAACTGACACCCCTAATTGAATATGAATTAACTTGCACCTTTAACTTTTAACTTCTTTAGAACGCGATGAAAAATGGATGTAAGTGTTTAGGGCACTATTGTTGCGTTCAGAAAATGTTGACATGATAAAGTAAATACAGGAAAGAGAGGCTAATCCATCTCTGTACAACAATCTGCATCTTCTGGCACACATTTGGAAGCTTAGTTACAACTAGAACGCTTATTTGATGAATACAATGTATGATGGGCTGAAGTAAATGAAGAAGCAGAAACAAATGTGGAGCATATAATCTTCACTTACTAATACTATCATCCAAAATCCCAACCAGGCATTTCTCCATTAAGAATTCTGCGTTCACCCAAGCATGGTATTTATCTGGTAATGAAGCAATAAGGATCGCAAATTGAACAGACAAACCATCTCAATTTCATCTGTAATTTTGGACAAATTAAATGGAAGGTTCGTAGGAAAAGATCGTGCTATCGAATTAAAATGAGTACGAACTGGGAAAAGGATACTGAATAGTGCTGTACAGTCCTTGCCAACCGCCCTCATCAACATATCAACACCTGCAGTTGAGTTGATAGATATACGAATGGAGCTTAAGTGCGCAAATTATGAATCCAAAGAAGAAAAGAAGATTATGGTACATATTTCATATGGAATCTCCATCTGCTTACCTCCCGGATGAAACTTCATGTATGGGGACAAATTGTACACACGACCTTTCAGCACAGTCCACATTGAACCTTCTGACTGGTGTTGTTTAACTTCATTTATGGAAATCAATCTCTTGTTTGATTGTCCTTTCAATCCTAGCAACACAAGACACACAGAGATAAACACATATTATTTCAATAGCATTTCTTATGGCATGCCGGCAATCATCCATAGCCCTAAGATAATAATGGTACATGCGTACAGCAACAAAAAGACGATTCGATTGTAGTCGAATCGCCTGCTCAGCAGAAGAAACTAGTATACCTGCAAGATCAGGGTGAGTTCGAGTTAGGTTAAGCCAATCCATTTGGCTATACCCCTTCTCAAAAGGGACCTTGGCTCGGGCTGCAGGCTTCTTAGCAGGAGCTTGTCCTCGAATATTCTTGGCAGAAGTTTCCCCATTTCTAGTTGCTACCGGTGGTGATGACTCACTCGACTCCCGTGGTATTGATCTATCAGTGACAGTGAAAGACAATGTTCCAGCATTCTTCTCCTCCTTAGAAGAGGCACCATCTTTACAGACAACACTACTACCCTTATCGTCACTTATTCTTGTCGACTTGTCGTCTTCAATTGTTATTCCACCTATCTCTGATGCCAGAGACTTCGCCTTGGCATCATCTCCATCAGCAGATGAAGCTGCCTGGTTGTTAAAAGAAAAGCACAATCCTGAGTCCCAAAAGAAGAAAAGATTCCCACCGCAATGGTGCCTAGAGCACCAATACAATCGAAATGAATTGAGACTATTCTATGTCGAACATTTCACTTGCCTTGCAGAATGTGAAATCATTGCCATTGTCCATCTCCCACAAATGAAACAACCTAGAAATCAGCTGAAGCAAAACCCTCCTGCTGGCACAAATATGACGTACCCTGTAGTTCAACCAGCTTCAGTGATTAAGCTAAGCATTAAACTAGAGGCGCGATTGCCATTGAAACATCAAATGCAAATATACGACCCATAGACCACATTAGCTGAAAACTCATCTGCTCCTCCATTCACTAGTCAAAACAAAATGATACCATTTACACAAAAACAAAAGAGGAAAATGTTCTTTTCAAGACGCTGCCGCTCTTCAACATCCAGCTTTTTACCTCACCATTCCCATCGAATTTCAACCATGCGACCCAAACTCATCAAGGTTATCTTTTTTTCAATCAATCGACTTCATGCAAACGAAGAACGGACTCAGCTTCTGGCCTGTGCCGGAGGGGAATCAGAAAACTGAAAGAAGAATTTACCTTAGAAGATGGGAGGACCAGACTCAGCTTCTGGCCTGTGCTGGAGGGAATCAGAATGGACGGACGGGAGTTCGAGCGGCGATCTTTCTCTCGGCGGAATTGGGGAAAGGAGTTAGGCGGTGCTGGCGGCGAGAGTCCAAGAGAGAGAGAGAGAGGCGGACAGCTGGCTTGCGATCGCAACCGAGGGAAGCGGATGGCGGTCAAGCATCCAACGGCGATCGTCGGAGAGGATGTAGAAAGCAATCGGAGAATTAGAGAACGGACCAATCACGATTCATTGAAACAAAAAAAAAAAAATACAGTAATAAGTTTGGTTTTTTAAAATCACCAGCGGCTATTTGGCAAGCCGTGGGTTTGATTTCACCAATCGGTTTTTATGCGGTTCACCCATCAAACCAAAGTATCGATAGACGACAGGTGCGACTCCCTCTGCTCGATAACCCAAGTCGTAGTAACAAGTCGCTAATTAATTCGGCCGGTCGGTTCAATGTAATCCGACCGAAATTGATTATTTGAACGGTTGAAATGCATTTTGGCTGGATGATTCGTGAATAGTCAGAAATCGAATTTAACTAGTCAGAATTAATTGGTCTGACTTGGGTTTCGAAGATGAGCACTGATAATTTAGTAATATATTTTTATGAATGTGGATTTGTGAAACCGTTATAACATTTAAGAAAAAATGTGCATACTTTATTTGATATCAAAGGTTTCCTCACATATTCAGTTAAAATCGACTTAAGCGGATTCAACTCGATCCTACCATTAAGTCTTCGTCCACTTACCATACCGATTTAACAACTAAATCAAGTTTGAGAATCTTGTTACCAACATACAATTTCAGTTACCAAACCCATTTATTTATGTTTCACAATCCATGATAAACTATTTGTCGTTAAAAAAAAAATTCTACGCTCAAGGATCAACAAGGTTGTCAATTGCGGGTCGAACCGGATTGACCCCGATCCGATGAGCAAAATGAGACATACACACCCGCGGATTAACCCGCAACAGTGTTTTTGGGTTGGAGGTAACACGACGTCGTTTTTTCCCCCTTCGTTTGTGAATTACACCTCTTTTTTTTAATTTTTCCCTTCGTCTAGCTCTATCTTTGGATTTCTATGTTGAACAATTTAAATATGGATTTGAGCGTATTTAAATTTGCCAGCCACTATATGATGGATTTAAGTACAACCTGTTATTTTTTGTGTATTGCTATATATTTTTACCTATGTGTTCAATGAGATTTGATATAATGTATAAATATATGAACAACATAATTATTTTTTCATAAAGACGAACTACTAAACCGAACTAAAGTGATTGGATGATTTACGTTCCATTTAGTTGCTCGACCGGGCCAACGGGTGAAACCGGTTGACAACCTTGAGTATCAGAGCGTCGAGCGAGCGGGTCCACATTTCCATTCCGGTCCAGGGCCAAAAGAAAAAAGGGGAAAAGCCGCCCAAAATTTTATCAATTCACCACTGACCACTCCAAAACCCTAAAAACCCTCCGGGAAAAAAGAAAAAAAGAAAAATAGCAGCCGCGAAAAGAAGAAGAAAAAAAAACAATAAAATTGTCAGAAAGAGAAGGAAAGAAGGATATAAGCTGAAAAACAGGAAAAAAAAAAAAAAAAAAGGAACAACGAAAGCAAAATATCTTTTCTGGAATTTTGCGAATTACCGTCCGTTCTTCCTCCTCCGACCTCCGTCAATGTCCCCGAAGTCGCCGTCGCACTGTCACCCTCGCGCCTCTTCTACTGCTCAGGCGAAGATGACGGCGGCGGCGGCGAAAAATGGGACATCAGTTTTGGGAGAAGGCGTCGTCTTCGGAGACGTTGGCGCCATGACCGTCTTGCTCCCCAAGGACATTGAGCTTGTGGACAAATTCGACGACCCAGTTCCTTCTTCGTCTCGTTCGCTTCCTGGTCTCCAGTTCCCCGTTCGGCTCCCGAACATCGGCCTTGCAATCCGAGTGAGCTGCTTTCTCTCTCCCTCCTCCGTTGCTCGTTCACTTGCGCTCTGATGGCTAATTCCCTTGGTTTGTTGTTCACTTTCTCTGATTCTCTCTGTTCGAAGTTTATTAAAAAGGAACAGACTGGTTGAGTATCTTGCACAGATTCTGGTCACCCATCAGTCTGGAATTGTTTATTAATATATTGAAGAAAACTTAAGAGGGATCTAGGTTGAACTTACTGAAGCTTTTGGTTTGAATGCTAAAGTAGATTCTTTACCTTTTTCTTGCTCCCACCATCCCAGGAGCTTATAGGCTTCAGCCTTACTGTACTGGGAGTTTGGTTTCAATTCATATTCTGTTGCTTATCTTGATAGCTGGATCTTCTGCTTTTTAATTTCATATTAGGATATCACGAAGACTAGAGAAGTTGGGGAGTTCCTTAGTGGTGCATTAGCCGGGGCGATGTCTAAAGCTGTACTTGCTCCTTTGGAGACCATCAGGTTTTTTATTCACTCTTCTGTTCTGTATGTATGTGTGACGATTGTGGGGGTTATGATTTATGAATCATCTATCGACTGTTTTGAAGGAGGCCGTCTCCAGACGATCATAATGTCTGCAGAGTGCTGTTCATTTTGGCTTGTTTGTCTTACATACAAATACAACCTAGGATGATTCCCTGAAGATGCCCTTGTTTTAGAATTTTTAGGATGCTTATAATTTCTTTTAACGCGCAGTTTGATGAAGTCATGAAAAACATACATCAGTAAAACTTCATTGGGTAATACCCCAACTGTAGGAATACTAGACATTATCCGAGGGGTTGATGGTCTCCTATTGGCTCTCCTGACTCTAATGCATTGCTTTCTGTGGTTACTAGAAATTCCTATTGATTGGATACCATTGGAGATGGTTGATCTGGATACTTGAGGATATGGATAGGGCAAAAGTTGTTCTTTTGTCTGCTGCAGTTTGTTTTATTCTCTTCATTCTTCTTCCTTTCCCATCTGAATCTTAATTTTTTAGGGTCCCTAGGAATTGTGCCAACCTATTCTGTCAGCAAATCACATTGGCAATGCTTTCCATGCACTAGAACATTGTTGTAATGTGTCTGTATTATTATGGTGTAGCATATGGGAAGATTACTTAAGTAAATCCTCTGTCTAGATCTTCGAGGTTCTGAGTCGATTACAGCAACTTATAACAGTGATTGGACTTGGGATTTTAAGATTTGAATAGTAGCTAAGCTGAAGTCCATATGTAGCTAAGAGTTGAACTTCGGAACTGCCTCCCCTATATTACCCATTAGTGTCACCATTCCCTTTCAAGTGGGGCTTGGAAGTTAAACTTCGGAGATTGAATAGAAAACGGAGTATCTTCGTTGGTGATTACCATTATCTTCTATTCCAAAAGTCAATAGTTACCGGATTGAGATTACTTTCTGAGCCACCTGCTATCTTTATCTCTTGCAGAACAAGGATGATTGTCGGTGTTGGATCTAAAAACATTCCTGGAAGTTTCATTGAAGTTGTTCAGCAACAAGGCTGGCAAGGGCTGTGGGCTGGGAATGCTATCAATATGCTTCGTATTGTCCCCACTCAAGCAATTGAGCTTGGTACATTTGAGTGTGTCAAGCGGGCAGTTACTTCAGCACAAGAGAAAAGTAAACAGTCTGAATGTCCAAGAGTGAAAATTGGTCCCATCAGTTTGAACTTTTCTCTTAACTTTATCCCTCCTGTTGCTGTTGCTGGTGCTGCTGCTGGATTTGCTAGCACTCTTGTATGCCATCCGCTTGAGGTTTTGAAGGTATTTTGAACAGATTCTCTTGTTTGAATCTAAACCCTGCTAAAGTAAATCTTTTTTTTTTTTTTTACATTAAAGCAACCTAATTACCTCTTTGTGCTATACTTTACTTCCTGTTATTGCTCAGCTCTATATTGTTACGACACTTTGATATGTGAAGCTGCCTATCTAAACCAATTCATATACTGCTGTACAGCAACTCGGTCTTAAAGGTGTAACTGGCTTTAAGTGCCTTGCCCTACTACCATCTATTATTCCTGACAGTTTCTGTTGCATTTCCCTTGCAGGATCGACTGACTGTGAGCCCTGACTTATATCCTAACCTAACTCTGGCAATTGGTAGAATATACAAGGATGGAGGTGTTGGTGCCTTTTATGCTGGCCTTAAACCTACACTGATCGGCATGCTTCCATATAGTACGTGCTACTATTTCATGTATGATACCGTTAAGAGATCGTATTGCAAGTCAAAGAATAAGAAGTCGTTAAGTCGCCCTGAGATGCTTGTCATTGGAGCTCTTGCAGGTGAGAAACACCCTCTTTGTTTTACTTATTTTCATTTTGTTTGCCACATATGCGCCATAATATACTGATACCTTACCTTAGCCTCTAAACATATGTCAGATTGAGATGGTGCTTTTACCAATATGCATGCCTCTTCTTCTCCATTTTGGATTCAGATGTACAATTTTCTTTACGCTTTTCAGGATTGACGGCTAGCACCATCAGCTTTCCATTGGAGGTAGCCAGGAAACGACTAATGGTGGGAGCTTTGAAGGGTAAATGCCCGCCGAACATGGCAGCAGCGCTCTCGGAAGTAATCCGGGAGGAGGGACTACTGGGAGTATACAGAGGCTGGGGTGCAAGTTGTTTGAAAGTCATGCCCAACTCTGGCATCACTTGGGTGTTCTACGAAGCTTGGAAAGACGTACTCCTCGGTGAAAAGCGGCTTGCTTGACACCCTACTAGTTCACTCAAACATACAAGTGAAGTCCCCCCGTAATCCTATTCCTCCTGAAATGTGGAAGCTGTGGTGGCTCGACATTTTGCCCTGCGCCGCTGTTTATGCCAGAGATCCACAGTGAGAGTCTTCACAAGCTTAGGGCAATAATTCGACTCCGTGCCCTGTTTCACATCTATATGACCATTGTAATGAGTAGGCGAGGCCTTGAGGCTTCAAAATTTTTGGTGCCAATCTTCTTTTTTCATGTACCACCCCACACAGGTCTTCATAGAATCTGTCTTACCATCCATCTCAATTGCCGATTTTGCTCCCATCTTTTTTGTAGTCCCCAAAGAAGCAAAATTGTAAGCTTACAGTGATTATTTATGTTGAGGTGAATTATTCACCCGGTTCATAGCTCGTCTTTTTCGAATGCTACAGAAGGGCATTCGAATGCTACAGAAGTTGCCCTTCGACGAAATTGTCCACAATGAATTTTATTTTATGCACATTTGATTGAATAGAGATGAGCAGAGGAGTTCATGCAAAGCTCTAACAATAAATGAGCTGTCTTATATGTACAGAAAAAAACCAACTCCCTCAAGTAGTTACATGGAGAAACGATGACACAAGATTTGTGATTTGTGAATTGATTGAGCTTAGCTCGCTAGCGATCGAATTCCACAGACGTAATGTTACTTTGGTCTAACAAAACTGATTTGAGCTTGGCTGGTTAGCTATCTGATTCTGCAGAAGTGCTGTTGCTTCGGCCAAGCAACCAAGAGAGACAACTGCTGCATGTTTCCGAGTTGTCGGCCAGCATGTAGAGGCAGAACATGCACAATGCTGTTACGAGAAGAAAATTGGTATCGTTAGTTTAGAAATTAAGATAATAATAACAATGGTTTTGCAGTACGGACAGGGTGCAGCATAAGCAGAAAGTTCTTGTGGAGTGCAACGTTAATGTAGATTTTACCAGCATATGCAACTGTGACCCCTGAAACCAATCGTCCCAATGCCGATAGCGTGTAGAGACAGATTACAACCTGAGGAGGGAACATATAGCAAGTATTAGGATTCTTCACAACGCATCGTATCTGCAAACCCAAGAAACAAAAGCAAGACAGATTGCTGGTGCACTAAGGTGGACCTTAAGTCTGATAAAAATCATGGTCGTAGTTCTTTATCTACCTAAATGATGTTCTCATTCCTATACCAAGGGCATGAACCAAATGATGTCATTCAATTATCATCAATTGAGGTTCAGGAGCCTGTCCAAAACAGATCTTTCTTCTTCTGCCCTACCTCACTAATTTATTAGCAAAACATTGCAATGCTCTGTGGCTGCAGTAGGGATAACAAGCGAGAGCCTCAAGTCTCGAAGTTCAAAATATTGCAAGTTTGTGAACTTCCAACCAAATATCCAACAATAGGCAAGAAAATCACAACCTTGATGTACTCTATTCAAGACTCATTTATCAATCCCCTCAGGGAAACCAGCTTTACATTCAATGAGCTTATTTGAAAGAAAGCCAACAAGTTGAACTTATCAGTCCTAGCAAAGCCAAAGGAGCAATTCCCTTGTCTTTCAAGAACAATCAGATTGCAAGCCAACAAAATTATCTTCAATTCAACTCTGTTGTTTTCAACTATATATTTAAATCCTCCACCACTTATTCATTTCGAGAATATGAACAGAATAAAGAAAAAGCACAAGAATAACAGCACCACCTTTAAATGGCATATCTTCCCTCAAAACTCCAAAGTAAGTGACAATTAAACAGCTTTACAGATCATTGGATTTGAAAGAGTTATCAAAACAACCATATTACATTATCCCATATAATAACCACTAGGATGAAATAGATAAAGCATTCGGTATAATTTCGCAGAATAGTCTACTACCTCGAAAAGTTACAGAGCGAGAATTCTGCCTGTCAATCTGTACTTCCAATATTAAGCTGATGTAACAAATTCAAGGCTCACATATATTTTCAATAGCTACACAATTGTGAAACACAAAACCTAGAAATGTCTTACATAATCGGGTAACATGCTCGATGGAAGACAAGATGAGGTACATACATAGGCCCTAAGCGGACTATGCACCGGTATGGAAATGCTATAATATTTATTCACAGACAAAGAACAACAATACAACTTCGCCATCAAAGAAGGCCATCAGTTGGAGGACTACTTCATGCAATCATCCATAACAGAACTTCCTAACTTTGAGGTTCAATTAGCTGCAAAGAGCAGAAGCCTAGTAGAGCGATTGTGAGTTGAAGAACTTAAGAAATTTACCTTGAAGAATAACCTCTTGTCATGTCCAGTCGCTGCAACCCTCAACACAGATTCAGCTGCTCCTACGGTGTTAGCAAACCACGCAACGATGCTATTAGCAGTGTCCTGAGAGATCTGCCACTCCAGTGGATCCACAGGAATCCTACAACGCAAACATTCGCGAGAAAAAATTTCAACGAAAAAACACCAATCCGAAAATCATTGGAACAGACTGCAGAGCAAAATTCAGGGAAAGGAGAGGGGCCGGCGGCATACGAGATGTTCAATTGGCGGAAGAGAAGGCCGAGAATGGCGAGGGAGCAGAGGAGGACGATGAGGACGTCGGAGAGGAGGGAGAGAAGGCTTGAATTCCGATAAGCGCAGTGGTAGTACACCAGCGTACCGCAAACCATGCCTATGATTGGTTTTCCGATTTCGCTCCTCTTGCCGCTGCTGCTTCCTCCGCCGGTAGTACCGCCGCCGTCGCCGTTAGTCTCCATCATTGCCGTCTCTTATGAATTCAATTTTGTCATCGAGTATCCCTTTATCCTCACCTCCGATACCTGAAATTGTGCGGTGCCGCCTGCCGCCGCCGTGGATTTCTTCTTCCCTCTTATAGATTTGTGAAATTTGCAGCGGTCAGCGGATTCCTGGCTCTTGCAAACTGTTCGTTCGCCCCATTCTTCCTTATCGTTTTCCGTTTGCCGAGTTGAATATTTGGAGGTCCGGGCGGCGTCTAGAACAATAATTGCATGATAACCAAGACTCTGTTTAAAATAAAAAAAAACTCGGGTGGTTGACCGTTGACACTTGACACATCTTAATAGGGTAAATGACATATTTGGTCACGGAGATTACTAAATCGTGTCATATTTGGTCACTAGAAAAGTTTAATATCAATTTTGGTCACTCGAATTACTGACACAGGTCACATTTGGTCACTCTTCTGTAGCCTCTGTCCTACTCCGGTCACTCGAATTATTGAAAAATGTCACATTTAGTCACTCGGATTACTGAAACATGTCACATTTAGTCACTCTCCCAAAAGTTTCCGTCCAACTACATTAATGGAGTTGTGCGGAAACTGACGGGAGAGTGACTAAATTTGACCAGTTTCGGTAATTCGAGTGACCAAAATTGATATTAATTTTTTCTAGTGACTATACATGACACAATTTAGTAATCTCAGTGACCAAATGTGTCATTTACCCCATCTTAATAGTGAAGAATACAACAGATACAACGTAATAAGTGAATTTTTGCAAAATAGAATTAAGAAAGAGTCGATGGTCGACCAACCGACGATCTAACGACGAGAGGGCTTGTTTCGTCACGAGATGACCAACCTTATTACACTAACGCGGGGCGAAGTGGAACGATAGCTCGAAGTACCTGAACTTCTTCATATAGAAGGCATAATGACAGTTGTGTGGGCCGAGTCCTTACGATTTACCATTTGAATGATCACCTGTGCATCACCAGAGAATAAGACATAAAAAATTGAAATTGAAACACACCATCGAGTGCATCTCTGAGGACTCGTGAGTTCAATGAAGAAAGCATAATCCAAATAATCATAAAACTACCCCAAACCGAAGCGAATGTCATCTGGCCTTGCAAAACCAACAAATCTCACCCCTCCACCAACTGAAGGTTTTGTTGCTCCATCAAAGTGAACCAAGATAGATCCTTGAGCAATTGGAGGAGGAGTAGGATTGCGAACCACAGGAGGAGCTGGATGAGATGGACGACGACTAATTGAAGCAGCCAAAGCTGCTTGAGTAGAATTCCATTCTTCCGCTTGTGATTGAAATTATCGCACGATGATAGATGGGAGGAATTGGAAAGCATCATAAGTGGAGCACCAGGCCTTCCAAAAGCGCCAAAATCCAAATACTAGGCGACTAAGAACTTCCTTGGCAATACCTGCATGAAAAAGGAACCACCGCCATCCCACAAAAACATGCATACGGTAAACCTGTGATCGTAAATGATTAAGAGCAACAAAGTTCCAAAATTCCATGGCCACCCTGCAATGCAAGAACAAATGTAACATAGTCTCGGGAACATATTAGTATTATAACACTACTAAAATTTTAGTGACATGATCCAAAATATCATTAACCATATCTAAAAAACATACTGAAATATCTCCAAACATTATTGAAAAAATTATGAACTACCACAGATTTTACATTAGTAAACTACAAGAATGAGACGAAGATGCTACTAAAACAACCCATGTGATCTACTTATTCAATAATCATTCCATCGTCAAGGAGGTCACGGTCCAATACCCTACCCATCCTTATAAAAGAAACGACTCGAACATCTCAAGAAAAATTATAATGAACGATCGACAAAACTTAACTGTAACTAAAAAACAATAACATATTGTTGAAACGTGTCAAACATATACTATAAGAGAGTTACTGAAAGACTACATGTTTTAGGAACATCTGAATTTAGAAGTAAATTTTATGGTAAGAGATAATTGAAATACACGTTTAGAGCCGTTTCCACGATTAATGAACAATCGATTCTGAAAACGTCTTATAATTTCTCCAAAAACAGTGATTATTCGTTCTCATTTGATTTTGCATATTTCTTTTTTTATGATTGTTGAGAAAACAGGATCCCTCTCTTTGACTGTAAAGAAATGGTGTCCATAAGCACAAAAAGCAAAAGGATATATAAAGGAGAACCAAACACAAGAATCCCACTCACTGATCCACAATTTAGGCTGAAAACAAGAAGAGTGCAAGACTACTCCTATCATCATCAATCACCCTGTAAATATAATATCCACCCTCCTTTGATCCTTCCTTTCCTTCCTATACATTACATACATGTACACATAAACATATTTTTACTTTCACACCCATCACAAACACTAGATTACTAATATATATACTTTAACCTTCTCCACTGCCCATTTCCCCACATACATCAAGTCCTCTTTCATTCCCCAGCTTCAATCAATTCTTGTGCATAAGAATAGTAGCCATATCAATTCATCTACCCTTCCTTCCCTCCTATGCATTTTAACATCTCCAACTGGATCTGGCTGCTATCGCCACAAGCACGACACCGCTCTCTCCAAGGTTTCCCAGGTGTGCCACGTTCCAAGTGCAATGTCACCGACTTCAAGGCTCAGGGACTTCATTTTCTGCATACATAATTTCGGGGTCAGCAACTTGGACGTAACAACTAAAAGCATCCATCTTTCAAATGGATGAGAGACTCAACAGTCCACAAACGAGGAGGTAATCGAACGAAGACGCAGCATCTATAGGGTTTAAGGAGGAGACATTATAATGGAAATGCTCCAAATGCAGAATGACTTCCTTCTGGCAAATTGATTACAACAATGCAACACCAACTAGTGTTAATGGGGAAAATGAGAAGAAATACAAGGAGACGAACCTTCGCCACGGAGCTGCTCGTACCGAGCAACTATGTGCTTTCCGTACGTGTACTTCTTAAGGGCATGAATATGGAGGCCAATGTGATTGAGCAGTACTTCCTTCTGCAGATCGCTGCCAATATCAAGAATCTTCTGGATTACATAATTTGCAAATTGGTCCTTCATCATTGTCTGCAATGGAAAACCATGGGAGGCATTTTAGTAAGCAGGAAAACAGCAATTTGTTGCACTGTACAACACTTGCTACCAATGATCAGTGTCATGAGGTCAGTTGCACCAAAACCAAAAAACTTTTTTTCTTCACTCTTTCCACACAAAGATTGAACCCAACTGCCATCGAAGGCTTAGCATCACCGCACTTTACATAGCAGCACTCACAATGAAAGAAAGCTCATAATACTAGTTAACGTGATAAACATGATCTTCCTAACAGGAGGCTGTACGATCTTGCTACCAACTCACTATCTTAGCGTAGGTTCCAAAGACTAGATATCCCGGGGTGGGGTAAATGTCTCGTTGTCATGTCAGACACTAGGTTGAATTGCTACCCATTCTAATGAATCAATAGGACACAAGCACCATACCCCATCCCCCGGGCAAAAAAAAAAACCCCTCTCCCATCATTAAAGAATGAACACTTAGAACTTACCAACAAGCTATCGTTATCTTCAGGCTTCCTTATAATCTCCTCTATCAAGAGGTCACGTTCAGCAACATCACCGTGTGTTAGACACTTTTCCACAACATTTGAAGCGTATTTATGCTGACTCATCTGAATCACCTTCCCAGTCAACTTGCTGATAATTTCACTCCTTTCACGCACATTACCTCTCTCAAGGACATGCTGCATAACAACCATTGATTTAGCACAGTACAGTGACTTTCTTGAGAACAATGAAAGAGAAAATATGACATCAAAGTGACCAATTAGTCTATCCAACTATAAGCCCTTTCAGAAAGTTCATGCGTCAATGTGACCAGTGAACAGACACCGGATACAAGCATCTAATAATAACTGCCGATTTCAAATCACAAGACAGCAATGTAAGCATTATGGAAACATCCACTTTTTCCTAGAATAATTGGATGGCACCATCGAGACACTTCTCTTAAGATCCAGTGGGGAATATAATTCGTTCATCCTCTGACCTTTGGACCAAACAGTAGTATTTTGCTTGCTAGTCCATGTTGATGCAAGCTAAATCAGGAAATCACATGGCACTATATCATGAGCTAAGCTACCCTACTTGCAAAAATTTGCTCTGCCAATTTCCAATTCAAAGAGGAAACTTGACGAGCAGGTGAGAATTTGAGACACAAAAGCTAATTTGGGTATTCCTCCATCTACCATACAGACAAACAGTTTAGCAGCACAGAAAAGCATTGAATCAAGCAGAAACCAATAAATAAATACACTCACCTGGGTTACATAGTTTCCATATTGGTCTTGAGCAAGATGGAAAGCAGATTCCAAAATTTCGTCCACAATACATTGACTTTGCTGTCCTTCTGAACAATGTTCTAGAACTCTCTACACACCCCAAATCCATAGAAAAATCAGAACACCATTAAAGCCAAAAGCTAGAATACATGCCGGATATGACCAACAAATTAATGATCTTACCTGGATGACTCGACAACCGTAAGGATGAGTAGACAGTGTGGCAACTTGGCCTCGAAAAGCAGAAATAACAAATTCAATATTTTCTGAGGGAAGACATTCTATGCACTTCTGGATGACATGATTCCCGTTCTGATCACGAACACATCTCATCACATGACCATCAAGCTCTTGCACAAGTTGGGTTTTTTGGTCAAGCTCGATCACCTCAAGGGCCTAACAGGAGTATTGATTTCACAATTAGTTCGAATTTTAGCATATCTCCGTAAGAACGTCATAAACACATATATGCTAAATAGAACTTAACCTTCTCTAGAGAAGCGAGAGAAAAAGCAGAAGATGCATGCTTAACACAGTTGTTATGTGTGACAAAAGATACCTCACACTCTAACATTACCTTCTGTATCACACGACAACCATACATCTGAAGACTCAACTGCAACACCTGTCCAGAAAGCTTATCTGCAATCTCTTTTCGCTGTTCGGAACTTCCATGTTCAAAAAACTGTAATGCAAGGAACATATTAACCATCCCATGGAAATACAAATTGAAAAATTATCAAATAAGGAGGCAGACCTTTAATAAAAAGAAACCACTAAGTATACCTTTTGTATGACGTAGTTCCCAAAGACATCGGTCATTAACTTAGAAGCATGAGGCAGCACTTCCTTAAACACAGAATTTTTTTCTTCGGCACTGCAGTGTTCAAGCTTTTGCTGGATAAATCGGCTACCATGTTGATCAACACTGAAACGAGACATATGGCCAAGAAACCGATTGATTCCAGAGTAATTCACCTCAAATGGTGGGATGGTGGTAAATCAACATAACCAGCATTAATATCAAGTCAACCAGCTCTAGGCTGCATTTAAGCTGGACTGTCAACAGCATTCAAGCTATGAAGAAGCAAGACAAGGGAATAAGTAGAGGATGGAACCTGAATTCAACAACATGGCCTGCTATATCGGAGAGCTCAAACTTGCGTGCATTGCTGGATTTAAGCTCTTCAAGGAAATAATGTCGTTTCTGGTCATCAAAACTGCTAGTCCCCCTCTGGCCTTGACCCCCAGAGTAGAGTCCTGCATTTCTGCCATTGGCCTGAGGATATCTTGTGTCGTTCCGCCGACCAAAATGATTCACTGGTGCTACTGGAGAAGAAGGTAGTACAGGACTGGGAATAGGCGAGGCAGGAAATTGGGGTATGACACCCATACTAGCAGGGCCCCCGTAGTAGCTACTACCATTTAAACCTACTTTTCCTGGACTTGGGATGCTTAAATTTCCATAAGTTGGAGGCTGGAGTTTTCTGTCACCCAAATATGTAGGAGTAGGCTGCTCTTTCCTTGGAGTAAATGTTTCAAGTTGACCCCCACTAGTTCCACTTGACGGCAGGTAGTCATGATGCACGGTGGCACCATATGCCTCTCCAAACTGATTTTGAAAATATTGCATATGTAGTGGATCTACAAGGGGTGGTTGAAGCATTAATCCATGAGGTCCATAAAACTTTCCTGGATGATGTGATCCACCAATATGTGTAATGCTTTCCCCAGCAAGGGGAGCAGCAGTCCTACTATCAATCCCTGGGGCCGAAGCAGCACCAAATGGCATAGGAATTGGACCATGAGAATGATAGCTGGTCATAAATGGGGGAACGAACGTCGAGCCTAGTGCATACCCTCCCATACCATAATGCGGCGAGTATAAGCCAGATGGTTGGAAGTTAGGATAGTAAGGACTCCCAGCAGTCATGTAAGCAGTAGCATTTGCATATAAAGGAGGGTTGAGTACAGAGGAATTGACTGATGATTGTAAGTCAACAGATGGGAAATTCGGGTGGACATGCGATAAGTTATCAACGGGACTGTGGGAATAACTCATCGCTTGTGAAATCACGAGAGCTTGGATCCCATGAGGCTGATGAGGAATGGTATGGCGAACAGATGGATGCTGCTGAGACTCATTCCTATTATAAGATTGTTGTTGTTCTTGTCTGTTTCTCATCCTCGCTTCCATTTTCACGACACCAGACTGAATGGAACCTATATTTGGGGAATCTCCCTCCTGGTTAGCTTCCTTTGTCGCAGATTGATCCCTTTTCTTTGGTGCATTTATTTGCAAAGAGGAGGTTGGGGTGTCATTGCCTGATGATAACCTGAGAGCATGAAGGTCAACTTCATGCACATCTGAGCCTCCATCAGAACCATCATTTCCTTCAGGAAATTCTGACAAACTAATAGAAGAAATATTCTCTGTAGTTGCATTGACATCATGTTCAACAGCTTCTTCAGTTCCATGACCTGGGGAACGGGTATGACTATACACAGGGGATGGCGTCCGGGGAAAGTCTTCCTACAAAGAAACCAATAGGGAAAACATGGGAAAATAACATCATGAAGAGTTTAGAGAGATGTAATCCATGAATGATCGGCAATAAACCCTGACAGGGCGCAGACAGTCGGTTCCAAAATCATATTCTATATTTATAGTCATAGTGAACCACATGAATAAAGTTAGGAGGACATGTATCAATGCAACTCTAAGATGCAGGGTTACATAGGCATACACAAGTTTACACTGAGACCCAAACGGTGACTGCACTAATGTGACAGTTTTGCAGGTAAAGATTATGGAACATGTATGCGGCCCTCCACCTATCACAATCAGAAAATGCTCCTCCCATACGCATAAGAAAAATAACCATTCAGTATGGGAACTTCCTAGCCATGTCCTGATCCTTTTGTGATTGAAGATACGCCAAATATGACGGTCTTGTAGATATAAATTCCCAATCGCATCAACAATATTTCTAAAAGATTATTAGGAGATTTCATGATAACCTTCCATGCTCACAAAACAAAGAATCCATGTTGTTTGCCCATTGTAAATATATCATTCATCCCTTTTAAATGGAAAAATCAAGTTAACTGATGTTAAAACCATTGTTGAAAGGCAGAATTACAGTTCCACCAGTCAACCTTTGGGTCATCCACTAAAATCTAATAATCTTGTTGCATTATCCCTATCCAACATAATTTATTACCTCTCAAGTAGAGAAGGAAGATATTATATACCTGTATAAGATCAACCAAACTTTTATGACGACCACCTGCAAAAGAAGCACTGTGTCCTGAGATGAGCAGACTGCTATTGTCCAAGGAATTTTCCGATGCATCCCTGGGTGATCTTTCGTCTTCAGGCTCCTCCTTATGAGTAGATAAAGAGCCTCCAGATAAGTGTAAGGAGACATTGCCAGTGTCATCTACTGAAGCACCTCTCCAGTTAGTGCCCAAACCACCAATATGCCGCACCAAACGCCGGTTCTCTCGAGATAACAGTGGCGGTGGAAGTCTTGGATTCAAGTTGACATTAGAGCAATAGTAAGCAAAGTAAGCAGGATCAGAGCGCAGTTGTTCTTCAGACTCGCAATTCTCTATAGCATTGTGTAAACTTTCCAAGCTAGAGGTCATGCTCATGTTCTGTTGAGCTAAGAGTTTCCCTATAGCTGCAATTGACCCTTCCATACTTGGTGGTGCACTACCACTTCGACTTGGAACACTTTCAGTTTGGTCACCATGGACCCTATGCCCGTTGAGAATCATTCCTAATTCCTCTGCAGCCACAGACTTTAAAGGTGACCGATAAATAGCAGCATCCTTTGGCGATGACCATTTTCTAGCACCACATCCCTCCACCATTCTCACAGGGCTCTCAGTTGCCATATTCACCTCCATAATATTCTCTTTTTCCTGATCTCCAGACGTATCCTTTTGTTGTCTCAATGACGCTAAGCCATATTGATCAACCACTGCATTCAAGACACCAAGTCAATTAACTCATCGTAGTGGTGACTTGGGTACTTCAAACAACACAAACCAACTAACATCCCAGCATTTAACCTTAACTGAACGGAATGATGACCAACATGCATAATAATAGAGCTTATTGAAGGCTTACGCCACCCACCAACTCCCCAACCCTCAAGAAAGAGCAAGATCGATCATCTCTTATTGAATTTATTTTTATGAAAGAGATTAACTGTTTGCGGATAAAAGTCACATTTCACCACTTATGCATGCAACAGATAATTCCAAGCTTACTGGCCAATTGACAATTCACTGCTAACAAATATTTCCCACCTTATTGGCTAACTGACCAAAGACAAAGGGCTCATAATTGTCCAGAACAGTAAATGAGCCAGTAGCCAGTAGGTGTCCATATCAGAAGTAGATGCATGCAGCAAGATACCAAAGTAGCGTCTGTAATGTGTGAGAAACACAATACTGCATACAACAATCCTTGAAATTTTTAACTATAATGCCTCTGTAATTACAGTTCATCATTCAATTTTTCAACATTTATTCCATGAAGTCTGAAAACTAAGGCCATATTCTAATACATATGGCATAGAACCATTCTTTTGTTTCGCATATTTTATTGCTTCCTGCCCTGACATCCACCGGAATCCTGAAAAGATTACTACTTATGTTTCTGAATGACATTTCAATATCTTTCATCCTCCCCAGAGAGCTTCATCAAATGCAACTTCTCAGATAAGTACTTATATTGAACCAAGCAGCAGGTAACAAAAGTTGTGAAATTTCTTAGACTTGTGAATCAACAATCTATGCACAGCTTTCAGATGATGTTTGAATTGTAAGGCAATGGTAACAGCAGGATTTCAGGTCACATATGTCGCAGAAAAATGGCAGTTCAACACGACTCCACGCCACTAGAGAATCAGGCATATCAATAAAAAGAAGAAGAAACAAGGAAAAATGGAATGATCAGCAAGTAAGAACTGAAACAAGGTGAAGATAGAGTAACAATGGTAAGGCGCTGAACAATATTGAGGAATACAGCACGTTGAGGGGCTAACTGCGCCAATTATAAGCAGGACCTGATGGCGACCCTTGCAACGAATCAAAGTAAGTGCCATCCATTTTCATCTTTACATTTCATCATATACCCCTAACCCAGAATATAGTCGAAAGCCATCAGTGTGCCTCAAGGCAGGCTAACGAGTAACGACACAAGCTAAGCCAAAGAAAGAGACAACCCCCACTCATTATTGCAAAAAATAGACATCATGTCAAATTTGCCTCTTTGGGCATTGAGAATCGATCAGAATCCAGATATCAGTGAATGAACAGCTGATCATGTAAAATCCTTGTGCTTGACCTACCCAAAACCTCAGAACTTCGCCAAAAAAAGGTTAAACCCCAGAATCCACACCTAAACAACTAAAAGCTTCCCACAATATCGAAGCAAACCAACAAGGCTCACAACCCACCAAAGTGGAAGGGAAAAGGAGACCAAAAAAACACCCCTTTACACCAAAAACCAGTCCATAACCAGAAATTGCAAGAACAGGAAGATAAATACACCATGAAAGTAAGCTGCTTGGACTCACCTCACCAGCCACAACGAAACCCAGAAGAAGAAAAACAGCTGAAGAAGAGCAACACCAGAAGAACCCTTCTTGAAAGAACAGAGAAACTCAAAACTCTGGGAAGAAGAGAGAAGGAGAAGGGTAAAAGGAAAACGAGAGCTTTTGGTGCTCTTTGTAAATTACAAAACCAACAAAAAAAAAAATGTTGGCTTGCTAGCTAGAGAACCCTCGCAACAGTTAGCCCGGACTTCAAGTTTGAGACTTTTGCTTCCGTTTTGTTCCAAATTCGTAATATTTATCATAATTAATTAACGTAATACGATTTAATTAATGTTCCATTCCAAGTTGATAATTAAATTAACATATCTGGAAGAAGTGTGAAATCTTTTGGCAATATTTGATGAATGACGAATCTACCACTTCATGGTACTGGTGGCGGGGCGTTTTGGTCCTTCTGTGTTCTTGGTGAAGAAAGCTTTTATTGCTTGGGGAAGCCATTGATGGACACGTGCACGTCAGGACCTAGAGAGCAGGATTAGCCGACACGTGGCTGTCGTGCTGTCGCTGACATCAGCTTCTTTCTGCCTCTGCAGTCTGCTCCCTTCCCTGTGACCGAACTTTCATGGCAGCGTTTTGGAGCTTTTCTTGTTCAACTTCAATCTCTTCTTCCTCCTTTTAGGGTTGGGATTATAACTACCAAGAAGCAATCCAATGGAGCTGGAAATTGGCTTAATGACGATGGGAAGTTAAACCTTTTCTTTCATGCACTCAATCAAAGCCGTACGTGTCCAATAATTGGAGTTACTAAAAATGTGGTGACCAAGATGTTCTTCTTGGGACCTTTGACTTGGCTTTATTTAGGGTTTGGTGAGGGAATGATGTAGATTGCTCTTTTAAGTTTTCTTTTGTTTGAATTGGATAGGATACATACAAGTGTATTGAACTCAAATAAAAAAAAAAGAGTCACTGTCTATATTACATAGGGGTGGAGTTTCGGTTAGTTCGGTTATAACCGGTAACCGAACAGTCGGTTATTGGTTAACCGAACAGTCGTCCCCCATTACCGACAACCGCCCAAAATAGGCTTCGGTTATCTCGGTTACCGGTGAACCGAGCCCCCTCCAAGACCAAAACCATCTCGTCCAGCCTCCAATAACCGACCAAATTTTGGTTAGTTCGGTTATCGGTTACGGGTTAACCGTCCGGTTAACCGGAAACCGGTAACTGAAACTCCACCCCTAATATTACATCATTGTGAAGACAGATTCGTGTCAACTACTTTCAATATTGAATCGAATAAGAGTGAATCGGGTTGCTTGCTGAAAGTGGATTTTGTTGAAGAGTCTGCAAGCCCATGACTAATCGAGGCGTGAATAACTTGAAGTCGGCCAGTTCTGGCGAACAAAATGACAATCAAGTTTCGAATGTTTCATGCAAGAGCAAAACGTTGAGTTGGCAAGGTTGTTAACCCGCGGGTTGACCCAGACCCGGTGGAGCTAGTGGGTCAAGGGTTAATGGGTCACCCGGTGCCCGGAAAATATGGAAATAGTCATTATATTGTACTTATCCTGATAAATTATATCAAATCTCAACAACATATGAGTTATAACATATAATATTCCACCAAAATAACATGTCGTACTTAGATCCAACATATATTGAAAATTTACACACACTTATATAACATATATATATTCAAATGTTTAACTTAGGATTCCAAAGATAGAGTTAGGCGAAAAGAAAAATCGGAAAATAGGCGCATTTCGCAAATCAAAGAAAAAATGACACAATTTGACCTCCAACCCGATAGCTTGTAGCGGTCGACCCGACGGGTACATGCGACCCGTTTTTCTCATCGGGTCAGGGTTAAAGTGGGTCAACCCGCGGGTCATAGAATTACATGGCCTACAAGTTATATTCTCGTAGAATGTAAGAGACATCTAAGATATACATTTCATTCATTCCCTATATGTCATAGAATTTTTTTTTCTTTCTTAAACAAGATTAAAACCAATCGAGGTTCGTAAATTCCCAATAACATCATACATGATCCAATTATGTGATCATAATTGGAGGCACGGAAAGCAACTAGGGTTTGAAGATCAAGTAAGGTGGATATTGGGCTCATAGAAAATTGGGCTCAAGTTGAGAGCGAAGAACGGGCCTTTCTGTTAAAATCTCGCTCGAAAAGGAACCCATAAAGATTCAACAGCTTGAAACCTGGGATTTAACGATGCACATCCTATGACCAACAATCTACACATGAGCTTCTCTGTTAGCATTTTAGCGTTTCCCATTACATGAAAGATTTGCAGCTTTCAACCGCAGCTAGCAGCTAACCGATACAAAAAGAAACCGATTCTCCATTCTCCAGCCTACATTTCCTTAATGTGGGCACGTAACAAGTTAAGCTACTAGTAAGTACTAGCAAGGGAAAAGGATTGGAGATGGATCTCTCTGCAACTTCCCATCTGCTAAATTCAGTTTTTTCATCTTATCCTCGCACCAAATCAACTGTTCTTTGCTGATCCGGATCATCCGAAGCACCCTGGATACGATTTTGATGTCAACGAGGCCGAACAACAGCTGAACATCCTCGTACGTCTGAGGCCATGTTTTCTTCTTCCATCCTTTCCTCTTCTTGCACAGTTCCTTCAGTCTCACCTTCTTCTGCAGCCGCCGAAAAACAAGAAACAATGTATGTCGAAATCATGGTTCACAGTAAGCAAAAGGATGGATCTTTGCTTAAAACAATGCAGGGTTCGAAGTGTACTTGGGGTATTAATTCATTGGTGGCATGATGAGATTACCTTGTCGATTGAAGATTGGATCATTTGAAGCGGGGTTGCAATCTGATTCTGATTTCCAAACAATGTGATGCCGCCAGCGTTCGACTTCTTCTTGTCCATCTTGACAAAAAGTTGGAAGGTTAGAATTGCACTCTCGATAACTCGAATGAGATCTTGTGCACGCACCACCGAATCTGAATCGAGCTCTCGTGCATCTTTCCCATCTAAACCTGAATGGATTCTCGGTAGAGTCAGTTTCACCACTAAAAATCAAGCCTTTAGTATAAAACACATCTCACATTTCTTCTCTGCATTTTCTCAAAGAAAAGAAAATGGGGCTTGCCTTTCACATTTGGAGCTTGGAGTAGTCTAGGTAACACCCTCCTCGAACGGGCAAATACTTCTGCTCGAAAACCTTGCTCAAAGGGCTCGTTCTCGATAAACCGTTGCAGCAGAACTTGGAATTGCTGAAACTGCTGAGCACTGTGGTTGTAAGAAGTGGGGTTCTCGGGTTGGCACGAAATCCGCTGACTGAGTTGAGTGTACTGGCAGTGAAGTGCCTCCCAAGTCAGGCACATTTGAGCTACATATGCAGTTTCGAGGTCATGGTACTGGTCGTTCTGAGGCTGCTGCAGATGCTCCGTTTCATCTTCGGGGTCTTCGAATTTCTTCAACGCTAGGCAACGGAAGGGAGATGGTAACTTCTTCGATGACGATTTCGGAGACGGAGTAGCAGGCATAGTGCAGCAGCCTGGAATGGAAACAGTTTACCAGCACTTGTAAGATAGAAAGAATGCCACTCCATAGCAACTGATCCAGTGATAAGGCAATAACCTCAGCTACTTCACAAGCTCTAAATTCAGACTAACTGATACTATCCAATCACCATAGCCATTACCATCCCCAACATCAAGCAGAATTTGAACATGAATCTGGCAGATAAATGTTCTTCCTCTTTGCAGATATAGCATAACAAGACCAGAACTCTTCCTCAACTACCATGGCAACATTTGAAGATCAATAAAAAACAGAGGACCAAAATAAAAAAAGGGTTGGTGTTTACCATTTTCATTGAGCTGGAGAATGCTCAATCGATCGAAGCAGAGCATTCTATCGCAGTATTTATCATAAACAGCATCAAACCCACCCCACCATTGCCTTCCTTCAGCTTCAACATCCCTCCATTCTCCACAGATAGCGTCCCCTGCCTCTCCGCCATTTTCTTCATCATCTTCTTCCTGTTCAGGAAAAGAATCTTCTTCAGGGATCAACGCCATGAAGCTGTTCCTCCTCAGTTCTTTCAACCTCCTCTTTACCTCATTGGTTATGAAGTCATCGTCTTCGTCCTCCTCAGCCTCTTCTACCAAATCCACCGACTTGGCGTTGTTGGTTTTACTCAATTCCTCACCACCACCTCCGCCATTGATGTCTTTCTTTGGCACTTCAGGAGAAGTAACAGGCTTGCCTTCAGATTCCTGCTCCAGCTCTGGTTTGCGGGCTCTTCTGAACTTCCTCACTTTGAACAGATCCATCTTCGACAGCACAATGAGCCCACCTTTCCTTTTTCCTTTCTCTTTCTTTCCCTTCACACTTCCTTCTTTCTTCCTTTTAATTCAAAATCGAAGTCTTTGCAGGAGTCAAAGATGGTCAAAGCAGGGGAGAAAAACGCCGAGAAGATCTCTAACGAAGCAAATGCACACAAAAATCTCTAACAAACGAAACCGAAACCCAGAGATCAACAACTGGTGACAACCCACAAAAATAGAGGAAGCCGGTAGTAGCAGCTAGCTAGCTCCAACAAGTGAAAGACTGAAACTTGCTTGCTTTTCTACCCATTTGAAAGAGAAACGGCACCCAATGCCCAAGAATCACACACCAGCAAGCAGCATTGTCACAGGGAGGAAGATTCAGGATCAATGAAGAAACTCTGAAACAAACCCACCAAGAGACTTAAAGCACACAACTTTCTCTCGCAGAAAACGTAATCTGATGGAGTGCTGCTTCTTGGGTTCTCCCTCTATTTCTTTCCCCCCCTTTTTGGACAATCTTGTTAGTTGAGAACAGAGGAGAAGATGAACTAGTTTTCTTTGCTTGTTTTTGTTGGTAGGGTTTCCTCAGGTGGAAGGAACAGCAGAGTAAGGACAGAGAGAAAGGGAGAGAGAGGGAGGTGGTAGTGTTTTGAAAAAGAGAGAGTGTCGGGAAGAAGAAGAGAAAGGCTATAAATGCGAAGGAGTCATTACCATATTGCCACTTTCCACTGCATAGAGAAAATGATTCCGCTTTTCAACGCATTTGGGATGATTATTATACCAATTTATTGATGAGATTCTGGAAAACGTTAAAAACCAACATTAAAACCCGCCAAAAACAATACCAATTACCACTCTCTTTACTTGTTTTTTCCCCTCAAAATCTTCACCAGGCCCAGCTTCGTGAAATAAAAAAGAGAGTTCAATACACAAGAGAAACCCCGTTAGTTAAAATTCAAGCTGAGGGATAGAAGGAAACAGCCAAACCAGAAAACAGAGGACGAAGCAAAGTGGACTCTGTAGATTTATTATTAACAAGAAAATTTGCAGATTGGGGGAAGCAAAGCAATGCAGTAGAAGGAAGGAGGAGGAGAGAGAGAGAGAGAGAGAGAGAGGGACATGGAGGACTCGGGACACGAGGGAAACAGTGAATGCAGAGAGAGAGAGAGAGAGAGAGAGAGCAGAATGCAGAGTAGCTAGTGAGATGGTACAGAGAATATTGTCAGACGCTCCTTCTCTCTAGGCTTCTGTTGTGGACAAACCAGGAAACCGAGAGAGAAAGGGAGTTTTCTTTTTGTTTTTCGTTTCCAAGTTTCCAATTTGTGGGCTTGGGCCCTGACTGTAGAAGCTTACGCGCCATTACTAAACAAAAGCAATGTGCAGTGTGAAGCAGAGTGAAGCTGGTTTTAATGGAGTCTATTTCGTTCTCAAACAGCTACACAGTTGACAGAGATAAGGAAAGGAATGATGCACAAAACCAGTATTCAAAATCTGTACTCGAAAAATCCTCACTTTGTTTTCACCTGCTAGACAAGGGACTTAGTAAAAAACTGCTCAGACATTCTTCAGCTTGTTCATTTTGGAAGGCGGCCATCGCCCTTTCTTCCTCAACCTCCGCTTCCTCACGAGCCTCTTTCTCCTCAGCCGGATCTTCTTGGCCAGCTTCATTTTCATCTTCTGCTCGAGCTTCAGCTGCAGCTTCGACTCCAGAGGGAGTTTATCGATCGACAAGCTCTCTTCATCCCCACTATCGCTTGGTGGCTCCACGCTTGCTGGACTGGGATCATCGATGTCAGCTACTGCCCTCGGTATCAACCCAGCATTCCTCGCTGAAGCGATGCCAGCAGTAGAGCTAAGTCCGTCGAGAGGTTTTGACAGCGGATTCACGGGCTTCAGGTGCAGCCTGGGGACTGAAAGTTCGACACGCACTACCAATCATCAGTTTCAAAGCAAAATGAGAAGATGGCAGATATATGTGTGCCTACTAAGAGCAAGAAAAGGTATTGAACAAAGGGAGAGAATGGAGCAAAACAAGGAAAGACCTGTATTAGCAGGAAGCAGCAAGGGATGCATTTAACAAATAGGGTGCTTAACAAATTACAGAACAAATATATTGAGTTCTTTGCTGAGAAATGCAACAGATGGGTTCTCATTCAGTTAACTGGACTAAAACTATATATATATCCCATTAGCACGGCTATTAGCTGAAAATTCTCAATTGATTTTGGCACTTCTTAAAATCTAATTATAGGAGGAGGCAAGGGAATCCAGAGATACATACACAACTTAGTAATGGCCTTGGATGATGTTGATGATGAACAACAGCAAGATGGAGACCAAAGTGGAGTACCACCATTGGTTAGAATGAGAGCCATTGTCTTTGTCTGCTCTCTTCTTCTTTGACCTGCATATCCTGGAAGTATAAGGATCTCATAACTGGCAGGAAACAGGGCAAACAAAACCAACCAAAGAAATGTATCTTGTCCCTTCCAAAAAGATACCAAACCATGAAAACTTCAATGGTTCTGCTTGAAGATTGAATCCACAGGTTATTAAATCATAAGTTCAGACACAATTTTTTGATAAAGTTCGTTCACGCACAATTTACATGACATATATCCAAGTTACCTGACTAATTACAGAAGCAAATCCTACCCAATAGAGGAAAACAGAAAGAGCCATATATGAACCCATCTCAATCTCATCTCCAGAAGAAAAAAAAGAGGCAACTTCAAGAACAAACACCTTGTACTAGCATGCCGGTTTCAGGAACAGAAGTAGCAGACTACACAGATGTAGCAGAATCAGCCTACATCGCCAATTCCCTAACTCTATGAAAAATCGCTACAGTATTAGGACCAAAAACATCTATGGCCTACAGGTGGAGCTTCAAACTATGACTGAATATCAACTCAATCCATGAATTCCTCTTCTTCCTATTCACAAAGATAATTCCTTCATCTTTCCTTTCCTCCCAGCAGCTATCTCGCACTTTAAAACGGCCAAATGTCTTCCAATTCTCGTATCGCCAAGAAACGAAAACAGCAAGGCCAGAAAAGAAAACAAGGCAAAACAAAAGTAATGCGGATACCCAGAAAGCCATTAAGAAGCGTGTCAAATCAAGAAAGAGAGTAAGGACGAAAATGGGAAATCAGAGACGTACCCAGTAGACGAACGAGAGTGCCCAAGCTGATAATGTCTGAAAGAAGATGAAGCGAAATCGTAAGAACCCAGAAATGGAATTACAATTGAAGTAAGAGGAATTCAATTCATGGGTTTCGTTCGGCTAAAGCGGCAGAATAAAAGGCTACGCAAAGAGAGAGTATACATACAGCAGTGGCACAGATAAGAGGAGAGGATAGAGGTAAGCGAGCAAGCGAACTTTTCTATTGAACTGGATAGGAGTCAGTCCGGCTGGCTGGGCAACGGATTTTCAGACCGGTAAACAGTAAATCACAAGTGCGGGTATAAAAATAGACAGCAGTCAATAGCACTGAAAAGTGACTATTTTGTCCCTCCATTCTCAATCAACTTGCCAAAACCAGCACTGAGCACTGCCAGTATTGCGTTCCAGTGTTCCACCTCTCTCACAACTAAGGATGGAAATTAGTACGATATCGGTGTCATATATATTAAGTCGCCCTATAGATGGCCGAGTAGCATCATACAACTCAGTGCTGCAGCCACTCATCAAGAAGATAGAATAGAATGAACACCAACAATAAGAGGGGTCTGGAGGGTGGATTCATTCCGATCTTTGCTAGCAAAACGAAGAATAGAAGCTGCATAATCAAATTTAAGCAGAAGCGTTACAAATTACAAAAATGCCAAAACTTTTAGGTCGCCCAAATATAGCAGTACGTAGTTTGCATTACATTTCGTAAATTAGAGCACTCGATGGCCTAACAGACGGCCAGTGGCTAAGACTACCTCAACGCAGCATTCGGGTATACAAGTCAGGTTCATTGGATATGTAACTTCAGTAGATTCCAGGAATAATGCGGTAAGGAACCTTATCGCAGTACGTCTTCCAGTATTTCCCATACCTGCAACAAGGATGGCATCGGATTTTATTCCGGATGAATTGTCAGCCTTCTTCTCTCGATGAAAATGGCCAGCATGCTTAACTAGAATGAATAAATGATAAATCTGGAACGCTGCTTACTTTGAACGGCAGCGATCATCATCTCTTGTAGCACGGTCCACAAGAAGGATGGTGAGATATATCACATAGAAGTAAGGGATAAACTGCATTATCAAAGGCATTCAGTTCCAGAGAGACTATAATTATGCATAAGTAGGCAAGTGTAAGTTAAGTTTGGGTGAGCGCTCACATGGTTGAAAAGCGCAGGCAGAGACCAGAAGAAGGAAGCCAATATTTCAGGAACATAATGAAAATGCCGAGCTAAGCCCCACCTGAAATACCAACAGTGAAGCAATTAGTCATTGACCAAGAACCTCGTTAATGTATAAACCTGATGAAACCGAATCCAAAAGCTTGTATAATCATCCCACAATGACAACAGCACCCTAAGCATAGACACCAAAGAGAAAACAGAAAAGCTAGTGAAGTCTGGAATTACCATCCTGATGTCAAGAGAATGCTCGACTTAGTCTCCCCAGTTGTGGTAGTATAGGAAGCCGTAATCTGTTAGCAGCAAATAAAACTTGTTATGTCAGGTTTTCATTATCCAAGCACAGACAGCAGAATGAAATAAAAAACCGACTTTAGAATGGGAATGAGATGACCTTCGACGGAGGCTTTCCCCAAACTAAACACTTCCCATTTGTCCTGCGGAATTCCTGCCTTTGCCTATCGCAATCATAGTTGACATATACGCAAAGAACACCAGCAGCCAATATCAAAAGTGCAAGCTGTACATAATAAATATCAGTAAGGCGATTAGCCAGTATCTCAGATTGATTTGTAAGCAATAATCCGATCAACCCACCAACTGACCCAGAAATGGACTGTAACTGAAGCAATCCAGTCTAAAATTGGCCCAACCAAGCCATTTGCCATCCAACTTTACTACCATTTTAATGATTGGTGAAGATTAACCTAAGATTACTGTGAATGATGAGGGATGGAAACCCAAATCACTTTCACGAACTACACAATAGGAAGGAGAAGTATACCTGAGATCCAAGCTCCACAGGATGGTTGACTAGGTACATGCCAGGAGAAGTATAAATAGAGGGGACCCACACTAAGCATCCCCAGCAGATGTAAAAACCAGCTGCCAGTAGGAAAAGACCAATGAATCATAGTGACAATAAATCCCGAGTATCTAATGGCCAAAATGAACAATTTTTAATAACTAATGGAGCAAAAAGAAAACAAATGTTAAAAAAAAAAACTCTGGAGTTATACTTGTTCCTCATTTATCTATGCTAGGTGGTCATTCTGTATGCCTGCTGTGCTCATTCAGTAAGATTTTGAGATCCCCTACACTGCTTGTTTATGTAACTATCACTGCTCATGGGAAAGGAAATAAAGGCTGATGCTTTGACACACAGCACAGATTCCTATTTTCCAAATGCAAAACCAACAGACAATCATCCCAGTTTCTCTTAATTTTCTATATGCTCCCAACATTTAGCAGCTAACTAAGCAGCCTTCTTAAGTTTCAAACTCATTGCTCTTTCTTCAAGTAGCATGTAGCCTATTACAAAAATCAAATAATTGGATTGATGAGTTCGGCCATCCAAGTACACTTGAGTTTAACAGATATGCTCACGAGGAACTGGAAGTTCTAACATATACAAACGTGTCAAAGAAACAAACTGCAACGTCATCAAATCAAAGAAGATAATTGTGAATGATTCCATTTAACATGTTACTTTCATAACAGTAGCTTACTGCACATGACACCATCCCAGGCTTGCTAATAACTAGACATCATCTGTCACATGTTTACCTCGATCATGGGCGATGTCCATTGTATTCCAGTAACCAGCCTCCCACCAGAAAAACTTTGTGATATATACGAGCATCAGTATTGTATTCACCAGTAAGGAGTCCGCTACTTTTCCATACAGCTCATACTGGTCAAATAGGAAGAAATTTATATTAGATAATCTTCTTCTTCCTCCACAAACATGATTTGACACCAAAGGGATAAGGAAAGCAAATATCTCCGATGTATTACAATCATAAGATGATTCTTAGAATTGCTAGTACATCAGCTAATCTCCAAATATAAAAATATGTAAAGTACTGATTGCGAAGAATTCCTATAATGATGCAATTACAGGGAATAAATAAACTGTAGCTCCCACAATAATTCTCAAAATCAAAGTGATACATAACAGTCTTCCATTATTCTCAAATTCATAAAGACTGAGACTTTCACCTTAAATTATGTACATTAATGAAATTATTTGTATGAGATACTTAAACCCGTTCACCTGTTTAAAGCAATAGGTCAATGCAAGAACTGCCCAAGACATCATCCCGAATCTGCAGTTTGTGAAAACTTTGATGTCGAAGCTCTTGCCAATCCGAGGATATAACTCCATACCCTACATTGTTTCAGCCTTTTAGAATCGATCACTAAACATTATTAGGATAGTGTTGCTTCCCCCCTATCCAACTCATGTGCTTCTTTCTTAGTACACTTTTAAGTTGCTTAACCCAATTTCAACCATAGAGAACTCACCCAGTAGAAATCAATTATTATGTTCCCAAGGGAGCCAGAATCTGTAGATGATGGTGCCACATGACCCTGAAGTAAGAACAGGTGGGTAAGCAATTAACCAAAAAATAGGATAACTGCGAGTTAGTTCTCCATATAAGCACCCTTACTTTAATATAGAGGAAAACACAGAAGAGGAAGCTTCCAAAAATGAGAGCTGAGAAAATTTCTCCCAAATGATCATAAACCATTGAAGGGTTGAATATCCCAAACCTGAAATCACACATTAAAAATCACCAGTTACCTTCAGAATCAAGCAAAATAGTTACTCTTTACCTTAAGAAACTATGAGTACCAGTTGACACCAACACGGTTTTACTAATTACATAAGATCACTATAACGGTATAAGGAACAGCTAACTGAATTCCCATAAATAATGACACAGATCATAAAAGGCCGACTACTCACCACCATATACCAATATATGTAGCAATTGTGACTGCATATGCGAGCACGCCATTTGCCTGAAATAAACACCAGAAAGAAGAATAGTAAGAATGCTAAACTAAGGATATATAATAATTCACTATACCCAAAATGGCACAAGGTACTGAATTAGTGCACTCCTTTCGATTTGTTTTCAATAATTCAAAATACAGCGCACCTAAGCAACATCATACCTTGTAAACAGGCCGGTTCCCTTTAGGAGAAATCGGTCCTTGAACGGTTTTACCAGGCAAAAGAAGCTGAAGTGCAGCCTCAAATGCAGCATAACAACCAATCAGTTTCCAGGCAGTAGCAGTTGGTTTCGGCCATATCTCAATGAGTCCCCTCAACCCATTCCCATTCAGATAATCCCACGTTTGGGATACCGAACCATCAGCATGCACCATCGTATACCATCTGTAGTGGGCAGTGCAAAAAAACAGTCCACTCTTTATACCCAACTCCAAACTTACAGTAACTTCCAACATACTCAGATTAACACGTCCCATGCTTCAAGAAAAGCGAAATTATAGATCGAACAGTTCAATAAGCTGCACATCCGCTAATCTACCGTGTTGCTTCATCAGCTGATATGGCTAAGTGCGAACTGCGATATATCCAAGAATAACTATTACGTGATACAGCTTAGGACATGTCTTGTTGGAGACTTCTCTCCACAATTTTGTCACTATTTAAACCCACTTCCAAGTTAAGAAAGGGCACCTGCATTCGGCAATTTGGTAAAGAACGCCTAGCAGAACAAGAAGAAAACGTCAAAAGAAATCACTCACTACATTGGCGACAGAGCCAAGGCAACACACTAGCATTAAACAAGTTGAGTAGAAACACTGAATCGTGGTATCCAGCGCCCAACAGACTGATTCAGAATCAATGTTTCTCCCTACTGATTGTGGAAGCAGTGAGGATCCCAAGTGGATTTTTACTCATTCCGCCCACTATCTAATGGAAAGTAACAAACTTTAGCTTCCCACAACGACGTTTGAAGATCGGGGAAGATCCCCCAATTACGCAGAGAAACAAGTTAAGATGCAGGGTAATGGTTCCGAGAGAAGGCAAGTAGAGGAATTCCAGATCAAAGGGTAAGAAGGAAGTAGAGAGAAACATTACAGCAGAATAACGAAAGGCGGGCAGAGAGTAAGGAGGGAGACGACAGAGACGTAAGTGATTAGAGGGGAATGAACCGTATTGGATGCTGCTTCCACCATCTTCAATCTGAAAACCAAATCTCTGCTATTCCAGTTGGAGAGAAACCCAGATGAATGAATGATTGAATGGGAGAAGTGAGTGGAGGAAGCGCCGTTATAAAGCTGGCGAGAACTGAGGACTCTCTGAGGAGTGGTTGATTTGGCTCTGGCTTGACTTACAGAGAAAACGGACTCCGCTTTCTTTCTTTCGCTTATTCTTTTTTTTGGGTCAATGCCATCTTAGTTTGGTACACTAGCTTATTACCGGCCCGTTGGCCGGATTACTGTATGTTACCCACTTGTGGAATGAGAGAGAAAGCAAGTGAGAGTGAAGGGATTGGGATTCCACTTGATTAGGACCGACCCACTAATCCGATTCTTCCCGACCCGCCCCAACCTAAAGGGTCAGAAAGAGTCAATAAGAAAATACGAACGGAGAGGATTAGTCATATATCTTGACTCTTCAGAAGTGGGTTAAATAGGATCAAGGTTGGGTGAGGGCAATTTTTAGCGCTAAACAGAGTTCTGGGTTGAATAACTTTACTTAGGCCTAGAAATTGGTGCTGATGCAGACTGCAATTTTTATTATACCATCATCAATCATCATTGAATTAGTCATGGGCATCCCTCCCCGTTGTCGGTCTGAATTCTAATGATGACTTCATCCCTTGCACCAGCCATATCAGCGAGTTGTCATCTCGAGCATGATTTGCCTATGTACAAATGATACAATTAGAGTATGAAACTGGATTCAAAGAAAAGGAAAAGAGAATTCTATCACATGCCAATAAATACACACATAATAGTTGAAGCTAAGTGAAAGTCATTACTCGCACATCAATTCTCAAAAATTACAGACTAAACAATGGCTAGAATGGCACTGAAACTACCAAGAATCATGGACGAAACAACTTGTCAAATTAAATAATACTTATACTGAAACTACCTTCTAACTTGAAATAAGATATGATCACAGTTCATAGCACTCTTATCACTATGAATTGGTTGCAGCTCGTCCTTATCACTGCCTCCCAAGCTCAATTCAAACAGAATAGAGACCGTTATGTAAGATAACCATATCCTTACTGATCATAATTCCTTTCTTCACTCCATTTTTGTCGGAGAAAAGAGTTATCCCCCTCTCATGCATTTCCCTTTCCATCTCTCTTCTCCCTCTTCTTCACAAACCGATCCCTAAACCAGCAACAACACAAAAATAGCCTTCACCTCTGCCATCTCCATCTACTGAACGCGTTGGTGGCAAGACAGGACTGCAGAAGCAAAATTTTCTAAAATCAAACTAAATTTTTTAAAGGAGACTCAACCACGAAAAAAGAGTAAAGCAACCATGCTAATAGTTCAGATGGTTGGTTTTGATGTTATACGTTGCTTTTGTTATGGTCTCCAGTATATCAACTGCAACAGAGATGTTTCCTCCAATCATCTTTAGTGCACGATTTAGAAGTAAGTCCTCTTGTTTGTGTCAAACGGAAACATTCATGGGTTCTTAACTCCCCTGTTAGTGTAAATGCAGCAGCAGCAACAAAGAAGTTTGACAACAAAGAAGTTGGTACATTGTTTTAGAAACCGTACCGTCCGGTTGGACCGAAATATCGGACATCAAAACTCAAATCGATAAGCAATTTTAGGTCACATAAGATAACCATTTTTGTCTAGGGCTGGGAAACGGTGCGGTCTGGTTCAGACCATATATACGGTCTACGGTCCAGATCGAGAGGCTAAAGTATAGACCACAGACCAGACCACAGACTATACGGTCTGGTCCAGACCACGCCTCTGCGGTCTGGTTCGGTCTGGTCTGGTCCAGATAAACCACACTCAACGAAAAATGAATAATTTGTTTAGTCAATCACACAAAAAATTGAACCAATAACCAAGAAAAATATTTGTTATTTGCCTTAAAACATTAATCCTAACATGCATGAATAAATCTTAGTACATAACAAAGATACAAAGTAAAAGCATCTCAGCTTGCACCATAATGTCATAAACATTAACATAATGTCATATACAGACACGATTATCTCTACTCTGTGGTTAAATGTGGTTGTGAATGAAGGAGGGAAGAGATTCACAAAATTAAGGTTGAGACTTGGGTGTCGTTGTGGGAGTTTGGAGAGGGGTCGAATGGGCTGTTAACACGTATTGACAAGTCAGTTGGGTCTACGGTTTGGTCCGGTAAACCGCGGTCTAGACCAGACCAGACCAAGAAATCAAATCATAAAATAATACAGACCATGGACCAGACCAGACCAGACCATACTTCACGGGCTACGGTCCGGACCAAACTGTGCGGTACGGTTTGGACCACGGGTTTTCTAACGGTCTGGTCTATTTTCCCAGTCCTATTTTTGTCCATCAAGGAACTTTTCAAAACTCTTAAAGTCTTCACATGTGACAGTGCATGAACGAATCTGACAATAGTTAACCACTTTTACTATAAACCGCTAACTTTTTTTCGGTTCAACCTCGAATCGGATTATGAAAACAGATGTTTCAACCACGGATACTACCCTTTTTGGCATTTTGCCTTGATTTTGACTTGTTTCCACAATTTCATTAGTAGAACTCAATTGTCAATGACAACCAAATGTCAAATACATATTTTGGCCATTATACTTGTCTTGGGATCGAAATTACTCCTTATAGACCTTAATCAATCGGCTGCATGGCCAAAACAAAACAAAAACAAAAAAATACAGTAGGCAACTTCACGAAATGACTCCACTAATTAATCAGAGAGCCGGCCGCGGCTACAGAACCAAAATAATGAGCCAATAACTTCAATCGCAAATGGAACAAAGATGGCGGAACTACGAAGAACTGCAGAAATTGAGGAAATCTGATCAGGTGCTTACTCTGTATTTATGTATATTACGACGTTTAGTTTGAGAAAAACACGCCCGACACTCTGTTCGTTTACTAATGAACCGAGTGGAGCTCAACTTGTTCCAACTCGAGAGCTAGCTAGCTCGACTCGATTGCTGTGTGGGACTCAACTTGTTAGGTAGCTCGTTTTGAGCTCATGAATTGACTCGACAAAGTGGCTAGCAAGCAAGCTCGACTAGCGGCTTATGAGCACGAACTGGTCTTTTTATGAGCTGGTTTGTTGAAAATTTATGAGTTTGTTAGGTTTTATATCTCATCATATATGATGTGCACGACTTTGAGTACATAGACAAATATGTCTCAATTCTAATTTGAAAGAGAATTTCGGTATCATCGATTACTTAGATGCTAATTACTATTAAATAACATGATATAAACTATTGTTAAAATGATAATATATAAGCACGAAAATTTGACTTTTTTTTTCACTACGACATTTAAATGAGTTGACTTCGTGAACCGATTGATTAGTCAACCCCGCGTAAAGCTTGTGAGCTCATTAATGAGTTGACACCTTATTCGAACTTGAGTCAACAGCTAACAAATATTCGTTAAACAAGTATAGGTCGAGTCGTTTATTAACGAACAGAACTCGAGTTCGAGCTCAAACTTGGCTCAACTTATTTGCATATCTCCCTTGTTTCACCGGAAGAAGGCATTAACTACCCATGCAAGCGTTTGCTAAAAGATCAACATTGAGGCAAACTTTTAGAAACAAGGAAAACCATAAAAAGGGGTTCAGATAATTCTAAGGCAATCAATTGAGAGGACAAAATTTCAAGGTAAAAACTGCAATGACCAAGTATTTAGACATAAACCGAGAAAAGTTCATAAGAATCACCCCTGAATTGTAAAAGCAAAGGTAAAGATGAGCCTGGCCAACTGTATGTTACAGCCTACTAATAAAGAACCAGTCAGCTAGTTCTGAGTTCACTGTTCCAAAGAAAACGGCACATTCAATTCCTATGGGGGAGCTAAACTTTGTTTTCAGGACATTTTCTTCACAATTCCCTCGAACATACCATCGACGAAAGAGCTTCTGAGTTGGTCGGTAAGAACTGGACCAGGAAGCCTGAACTTGATGCTGAAGGGTCCTGGTGGGCAGAGGTTTTGAGTCTCCATGAAGAAGACTTGAGGAGGTTTTTCAACAACCTGCTCCCCGGTGGTGGTCACCCCTTGTATCTCCACCATCCCAGTTGGATCTACAACACAACTGAAGCTCCCTGTTCATGGATATTCAACTCATCAGGAAGCAAAACGAGACACGTACAACAGGCGTACGAATTTCCAACCATCACGCTGCAAAGTCTAGCAATGAGATAATGTGCAACCAAAAAAGAATAGCATGACACTTACTATCATTTCCAGACACTCCAGGAAGAGAGACACGGAATATGTAGAACCCGTCACTCTCCCCAATGTTCATTTGTCCAATACCTGAACCAATCTTCTGCATAGCTGCGACCCCGGAGAGGGCAATAGCTCCTCTGTTTCTGTTCAAGATATTGGCAAACTCGGCCTCAGTTGTTCCATTAGGAAAGAAAACCAAGGATGGGTCTTCTGTGTTTGTCGGTTCGACTGGGGGATCATCAGCTTCAGCACCACCATTGTTATCAGCAGCAGCAGCATTAGCATCATCATTTGCTACAAACGGGTCGAAATAATTCAGGGGTATAGCATTCAGAGGAGGCACATTGTAAACATGCCCAGGATCAATTGGCTCAGGCTGATTGTGTGTACGCTTGGCGGTAGACCTAGGGTACATCAACTTATCAGATGTAATGTCTTGAAATCAAGAAAGTACAAGATTGATCAAGTATGCATAAACAGCAAAAGTCAACATGAGAAATTAAGATCCAAATGAAAAAAGGATAAGTCTGGATCTGCATATTCTTGGGCGACACCAATCAGGCAATTCAGCAGAATCAACTTAGCAGTGACTAACATTTTCACTGAGCAAAAGTTTGGAGATGCACTCACCAAACAGCAACTAACCTCCTAACGGACCTAACCCGCCCCCTTCTACCCAGAAACAAAAACCCATGTAGAAGCTTGACGCAGAAGTTTAATATCAACCAAAAAAGATAAAACAATCTCAAATATAATTCTCAAGATTTTAACAAACTGTGATCATATAAAAAAAACAAGCACCAAAAACAAATACGAGATGCAATTCTGTTTAGCAAATGAAGTACCAACCTCAGATTGTGCATATAATTGTGGTTCACTCACATGGGACCAAGGAAGGCTAAAGTCCAAGTGAGATCTAGGGCTGTATGCAAAATATTATCATTCATGCAAAGGAGTAAGGAAAAGGCGAAGTTTATTATGAGAACAACCCGTCTACCATCTTCAAACAATTTCCCTTGAAAGCATAACAAATGCGGAAATCTCATAATCATAGCTGAATTGAATGCTCATACAGATATGAACAGAAGGAAAATATGTAAATCACAAAATTAAAAGACAAATGAGATGCAAGCTTCTTGCTAGACCATAAAACAGAAATCGTTAACCACACAACTCATAATTTTCCATAATCTCATAGGTGGGCATAGTACATACGTGTAGGCTTCCGGATCAAAGGAACAAAGGATAGAACTATTCAAGCCTACACAACAATACTTGAATCGAACGGGGTTATACAAATTAAATGATGCCTGCAAAAGATCAGCTAGAGTAGTGTGTCACTGAACCTCGAAACCCCGAAATAACTAGGGGAAACTCCGGCTTTCCTCATACTTCTTTGGCAGGGGTTGGGAATCAGGAGATGGCAAATCTTTTGAGATCTGATAAGCCTCGAGAGTCAAGCGAGAGAACTGTAATGGGAGCAGTGGCTGGACCTGGCCAGCTACATATCGGAAAAGTAACGGTTCACAAGCGGAAATTACTAATCGGCCCCTTGTTTTTTTCTACAGTCACAAATTTCTTGCCATCTATATTGTTCCTTTCATGGTATTATTATTATTATTATCAAGGTACCACATTTATGTCTTTCAAACAAGAATCAACATCTATCCCCCAGCCCTCACAAGCAAAGTCTCCTTCGCATTTTGCACGAGACAGACTGGTTAAGCTTTCTCTGTGAGCACAGTTGTTTTACCAAACAGAAAAAGCCATTCTTTTCAAGTAGATAACTGAATGCTCAAGCATGACCTCTCATGTAAGACGACAGTTGTTCTCACTGACACGGCACAAAGAATGCATATACATCACTAATCCACGGAGCTAAAAGTGAGGAACATAAGTATGGCTACCAGAGTAACAAGGTAGGAAAGGAGTATTAGCCACATAAGGAAAAAGATGATTTTTCTCTTGTAAGATAAAGGAGAAAGGGACTACCATCACCAAGCAGAATCAACAGAACCTATTAGAACGATGATTGAAAAGAAGCCGTAGTTCTCTATTAAATCACATCTCCATTGTGCTAGACACATTTGGTACGATTAATATGGTTCTGTTATAGTAGTATTCAATCAGCTTAAGCGGTACTCGACACAGGACTCATACAGGTTCGGCTTTGACGCCAGGCTATTTGAAGAAGAATCAAGCTACCGGGCTTGACTCATATATTGAATCCATCCAAACCAACCAGCCTACATTTGGCCATAAATTCTCCTACAAATGAATCGAACAGCACCCAATTTGCTGAAACAAAGTGATGAGAATCAGGTTCCTACTTCGGATAGGAATCATGCTCACTTGCTACCATGCATTGATACCCATTTCTTTCGTCGAACAAGCACACAAACCCAAGTAAGTAAACACTGAAAGAAACCAGTGAGCATCGACCATGTCAGCCCAACTACGCTCTCTACTACAATTTCTGGCTCGACAAGAACAACACTAAGAGACGAACAGTTGCCGCGGGAGGTCAAAGTTAAGCCACCAAATTCAAGTTCATCAAAGTAGATAATAAACCGACCCTAGCAACATCTCAGATAAACAAGGGGGAGTTTTGAATGGCGGTTTAGGTTTGCGAAATAGAGCCTGAAACATAATATTCAAAAGCTGATGCTAATTTAAATGCCAAATGATCAAAATCTTCTGTGCACAAGAAGTACCTTCCGGGAGTAGTCATCGGCGGGGGAAATGTCACCCAAAGGAGCTCAACTGAATACTACTTCGGACGCCGGACGAACTGCATCTCTAAGTGATTTTCAGTCCATCTCGCTGCTGACCTCGCTCCAAGTTCCCCTGCTCTGCGTGTGAAGAGAACCGAAGAAGCACTGTTTTATTTTTTCCTTCTCTTCTTTCTTTTTTCTTGGTAAAATAAAAGCTCCTGTGTATGTGAATCTTTTTTTGTTGTTGTTAGGCCCACGCGGTCGTAAGGATGGATCTGGGCCGCCCAGTGTGTGGCCCATGTTTGTTGCGCCGGCCCATGATAGATGGCCTCTGGACTATGTGGAGTAGGATTAGAACGGAAATGGGCAGGTCAGGGCCTGTCAGATAATTTATCATGAGCACAGATCAAGAAATGTCGATTCTATAAAAAATATTAATTTTTTAATTAAAAATCAAAAAATAAACTATCTTAAAATATATTAAAGGGGCCAAAGGTAACATAGCCTAGTGGTGAAAACACTGGTCCAATTGAGCTCTGGATGTGAGAGGTCCTGAGTTCGATTCCCAGTGGAGCCACTTGTGCGTTCCCGGCGGCACCCTTGGTATCGGAGGCGAAGCCTCCCCGATGTTGGTAGCAGAAAGCCCCGGTTAGTATGCAGGTACCCCCAGTGATTTAGTAGGCACCGCTGTCGCTCAAGCGGCACGTGGGGCTGAGGTTCCCTGGGTTATCAACAAAAAAAAAAAAAAAAAAAATATATATATATATATATATATATATATTAAAGGGGTTTGAGAAAAACACCCACTCCACGTCAGCCTTAAACGCCTCCCCTTAATTCTCGGTAGATTTTTTTTTTGCTTTTTTTTTTTGTACCATTTTTGCTTTTCTTTTTTATCGTAGGTTTGAGCGAACTTCAGTTTTTTTTTCTTCCGTTAATTAACTCTTATCGTAGGTTTGAGCGTACAACATTTCATATAAAAAAATTATTTAATTTTCCTATCTAAATGGAACGTGTGGCCTTTCTCTGAAAGTTGGGTATTTTTTTAAGAAAAAATATCCTTTTTTAATAGGAGGGGGAAATATCATATTTAAGTTTTTTTAAATGCCTATTTAAGTTTGTTTGTTCGGACTTAATTCCCATATTTTAAATGTAGCAGTAGTTATTTTAGAATGTGTTAGATAATTGCTAAACAAACGTAACTAAATTATATATCATAGATTCCAAATGAATAACAAATGTCTCAATTTTTTATAATAATTAAAATTTTAAATTATATTTTTACATTGTAAAGTTATTCTTGAAGCGGCACTGTGTTTTTATGCTCTTGAAATTCATTGTTTGTCCATTATATAAGATAATAATCAATTTGAGGGTACTCATTGGTGTTAATCCAAATATAGAAAACAATTATTGTATATGATAATCATTTTAATATTTTGGTGGATAAATGTTTCATGTTACCTACATTGAGACTTCAAAAATCATGATTGCAACTGCTTTAGAATATTAGAGAATTGAATAAACATGACTACCATGATAAATTATGAGAATTTTGAACATATGTCTACGAATGACACAATCGATAATCAATTTACTAAATTAGTAGTTGATGATATTGACATTGAGATATGAATTTATGATGTTAAAAACACAAAATGTATGATTGAATATTGAGTGCGTGTTTGAGAAGTTAAGTCACAAAGTCAAACTTTCATATACTAATATTGACATCACACACTAGACATCACAAATTATTTTTTTGAAGGAATGTGTTATAACAATATCATCAATATCATCAATTATTATTCATAAAAAAAAAACAATATCATCAATTATGAATAACCAAAATAATTTGAACATATACGAATGAACATATATAAAATATAAAAATTAAAATCCACCCGGCCGATGGCCGGGTACAAAGCTAGTAATATGATAAATGGATTTAAATTATTCGATAAATTGAGCTTCTCGCATATTTTTAATTTTATTATAGCTTAAAATACGAGGTAATTACAAGTAAAATCCTAAATCATTTGAATACAATTACATGAAATTTAGAAGAAAAAATAAATAAATAAACTATTCACCGAAAAAAAAAATTATAGAAAAAATGAGTTGTGAATGAGACGAGTCAGATCGAGGATTGTTTTATGCTCACCCCGCCTAAAACATGTCAAACATATCGGATAAAATTGTCATCTCTAATGTGGATGAAAGACTCGGAGTATGTTGCCTAGCAGATTATTTATAACTAGGTAGATCAAGTGTCCCTTTTGATCAAAGCGAGACTCTCCTCCTCCGACAGCAGCTCCATAAAAACAATCCCAAAAAAAGAGGCCAGTATTTGCAACTCGCTTATGGTGCTCACAACGCCTAACATAAGCACTACATGTCGTTAGATCGGACGTAAAACGCCCATGATTGTTGGATAGACGTCGTCCGAGGTTTGATTCCAATGACTCACAATATCCGGAAGCATTTGCTCGAAGATTGTGTTGTGAGCACCATAGCTGGATTGATTCCGAATGCTTCTCTTTACGTGGAAAGAATCCGCCGAACGGGTACACTATTGAGCAGCACATAAACACATTGCAAATGGTATCATTACTTTTTACTTGGCTAAATTACACGTTTGGTCACTGAAATTATACAAATCTTTCATGTTTGCCACCCAAATTACTTTTCTTTCTTATTAACCACTAACTTTACGAATCGTTTCACCGTTAGTCACCGACCGTTACACTCCGTTAAATTTGTCCTACATGGCAGTCAACTATAAAGTTTGACCGTTAACTATATGACGTGGAAATTAAAAATATTTAAAAAATAATTTATTTTTCCACCTCATCATTCCACTTAATTTGTCTATATAATTTATCATATTAATTATTTAATTTATCATATTAATTATTTAACTAATAAAACTTAATAAATTTCAAAAATTAATTATCGGCCCACGACAATCTCCTCCGCTACGTCTTCGATCTTCTTGGAAAACTGAAACCCTGACGTCCGGCGGCGGAGGGCAGAGTCAGAACAGGGGTGGAAAGCAATCAAGTTGTCGAGAGTGGAGGCGGCGTCCTACTTCATATGGAAACCAAGCATCGCGACCTCCAAATTCGTCTCCGGCGAGACGCGGAGGACTTCGGTACTGGTCGAGGAGGTGAAATTGCGGCGGATAACCGATTCGTCACTGTACGGAGACTCGATCGGGAACCTAGTCTGATGGGCAACCGCTTTGGCGGATGAGTCGGGGGCAGGGGAGCTGACGGGGCTGCTTGGCGGAGCGATTGAGTTGTACAAGGGCGATTACATGAGATCACTCTAGGGGGAGGAGGGGTTCGAGGCGAAGATCAGGGAGCCTCCGGCTCCGGCTCTTCCTCTTCACCAAGGGGGAATTGGATAGTTCCCAAAAAGCAAGTCTCCGACTGGAACGAAGTCCGCTTGCGTGTTCTTGTGATAGTGAAGAAACTTTGCTCTGCGTTATGTAGTTCTGGAGTCTTAAGCTCATCCTGGTGAAAACCTTTTCTTCCTACATGTGAACTTTTCAACTACAGTGGGTTGGAACAGGTTTTCCTTGATGGTGTATCTATATAGAATTGTTTTGTGGTTGCTGGGTAGTGGTAGTTCCATTGCCTTCATGTGTATTGCTGTTGGCTGTTGAGCATGTAATATATTATAAGTATTGAGCATTTTGGTTTTGTGTGTAGTGGTAGTTCCGTCGCCGTCTCATCTCACCGCCGCTTTTCCTCTTTGTGTTTCAACAACCCAGCTGCGAAGTCCCGACGAAGCGAAGATGAAGAAGAGGAATAGGGTAAATTAAATCAAACGTGGCCTACGTAACTTCTTCTTCCTATTGGTCAAAAAAAAAAAAACTTCTTCTTCCCGCTAATAAGTATTTTTGTAATTTAATTAATATGATAAATTATATATACAAAGTAAATAGTAAATGGAATGATGAGGTGGAAAAATAAATAATTTTTTTTTTAATTTCCACATCAGCTAGTTAACAGTCAAACTTTATAGTTGACTGCCACGTAGGACAGATTTAACGGAGTGTAACGGCCGGTGACTAACGGTGAAACGATTCGTAAAGTTAGTGGTCAATAAGAAAGAAAAGTAATTTGGGTGGCAAACATGAAAGATTTGTATAATTTAAGTGACCAAACGTGTAATTTAGCCCTTTTTACTTTCTATACAACAATTTTTGGATTGATGTTCTTCTACCGTCGTCGAGTTATGGCAAGGAGGTGTTCATGAGTTGCGCCAAGTGTAGGAAGCTTCACCTTCTGCTTGTCGCCGGACGTCAATGGCGGCACAAACGTGACGAAAGTACTCACCCCGCCGCCTCCACTCAGCTCCGTCTCCAGACCGTACAGCTTCTGCCCGGCGCCATACCCTCCCAGCAGTTGGTACGATATCTCCGTTTGATCCATCGCCAAACAAATATCCTCTGTACCTACATCCAATCCATCAAAAAAATCAACATTCAGTGACTAAACGGGCAACGTCTGAATAATGCGGTGGCTGATCGCGAAATTTGGCCCTCTCCGACTCACAAGCGGCGAGTTGCAGCTGAGTCAAGTAGATGAACTCGAGCACCGCCGAGATCTCTTCCTCGAACCGCCGGAACGGCCCGGTCTGGAAATCCAGCTTCCTCAGCTTGCACAATCCTTCCCCGAGCTCCATCATCGCTCCTTTGTGGTTCTGATCATCATCATCATCGATTCGATAAAAGACCTAATTCGATTTCGATTTTGATTTTCTCGAACCGATTAGAATTCCAATTCTACTGACCTGATTGAAGAGGTGGTGGAATCCGACGGCGCACTGGAGGATCCCGTGGAACAGAGTCCTGCTGGCTTCATCCTCCGCTCCCATCCACAGCGCTTCGAGCGAGTCGTGGCACTCGTAGTACTGCCGCCGGTTGAACTGGTCCACCGCCGCTCCGAACGTCACCGTCGAAATTGAGCCGGAGGCGTCCTCCTCCTCCTCCTCCTCCTCCTCCGTGTAGCGGCCGCGGCGCCAGCTGTGGCATCGGAACGGCTTCCGGAAGCCGAGTCGCGGGCGCGACGTGGAGATGGATTTTGGTGTGGAGGAATGGTGGCGGGAGGCGGAGGAAGAATCGGAGGGGAGGAGGAGGAGGATGCGAGCTGATGAGGAATTGTTGTTGGCTGTGGCGGAGGAGGAGGGGAAGGGAGAGAACAGTGTCGTCAGAGCCTCATAGGGCTGAGCCATTTTCTGTTCAGTTTTTGGCTCCCAGATGGATTTCAGACCGACCATTATCGATTCCTCTTTTAGCTTTTCTCGGGATTTTATTGCATCCGGTTCAGTGGCCGCCCCAGTTTTGACGTTTTACTACTATCCTGAAGTATAAATGGAAGAAGAAAGGGGTCGGAATAGACGAATAGTAGGGCAAATGAGCGGAGCGGAGTCGAGTCAAATTTTATTTTAGGTTGAGGTTAGTTTTTGTTGATGTGACTTGAATCGAACTATCAGTCGCTACGACAAGAAGTTACGGGGACTAGCTAAAATACATTGTGAAACTGGTTCTCTCCTGCTTGTGGACTAGCTAACGCACATTGTATTAGTGAATCACGTAAATCGTGTGTCATGCGCGTTCTTGTGTTTCGTTTTTCTTGCTTTGTCGGATCCTCCTATTTTCTAAACCGCAGAAAACAGTCGTGCTAAGTTTTGTTAACAAATCATCCAAGTTCGAGCTCGGTTTGTTATTAAAGAGCTGAATAAAGTCGAATTCGAGCTTGACTTGTTTAGTACAACATAGGATCGCGTTTGTTTTGAGCTTGGATTATTAATAAAAGCAGGAGTTTGGTTTGAGTTCAACTCATTTATTGTAGATAGTTGAACCGTTAAATTAAACTCTAAAATAATTTACATATAAGTACCATAATATTGGTACGTCATGTATGATAATCAATCTTTTATCATTAACTGATGATCTCGTTTATATACTCGATTTTTTTAACAAAAGAAAATCATATAGATTGATAGAAAGATCAAAGGTTACACCCTGGAATCAACCCAGGAACAAAAAAAATCGACACGAGGTCGGAGGCAAAGAAAAGGCCTTCCGGGTCACAAGGTCAAGATGGGCTACCCTATTGCTAATCCGTATCAACAACTACTCGATTCATATCACTTTATTGAGAAACGAAACTCGACTTCATTTCGAATTATATAGCCGACACGAAATGAAACTCGGTTCACTTACGAATACGTGATATGAAACGCTTAATGCATTCTGGGGAAAATACTCTTTTAACTCTTGTCATGAATATGTTCAAAACAATAATGCTTTAAAAAAATTAACCAGCGTAACCAATTATTGGTGTGGTAGCTAGGTTGTTGCAAATGCCATATTTGTACCGTACGTCACATTCTCTAACACCACGGCCAAAATCATGTGACTTGTAACTCCCTCCTTCCCCTTATTTACTCCCTCCTTCCCTCCCTGCACTTTACCCCCGCATCAGTTTCAAGCTCTAAAAAACGACAACAAAAACAAAGCGTCTTTTTCTCTGTGGCTTTGGAAGAAGAAAAAAAATGGCTCCGGTAGGAGTTTTACCGGCAACCGGAGGGCCGACGAAGGACTTCGGCGGCAGGATAACGAGCTCCGTCGTGGTCACCTGCGTCGTCGCCGCCTCCAGCGGCCTCATTTTTGGCTACGACATTGGGATCTCAGGCAATTCCTTCTCCTTCTTCTCCTGCTTTTGTTTCTTTATCGGTTCAGTGCTGCTGTCTGTTGTAAAAAAACCATCACAGCAAAAGAAAATTAAACCTCCATTATTATTTTTTTTATCAATCACTTTGCAGTTTGCACAGATCAATTAGCATGTTTGTGTAGATTAATTAATTGATTAATTAATTGTAACTGTGTTGGATGTCACAATTCTAACCTTATAATATCAAAGGATACGTTTTCCCCTCCCCTTAATTACCATGTTGCAGTGTTTGGTGCAAGTCTAACACGACTGTTAGGTAAGCCCTAATTAGAAATTAGTAGCAGCAGCTACTAGCTGCTACAGCAATTAATAATGCATACACGGACAAATACAATTTAGGATATGTAATTAGAAATAGCAATGGGCATGTCGAGTCAGAAGCCGGTATCGTGTTATCCATATTTCTTTCGGTAAATGAAGGTTCTCACATAATTACATTATTATAGTTATATGAAGAAATTAATGTACAACGCTAAGTAATTTTATATAATTTAGACAAAACGGGTTGAGAGTGAGGCGGTTCGAAACTGGTCAAGTCAAAGTAACTAAGACGAAACATGTGAAACAAAACGAATAAAACAAGTCAAGTCAAAATTTTCATATTACTACGTTACTAAGAATATATTCCTATTCATTAAAAATAAAAATAAATATTATGATTTCAATTGATTGGTAGCAAATGCAGAGATTTTACCTAAGAAATTATTTGACCTTAACATTTAACTATTTGCCTTCTTGTGACGGAACTGACAGGTGGCGTCACCACAATGGAGCCATTTCTAAAAAAATTCTTCCCGTCGGTTCTCCGGCAGGCCGGAGCAGCAGAGACCAACATCTATTGCCAATACGACAGCCAACTCCTGACGGCGTTCACTTCCTCGCTTTACATTGCCGGACTCGTCGCCTCTCTCGTCGCCAGCCGCGTCACCGCCGCCCTCGGCCGCAAGAACACCATGGTGCTCGGCGGCCTCACTTTCTTCGCCGGCGGCGCCATCAACGGCGGCGCCGTCAACGTCGCCATGCTCATCCTCGGCCGCATCTTGCTCGGTCTCGGAGTCGGCTTCACTAACCAAGTACGCAATAAGAAAACAATATTATAGCTTAATCGAATTTGATAGTTAATTGTTTAAATCAAGGTTCAGAAAATCGTACTTGAGGTTATATCCGAAAAATGAGTGGTAGGGTTATTTTGTACTAAAATTATTGCTTAACCGTGATTGAACTGTTTCCCGCCGTTAAAATCGCCTATCGTTTTGGGTCCGATATTCGGTATTTACGGTCCGACCGATTGGTACGGTAGGATTTCCTAAGCCTTGGTTTAAATTGAATTTTAAACAGGCGGCGCCGCTCTACCTGTCGGAGGTGGCTCCGGCGAAGTGGCGAGGAGCATTCAACACAGGGTTCCAATTCTTCATCGGCATCGGCGTCGTGGCGTCCAACTTCCTCAATTTCTTCCTGTCGAAGCATCCGTGGGGCTGGCGCCTCTCACTGGGCCTCGCCGTCGTCCCCGCCGCCATCATGACGCTCGGCGCCGCCCTCATCTCCGACACGCCCAGCAGCCTGGTGGAGCGCGGCCGGCTGCGGGACGCCAAGCAGTCCCTAATTCGAATCCGCGGGGCCGGCGCCGACGTGGAGGGCGAGCTCGACGACCTGGTCAGATCCGTCGGCGCGGCGAAGGCGGCAGATCGGGAGCCGTTCGTGACGATACTGGAGCGGCGGCACCGGCCCCAATTGGTGATGGCGGTGGCGATCCCGTTTTTTCAGCAGGTGACGGGGATCAATATAATTGCGTTTTATGCTCCGGTTCTGTTTCAGTCGATCGGATTTGGGAAGGACTCGGCGCTGATCTCGTCGACGATTCTGGGGGTGGTGAATTTGGGGGCGATTCTGGTTTCCACGGCGGTGGTGGATCGGTACGGGCGGAGGTTCTTGTTTGTCGCCGGTGGCCTCCAGATGCTCGTTTGTAAGGTACGTTGGATCCGACGTCGTGTTCGGTATAATTCTGAAAACAGGGGGAAGTGTATACTTATTTGATTTGAATTGTTTGATATGGCAGCTAGCGGTGGCCGCCGTGCTGGTCGCCGGAACCGGAGCTTCAGGGACGGAGCACATCAGCAAAGAACTGGCCGTCGCCGTGCTGATCCTGCTGTGCACGTACGGCGCCGGATTCGGCTGGTCGTGGGGCCCGTTGAGCTGGCTGATCCCCAGCGAGATTTTCCCGATCAAGATCAGGACGACAGGGCAGGGGATAAGCCAGGCCGTGAACTTCGCCACCACTTTCGCGCTGTCGCAGAGCTTCCTGGCAATGCTCTGCCATCTCAAGTACGGAGCTTTCCTGTTCTACGCCGGCTGGATCGCGACGATGACGCTCTTCGTCATGCTGTTCTTGCCGGAGACGAAGGGGATCCCGCTCGACTCGATGCAGGGGATATGGGAGCAGCACTGGTACTGGCGCCGGTTTGTTTCGACGACGGTGTCCGCCTGATTACTCTATACTGTTTGTGTATCAGGTTGCAACAAGCCTGAAGGCTAATTTTACAAAAAACTGACACAAAATGCAGCAGAGCAAGTTACTGAAATGAACTTATGTTCTTTTCTATAGAAATGGGAAGTGATTTCAGGAAGAAATGTGTCGAGGAATAACATATGTACACCATACCTGCTTCGAATAAAAACAGAGATGCCCGAACAATCAACTACACATATACACACAAAAGGAGATATTGGCTTTCCACAGAGCAAACATACCATCAGAGGAAATATAGCAGTCCCAGTTTTCTATCTACAAATCTCTTTCTTGGTTTCCTGTGCCAGTATCTCTGTAGTTTTTGGGATTCATGTTCGTCGAGAATCATGCTTTGAGCTCGTACCACCACGTTGCTGCTGCTGCTGCTGCTTTGCGTGCAGAGAGCCTGCACCTGGTACATCGACACGAGGGGAGGCCATTATTGTGGCCATTGGTTGGAAATTAGTGTTGCCAATGAACCAGTACAGAGCCCATTTCAGATTGCACAGCGTGTACTTGAGTGCTTTCGTCCAGTTCTCTTGCTTGTTGAAGCTCTGGGTGATGGAAAAGCTTTCCACTTTGTCATTCTCAATCCTGACACCAGAGTATATAATGATCATTACTAGATTTCAGAAGTTGGCTTTTACAGTGAAAGGAATTACGGGGAAGAAGTTAGAAAGTGACTTACCTGTATGGAAACTTGAACCGTTTCTCAGGTGGGATGTTGTTCTCTTGGTCCTTCAGATATGCAAAATCAGCAAAGTCCTTGAGGCAGGTTAGGAACAGTTTCATCGCTTTGTCGTAGCGAGTGCTCCAGAATAAGTTCACCGGCCCAAACCTTAAGAAGCTCAAGTCAGTAGACGGGAAAAAGACTAGCGAGTAAGGTTCGACTAAATTCAAAAGGCAGTCAGCACTTACAGGTCATAGGAATTGTTGTTGCTATCCATAATGCGGGGGTAGCTCCCCATAGGAATCATTTTTGTGTGATATCTAAACATTTCAGCAAGTTAAGGATGTCCCATCTACAAACATTCTTCCATCACTAACTCAAATCTCGACTCCGGTTCGACTAATAACTAACTAATTTATGAGAAGGAGCAGAGGCAGGTTTACAAGATTGATTCCCTAATAGAAAGCAGCTATATAAGAACCGCCACATCCTAAACAACTACTAAATAAAGGGAAATTATCATCTAACCTAATTAACAATCCAAATCAGATAACAATATAGAGAAGTTCTCAATCTATAAATTCACAGTTCCATCACGTTCCCTGCAATCAGGTCTTCATTTGGCATTGGTTAAAGAAGTGACTGCATATTAACAGCAAGTTGACTTGTGGAGAAAAAGGATACGGAAACTTTGGCTTGAAGTATTGACACATAGTGTGGAGTAGAAGACAAGCTTGTCCCCAGGCAGCATTTACCTCATCCCATTCAACCTATTGAATGTTTGTTTCCACAAACCTTCTTGTAAGTAATCACTATTATGCTTTTAAAGCAATATTAACAGAAGTTAGACAGAGCAAAACACAGTGCAGGGTGCCGGGCAGTGTTAGTAACTTTACCGGGATTTTAGGAAGTCTGCCAAGTCGGAAATTGTTGATGGTTCCAAACTCTCCGTCATGATAGATTGGGAAAGCATCACTCAGCACACTGGTTTGCTTCAACAACTCCAATTGTGCTTGAGAAACCTCAGTCTTTGCCAGAATTGCATCTCTCTCTTCCTAGAGTGTCCATAACATTCAAAGTTACATATGCCGCAACGGTTCATTGTAAAACAGTGGCAACAACCTCAGTCGCTTCAAAAGGGAAGCCTCCACAACATTAGAGTACAAAACCATGACTGTAAGAAGGGTACAGGATATGAAAAATGAACAGTCAGTGCACACCTGATATGATGTTAACTGGAACTGAAAATTATTGAACTCCTGCCAGTACCTGCAGTAATTGAGGCGAAACAGCAATGATTAAGGAGAATGCAACTCCCGACCTCCAATAGAAGAAAAAAAAATTCTGTTTTGCAAATCTCAATCAAGCAGCTCTAGGGTGGGAACGGTGACTCTTCTAGAGCGAACAGATTGGAATAAAGCCAGAGTTAACTTGTAACTCACACATCCAGTCCTCGAGATAGAGTTCGAAGGAGAACTTACCTCTCCTCCAATTCTTTGAAGCGGCCAGATTTTAACTCCAATTCCTTCAGTTCTGCATTTACTTCTGCATTCTGTTTCTCAATCTCTGAAGTTGCAGCTTCAAGTTTTCTTTCTTCCTCCTCAATCTTAAGGAATCATAAAAGGAAACCAAATGGTTATTTAACTGCAGAGCAGGTTTATGAAAAATCAACATCAAAGCAGATGAAACATACAGTTTCTATAGAAATCCACAAGAAAAATGACAAAGTATCGACAGAAATCCTTTACTGAACGAACAAAAGGAAGAACCAACTAAGCTAGCAGCAAAAGTAAGATAGTGGAGAGCAACAAACATGATACATACTCCTCTCTAAGCCCCAGACTAGAAAAATTGTGAAAGCAATGGTCTGCTATAGGCCATAGATTTCCCCGATGCGAATAAACCCCCTATCAGTTATCAAGTACCAACCTTTAGTTTCTCCTTCAGAAAATCAGCCTCGCTGAGAACATCTCGGGTCTCTCCTTCAAGCCGTTGGAGGCATGCTTCATATGCTTCAATGTCCCTATTCACATCTTCAACTTCCTTATCAAGTTTATCAGACAACATTCTCATGCACTCGAGACACAATGGCTGCTCGACCTACAAGTTCGAAAGCTCGAGGAGCAAACACAGATCATGATCCAGTAATGTGGCAGTTAAAAGTGCGCCTTGAAAGAGCTTACTCGCTAGTCGCTACACCCCACCTGTGTCTGCGTTGTTGCAATCTCAAATGCCCGTTTAAGGACCGAGATTGTAGAATGAAACCCGGCATTGTTGGGCTGCAACTGACCATTGGACCCTCCTTCCAGCGACGGCAACTGGCCCCCGGCGCCTCCATCAGAGGCAGGCTCAGACTTGTACACGACGACGAAGGATTCATCCATTGCCTTCCCAGGCTGAACGCCACCGCCTCGTGGACGTGGAGGGATTCCCTGCAGTTGGGGCTTTTGATTTGGCAATAGGACGAAGGAATTGTCCATGCGTGTCGACCCCAGCACACTGTTAGCTCCATGAACTGAAATTGAATCAAAGCAAAACCCCTCTCTCTCTCTCATTCAGAATCCAACTGCAACTCTGCAAGTCCAAACGGAGCGGAAACAAGAGAATTACGAAGAAAACCTACCGGAGTGGAAAGAGGATTCGTTTAAGAACTTTTCGGCGAAGGAATCAGCTCCGACGATGACAAGAGAGTGCCGGCAGTTCTGGCACATCCATCGCGGCAGATTGGGATCCACCTGCACTTGAAGACTCCCGCCCTTATCGCTCATCGGAGAGGAGACCGAACTGAATCTTCCGTCTTCCTTCTGTTTCCAATTAATTGCCACTCTCCCAAGAATCGGAAATCTCACTCCCTCTTCTCCGGCGGAAAAAATTTCTCATTTCTGATCGATCAAACAGCCCAATTATTCTCGACTGAGAAATTCCTTGTTTTTTCGTTTACTTTATCTGTGATGTTAGGGTAAATTGCAAGTTTGGTCATTGGGTTGGGTTACTGAAAGGTCTAAAATGGCAAAGACTGTTTCTTTTTGAAGGATAATCCTGTAAATTGATCCAAATCGGAAATCCCCTTTTCACACCGCATCTTCCTCTTTGACCTACTCCTCCTACGGCTTCTCGCTCTTCGTCTTCCTTGCTGCCTTTTCCATCGAATTTACAGGAGTCCGGCACTCGTCGATCGACGGCGATGGAAAACCACAGAGCGGCGGATGGGGCGGCGCTCCAGATCTTCGCGCGGCTTCTCGACGGGAAGACGGCTACCCTGCGATTCGCAGCGCCGGAAGCTTGTACTCGCGAAATCAAGCGGCGGATCTTCGAGATCACCAGAATCCCTGTTCAATCTCAGAGGCTTGTCAGCGGCGGCCGGCAGCTCGACGACGATTCCGTCGTCTCGACGCCGGAGTGCAGCGTCCAGCTCTTGCTCGGCCTCCGCGGCGGGAAGGGAGGTTTCGGCTCGCTTCTCCGTGGCGCCGCCACCAAGGCGGGGCAGAAGAAGACGAACAATTTCGACGCATGCAGGGATATGAGCGGCCGAAGGTTGCGCCATGTGAATGCGGAGAAGAGGTTGGAGGAGTGGAAAGCCGGGGAGGCGGAGAGGAGGTTGGAGAAGGTCGCTGACGACTTTCTGAAGAAGAATGCGAAGAAGCACAAGGGGGCGAAGGGGTCCGGTGATGGAGAAGCGGCGAAGTATGTGGCGAAATACAGAGAGGATTCGGCTAAGTGCGTGGCAGAGGTTGAGGATGCCGTGAGGGAGGCTTTTAGTAATGGAAGTGGGAAACGGAGGGGGAAGTTCCCCATGAATGCTTCTGACGCCAAGAGGTTGAAGAATTGGTAAGTGGCTTTAGGGTTTCTAATGCTGTTATTGGATGCATTCCGTTTCTGATTGCTTAGTACTTTTTCCTGCTCAAGAACTTGGGAATGAATTGGGAACTGGTCGGTGTCATTCTATTCTAGTGGGAGAAGATTAGTGCTTGGTTTTCAGTGTTTCCTTTTCATGTCTTCTTCTTTAGATGTTACTGATATTGGTCTGTGAATGTTTGTTAGTTGTATACTAATTTGATGTTGAAAGGTTTTGCGCGTTTAAGGATTGATATGTATTTTTCTTGTTCAGGTTGGGGAAGGAGAAGTTGGGCGGAAGTGATTCTGAAGACACAGAAGATGATAGTGATAGTGACGGCGAGGGCGAGGGAACTGAGAAATCCGTCATTCTTAGTGGTGGGACTAATTCAGATCCGAATTCGGACTCTGTTTCTGATGGGAAACAAACTGGAGAATGTTCCACTGCTGCTTCCAGTGAGAGTGGTTCGGAGGAGGTAGAGAAAGAGGTTGCTGAAGGGCGCAACAGTAAGCCAAGTTCTGCAAGAGAGGTTATCAATGACGAGATGGACATGGTAGCCGAACCCGAGACTTGCTTGGAACTACCAGAACATAGTGCCACTGTCACTTGCTTGGAAGTTGCTGCAGCCCCTGAACCTGATAAAACAACAATGGAAACTCAAGAGATCCCCGGTTCCAAGAGTGTGGAAGTTACAGCTGTCAACCCAGTTATTGGTGTGGGGAATGGTCCAGTAGACTTGAAAGCTGATGCGGAGGAAGAAAACGTAGTTGCAGAGACCAGCAATGTTGATTCGGAGAAGCAGCTCAACTTTGAAGAGGTCAATTCACCTAATGATTTGGAGGTATAGTCTTGTTTGTAGTCTGCTTGTCCATGGCTTATATTAACTTGTGCTTAGTCCGGATTTGTTTGTTTGCAAAGGTTTGGCCTTCAGATCATTCACTTATCATGTTAGGCAATAATAATCCATAAGTTCTTTCAAAGACTTTGCTTTTGGGGTCATTTGTATCCTCTAGGCGTGTTTTCGCTGAATCCGATAGAGAATGACTGCATGTACGAGATTCCGAAGGGAGAACACATCGGTTAACCTAATGACACGTTTGATTAGAGTTCTAACGATGTTTTTTTTTTTCTTTTTGTTTCCAAGCAATTCACTTGATGAGCTAGTTATTAGTATGGCACTGTGGTCTGAGTTATGCGCGTTGCTTAGCCTGCAAATCCTTGTTTCCTCAACAGCTTGTGTTATGATTTCAATAATGTCATATTTCGTGTATGCGCCGTGAACAGGTTCTTGGATTGGAGAAGCTGAAGAAGGAACTGCAGGCCCGTGGCCTGAAATGTGGAGGCACTCTTCAAGAGCGAGCCGCAAGGCTTTTCCTCCTCAAATCGACCCCTCTAGACAAACTACCCAAGAAGCTGCTCGCCAAGAAATGAACGCTAATAATGTTTGTTACTTCGCCGAGGAACAAAGGAAAGGTACTGTCCTTCCTTGAAATGTATTGTACAGTGACGGTTTTTTGTTGAAGTGAATGTCCTCTTGATCAGAAGCGCGACATGAACATTATGTACTCAGATGGTTTTCTTCTGTAATGAATTCCTGGAAGAACATTGCTGATAGTATAGTAAGCAGTTCTTGATAGGCAAACTATGTTCTTACAACTACATGCAGATTATTAGATAACTTACTATTGTTGCTGTAGCTAACATTGAAAGAGCTAGAAGTGAGAACTGTGTGCTGCTTTGATGAATGGAGTATGGAAGGAAACGTTTAGCAAGATCAACGGTCGAACACATGGTAGAGCTGGCTTTGGCAAAGATCGGAAAACAAAAGAAACGCTGCAGTTTGGCGCGAAGTACTGGATTCTCGGTTAAACCGAAACCAAAACTGAATTAAACCATTTTGGCTACCAAAGCCGTCGAGTATTTAAGAAAGAAAAAAACGGTTTTGGGTATTGGACTATTGGTGGTTATTTGGGTTGTAGCAAGGTTGGGTCGACCCACTTTAACCCTGACCCGATGAGAAAAACGGGTCGCACGCACCCATCGGGTCAACCGCTACAAGGTATCAGGTTGGAGGTCAAACTGTGTCATTTTTTTCTTTGGTTTGCGAAATGCGCCTATTTTCCGATTTTTCTTTTCGCCTAACTCAATTTTTTGGAATCCTAAGTTGAACATTTGAATATTGATGTTATATAAGTGTGCGTGAAATTGTGAATTTTCACTATATGTTGGATCTAAGTACGACATGTTACTTTTGTGTGATGTTATATGTTATTACTTATATGTTAGATGAGATTTGATATAATTTATCAGGATAAGTGCAATATAATGACTCTTTTCATATTTCCGGGCTGAAACGGGCTAAAACGGGTGACCCATTAACCCTTGACCCACTAGCTCGACCGGGTCCGGGTCAACCCGCGGGTTGACAACCTTGGGTTGTAGCTTTGTAGGTAAACAGGTACCAAGATCATTGTTTATTGAACTCGAATTGAAATCGTTCAATGCAACTCGGGAATAACAATTAGGGTTGCGCAGTGGTTGAGAATCGTCAGTTTTCTTTTGGTTTGATTGAGTTCAGTTATTGATTTGATATCCTTTCCCCTTAGAAAATTTATGGATGTGGATCGAACAATAGTATATTAGTATATTCAGACGATTTGGTTGGTATGGTCTAGAGTGGGCCAAAATCATTGCACTAATTACAAATTTACAATATGCAAGATGATGAATTCCAAGAAGAACCTCTTGACAAATTGGTGCATAATGTTGATTGATTATGTTATTGTCATAGTGTGCCACATAGATGTGGATCAAATCATTGGTATTGTTGTTGTGACTAATGCAGGTAATTGCTATGAGCTTACTTGATGATTATAGATAAGTAGTTAAGACTAGCTAACTAGTAGATATGATGCAATCTTGTAGATCGAATAGGAAAAGCGAGCATGATTTATGAAGCTTAAACGAGAGAGAAGTGGTTCCAAACTCATGAACCAAGAGTCCAAGATTTTTCCTTTCCAGAACTCCAACATTATCTGGAGTTTCTTGTTGTTTGAAAAAAAAAAAAATCTTCCATTTGGCTTTGGTTGCCCTACACTAACCCCCTGTTTTTTTAGAGCGGAAAACGAAGGAAAGGAAAGGAAAGGGGGAGAGTGGGATTTTCGAGGAACTTTCCCCCGTTTCTGAAGTTTTGCACAGTGTGGAGGTGAAGGAAAAGGGAGGGATGAGTCACTGTTGAACCCAACCCTCCAAATCGGAGAGAAAACGGCAATTTTATATTTATTCTTTTTTTTTATTTGACAGCTCCCTGCTTTCTCCTCTCTCTCTCTCCTTTCTCCTCTATCTTCCCCATCTTCTTCTTCGTTCTTCACAAATGCAAAACAAAACCAGAGAAAATCATGGCTATCTCCCAAGAAGTATGATCTAATTTAAGTTCTACTTCATTTTTATAATCTAATTTCTGAACATGAAAATATGAGGAGTTTGAAAAATAAAACCACTTTAATTTGTGAATGAATTCCACATTTTATGAAACCGAAACGGCACGAACGGTCTGACCGGTCCAAACGGATGGCCCGGCAAAATTTCGGTCGGTTACTTATTTGATATTTCAGAGGAGAACGGCCCGTGACCTCGAGCGCCGGCTGCTATATTAAAGCGGTAAAAAGGGTAAACCATTGTCGTTAAAGTTTCGTGTCGCTCATTCACAAAGTTGAGAGAGATTCGCCCTCGCGAAACTGCAAAAGCTGACTTGAACCCTTTTCCGGAGAAGCCAGAAGACACAGCGAAGGTAACCTCTCTGAACTCCGACCCAAGGGGTTTATGCAGCTTTCAATTCTCTTGTTTCCTGTTGCCGCCAGCTTATCGTGTTAATAGAGATGAACTCTAGGTCTGGTTTTCCTTTCCCAATAGGGTCCCAAAGAACAATGGCGTTCAACGGTTTAGAGGCTAGGGTTTTAGCTTCCGACCCGTGTAGAGTTATCCTGATGATAGGGGGTATATGATGGTGGGTTTTCTGTTTGAATGTCTCACAGTTCCCGCGAAAAGATTAGCTGCAGAATCACGCGGCTGCACTAGGTGAGAGTTGCTTGTTAAGTGAAAAGATGATATCTTCAATATGAACGGTAGGTCGGAGAGTCCAGGCTTTGTGGTGGGAAGGAGCTAACATGTGTTTTCGGTTGCTTTTGAAGGCGATTGAGTTAAAATGCTTCATTAGTGTTCTCTGAACATAGAACCTTCAGGTCCTTGTTATCCCATCTCACGGTTCTTGTCATTACCATTCCAAAGTCCGGTGCTTTAAGTATATATCCTCACACCCTTTTTTGTATAAAACTTCGTACTGAAGTCTTCCACTTCTGGGATGTATCTCTTGGACAGGGTCATTCGACTTCAACGATGAATTAATCAAATATGGATTTTGTATTGGCTAGGAAATATACTAGTTATGTTCTGATCTTACATGTGGATCCTTTCTGTCATAAGAACTCTGTTTGTTCTTTAAGTAGTTTCAAGTCTAAAAATGGAGTTGCTCAGGACTGAACCAAAACTCAGAGAGAATGAATTCCACATGTCGTTTGCCCGCACTCCCTCTCTTTCTCACAACTGTGTCTTCTTTGCAACTACTAGTTAGCCTCTGCCTATTAGCATAGATTGGTTCAGTACTTCAGTTCGCTACTGTTTCCTTCATAATTATGATGTCGGTGAATCATATGATTGCCTTAAATTGGGTTGTATTTTGCAGGGATGACGTCGAATATAATACTATTCGAGGACATTTTTGTCATCGACCAGATCAACCCAGATGGTAAAAAATTTGATAAAGGTATTATCCTTTCAAGTTCACTTGCAAATTTTACCCCGTCGCTATACTCCCCATAGTATATTCTGATTATATATTGATGGGTTTTAGCTCCCTTGGTCCTTGGTTCAAACTTAAGGAGTTGAATGTATGAAGAGTAGTGTATTCTGTGTCCAGAATGCCTCGAGGGGAATGTGATTTTATGGACAATATTCCCACTTGATGTTTAACTTGCTTATTGGAGCTCCACTATGAATGTGTGGGGCAATCCTTATCTCTTTGGGCACTTTGAATTGGGTTGAATTCACAATGCACTTGTCTCTCACCAAAACCACATTATACTCTTAATTGACTTATCCCTTTTACCTTGATTCGTCTTAACTTGGGGTTTATTTATTGTTCTGTTTCTTTTGTAGCTTGTCGGATTGTAGCACAGAGCCAAAATTGTGACATGTCCATGCAACTTGATATCAACAACGATATATATCCCATGGATGTGAATGACAAATTTACAATGGCATTGGCTTCTACACTGAATTATGATGGGACACCTGACACTGGCTATTACAATGCAGTAAGCTTTCTTCTCTACCTTGCATTGGAGATACATAAGACAAATCTAAATGTTAAACATATGTTTGTTTATGATGCTACATTATAAAAACAATAGTTGTATATTGCTTAGACTCCACTTTATACGTGGTGATCACTCTTCTAGTTGGGTTTAGGTTCAAGCATTTGGTGTGACGTGATGTCTTTGTCCTGTACATGTCATTTAGCTTCCAGTTGGGATTTCAAGCTCTTGGTCGAACTTCAAGCATTAGTAGATTGTTTCATTTGGTGCAAGTCTCAGTTGTTTCATCTTTTAACCCTTCCAAAGTTCATAGGAATCATCTGTAGGATAACTGCTGCAATATTTCTTTGTGATTCGCCAAGTTCATTTCATGTCATGGAGCTTCATGTATATCCTTTTTGCAATTATTTTCCCAGGCGAAAAGGAAAAATCTTGCAGACAAATATGAATATGTCATGCACGGGAAGCTATACAAGCTATCCGAGGAAGGTTCAGGAAGATCGATTACAGCGTATGCATATGTTTGAGAACTTCCATATTCTACGATCGTCTTTGTATGTTGACTCTTTTACAACTTAACAGAAACTTGTGATTCATTGCATTGTGTTGCAGGGAATTATATGCTTCCTTTGGCGGCCTTCTTATGTGTCTCAAAGGGGACCCTTCTCATGTGGCTCACTTCGAGCTCGACCAGAGAGTGTTCCTTCTGATAAGGAAGATCAACAAGTGAAAGCAGTATCCGTATGATGATGAAGTAACTTGTAATATATGTTTCTCCTTGCTACTTTGAGTTTCATCTGAACCTGCATTCGTCCAATAAGGTCTTGTTGTTCAAAGTGGCTCCCTTGATCTTGTACTGTATTATTCGACTTGGGGATCCTTTGTCCGTTTGGTCGTGTCGTGCTACGTAAATGATTATTATGATACTTAGTAGATTATCCATGAGTATTTAAGTAGAGCTGGGTACTCTCGAGAGTTTTCTCTTATCTTTATAATTCAATTTCCTTAAGCATCGAGTAGAAGGGGAGTCCCTACCTGTTACATTAAGCAAATGTGTCTCACAGACCCCATAAAGCTTATACAATGACCAATGTGCCTAGTTGAGATTCTGCATATCGCGATACCGATATCGATCTTGGTAACCAATTCGTTAGCTGCTGTATCCTTAATGTTCAAGGTAGTTTTGTGCAAAACAAAAAAATTCTCTGTTAACATATGTAAGAAGTACTTCTCACATAAAGGTGAGCATCTGTAAACTGTGCATGTACTCTGTTTTGGCTGTTTCTGGGAGATTCAGGCCTAAGGTTCAAAGCATTGATCTTAGTTTGTCGCGTCTGCGGTAAAATTGTACAGCTTTGGAGTTCCTATCTAGTCAGGTCTAGCCTGTCGAAATGTGCGTTTTTTTTTCTGCAGCTGCAGCGTGTTCATCAACAGCTATTTCCTTGGAGGAAGTCACCATCCTAAAATGGCAGGGGAAGGTTTCCCTCCGGAGGAATAATCACCGTACAGTAAGCAGTACGTCAAACGATTAATATGCTGCGGCTTGTCAGTGAAGCAGTTTGATGCCTATTCCACTTTTTTTTTTTTTTGTTGCCTGGACCCAATTCCACGTTGGACTTATGTCCGTTCTTGTCTTTGCTCTCCTCTGGAACCTTAAAACGGAGGACGATGATCAAACCTTTTTGTCGATTCTCCCTTCCATTTTAAATACCCACCTAGCTAGCTTTTCGATTTCAGTCCACCATCCCAACAGTCTCACTCTCTCTCAATTGGGTTCTCTGAAAAAATGACGACTTTCTTCTCATTGGAGCTGATAACTGAGGCTGCTTCGAACTCGGTGATGGTCTTCTTCTTCTGCAATCTGATCATCGTCACCATCCTCGTCGCCTCCTCCTCGGCATCTCCTTCTTCGACGACAAGCGGAATGCACCACGTCTCGATGGTGGCGGGAACTCCCTACTACCACGTGACTATTCACCAGCAGGAGGAGACTCTGGTTCTTGGTGCAGGAAATGATGCTCTGTTTTCCAGTGATGAAAACAGAGCATCTTGGTCGTTGTCATCTGCGGATTCCAAGTTGGCCGCATTGGCAACAACTACCCACCAAGATGAGGATGAAGAAGAGGAAAAGGAAGAAGAAGCTGATTGCAGCAGCGGTGGAGCAGAAAATGGAAAAGAGGACTGCAATGACAATGATGAGTGCGTGGACGAGGAAGAGGATGAACTGAGAAAGAGAGTTGAGGAGTTCATAGAGAAGACTACCAAGGAATGGCGGGCAGAATTGCTGAGAACATCAAAATCGCGGCTCATGATTGCTGGTTGATTGCTTCCAAATCACTATATATGAATGGTGATTGATGGGTCGAAATTCAGGAACAGAGTTTTTTTATTATTGTTCCCAAAGAATTTGGAAACTCAGAAAAGCCATGTCCAGACATTTTAATGGCCGGCTCCTTTTATCTTTCTTTCTATATTCTTCGCAGAAGAAACATGAATTGTATTCTTTATTCTTTCTCGACATGTATTACGGTTTTACAGACCTTGAAATCAAAATCTTTTTTGAGTTTAAAATCCGGTGCCACGACCAAGCTTATGTTGCCATCAATGGTGGACGAAGCTTTTCTCGAGGCACAAGCACTTGTTTACTAGACTTACTGAACTTCGACAGAGCATGATCATGCATTGCTAGTGCTGAACTACCAGCGACTTGATTAACCACGGACATCCGAGAAAATGAAACTATGAACAAGGTTTCAGTTCAGGGATGGAACTAATTTACTGTTATCTGTTTCACTACAGCAGACCAAAAAATCATCTAAAGCTGATGTAGGTCTGCCAACACAGATCGTCATCTATGATCAAGTGTTATGTATAGAAAGGAATGATCGGTCGAAAATTGGCTGTGTCGATGTCACTGAATGGATCACGGATTAGGACCAGTTGGATTGTGTGCCTCGATATCAACATGTCGGATGCCAGGGACAAGATCTTGTATCTCTTTTTCAAGCCTATCAACTTCGCTTCCTAACGCCGTCACCAACTCCTCACCTGAAACCAGAAAGACAACCAACCACTTAAAAAATGGCAGCACAGATATGTGGATCAAATCTACCGCTCGACTTGGTTCAAGCAACACATACCATAGTCTGACATTCGCTTCAGAAGCGCGGTATCACCTTTTTGCTTTGAAGCATCACGGAACTGCATAAGATATCATCTTAATGAGTTCATTATAACAGGGTTCATAGCCTATATACCAACTCAGATGCACACTTCATGCCTTAAAACCATGGAAAGACAAACTAAGCAGGATGTCCTTGATCAGATCATCTAGAATAATGGATTAATAGTACGAATCCAGACTACCAAAACATGAACTTTCATCGCATGAGCATGATATGAATCTCAAGGAAATCTATAAGCTATATGTTAAAATTTCGATACTTTAGTCCAGTTGAAATGTTCAGTCAACAGGAGCTTTCTATGGATAAAGATGATTCACCTGTCTTGCCCAGTCTTCCCGTCCAATCCTATTGAGATAATTCTGCACCACCACCTTGCCGTTAAAATCTGTTTCACAGGAGTAGCACAATCTCATAAATTTGCCAACGATCTCAAATCTTATGCAATATCTAGGAACATCATATCTGTGAACTTGAAGCTTCCATTTATTTCACTAAGTTAGGGATGAGAGGAGGATGACAAGATGCATCAACAACCAAGTGCTTGAAGGTCCCATTAATTTCCCAAAGTTAGGAACATAATGAGAACATACACAAAACAAGATGAGGGTACAGTATGTGGCAGGGATTCACCTATTTCGGCCTTAAATCTGAAGAATCCAGGTCCAATCACCTCACTTTTGCAATCATATAGAGAATCTACAACCTATACACAAACCATAAAATTAGAAACTGTCAAGTTTTAGAAGAATGTCAGAAGAACTACTGCCTAAACAGGGTCATACCGGGTCATTTTTCAAGAAATGAAGAACCTTCTGCATATCATTGTCATCCATTGCTCTGCCAATCAAGGCATGCCTATTCCTCTGAATAAGGAAGATTGCAACCTGCAACGGTAGTCATTCAGATTACAAGCTTCATAACCAAATAATACTGCGTTGCAGTATTGCACTAGCACCTCAAGAATAAAGTCCTCTATTAACCTTTGCAACAACCAACAGAAATGCAAGTCAAGTGCATGGGAACAAGAAAACCTATAGAGGCAATATCCATCCCTAGCTGCAGTAAACAATTTTACCAATAAATTTTTGCAATCTGCATTCATCTTGCACCATGTGCCCAAATCTTAACCCATCAACTCAATAGATTACAGCATGGAAAATCATTCATTACAGATAATACCGTGGTAAACACTTCTGCCTTTACACAGCAGTGATTAAGTTGCACAAACATGAAAGTAGGACTAGTTACCATTCCTAGCAGGTTGCCAACTATGATTGAACCAATAGGATCATAAATTGGATTCCCTGTGGCATTAACGGCAACCAATGATGCTCCAGCGATAACCAATCCAGTCACTGCAGCACCATCCTGCAGATCAGAGAGAGTTCTAATGGACAATATATCACCACATAGACATTAAATGCACATGCCAGCCAAGTTATACAGGCTAACTGGGAGGAAGCTGCCAGCTATAAGTACAGACTGACCAATCAGTCACTGCAGCACCATCCTGCAGATCAGGGAGATTTCTAATGGAAAAAAGATCATCACGCTCATCACTAAATGATGAGTAAAGCTCAAAGTACAGAATAACTGGGAAGAAAACATCCAACCCACGGGGCCAACATCAACCATACAAGCAAAATAGACTACCAAACACAATATATAGGAGAAATGGAGGAAAAGAGCTGGAACCCCTACAGTGCGAATTTTCAACTGACAGTACACAACATATTCCAATGCTGGGACTCTGTTAGGTTATCCAAGCCTAGTGGTATCATTGTTATTGCTATCCTATTCATTCTCTTCCCTTCAAGCAAGTAAAATCAATCAGAATGTTTAAGCCTCAGCATCGTAAGAATTTGTCTTCATATGAAGTACAACCACCTAGCTAACTTCAAATAGGCCTGAAAATCAATTCTGTTGTGTCATTATTCCTCAAATAAATTTACCTCTGTCATCACTGCAACAGCTGTGGGATCATGACCACGCCACACATAATCTCTGATGGTCATACCTTCTGCAGCTGCACATTTCTTGACAGCTTGTATGGCAACAAGAAGAGAAGCACCTAAAACAGAGACATGAAAGAGAACATATGAAAAACTTGATAAATATAGGCAAAGTTCATCAGCCTCAGACGTGAAGTGCACCTTCAATTATAAAAGAACCACCAAGCACCAAAGCTGCATATTCAATGTGGGCTGGAGGCTGAAGCAAACAAGCACATCAATAACTAGTCTTTTACTAAGTCAATTGGCAGAGAACCCTTATAAAGGTAGGAGATCATTCAAAGAAAAAGAGGAAAGAATTCCAGCTAGTCCAGCATGAATATACAGATCCAATTGTTGAGCTGCTTACCTGAGAATTCCACAAGTTCTGAACTCCGTTGACAATTGTAGCGCCAGAGCCAAGGCAAAAGATACCAACAGCAGATATCAAAGACCAGACAAACCTTTCCTTGGAGTAGCCATAACTGTACAGGGTTCAAAAAATATCTGTTTTGTTAATATAATCTTGATCACCATTATAAAAAAAAAACTGTACAGGGTTCAAAGTATCAGAATCCTTTTCTCGTGATTGGAGTTGATTAATAGTCGCATACACACATTCAATTATAAGGGTCTAGCATAAACAGGAAATGGTCCTGCTGTGGCAAACTCAGCGACCGTAGTGCAGAGGGATTCTTCAACCTTGATCTAACACCCATCAATAATTACAGTGAGAAGTGCCACAGTGATGGAGACAGAGAAGATAAACCAGTGATCAACTTGTTTCTTAACATATGAAATGTCTAACCAACACAAGTTCACTAGATTGCTATTAAATACAAAACTAGGGGACTTCAAATGTCAACAAGCAGGTTTATGTCAGCAAACTCTGTGCTAGTAAATGGATCGATATAAAGCAATATGCGACAAAAATACTGCATATGATGAGTAGAGCTTGGTATTTTAAGATACTCACGGATGAAGTGCATCTGGTGCACGCCTTGAGCTGCTCAGACCATAAGCTAGAAGTACCTGCAGTGTTAACAAGAATCAAATGATCACTAGATGCCATCAGAGAAAGGACAACCAAAAATTAACTTGAGGAAGTAAAATGATCACTGGCGGTATCACCTGGTTTGCAAAATCGGCAATCGAGTGCACAACTTCAGCCAGCATAACATGACTTGAAGTCATAAACCACACCCCAAACTTAAGAGAAAAGACAAGAAAATTGCACCAAAGTGCTGTAGTGACTGCTCGCTGACTGACAGAGATGACAAACGAGTAAATGGAGGTAAGAAAATAAAGCAAATACTGATCTGATAAATAATTTCAAATACTCGACTCGCATTGATCTAAATGACCTAAGAAAGACCTAGAAATGGTAGTCGATAGGGGTGGGCATTGGGTGGGTCGGGTGGATTTTGACCATAAAATGCACCCACCCGCGCTTAAACGGATTGATAATTTTTAACCCACCACCCACCCACATTTAGTCTCGGGTTGGGTCGGGCGGATGGTGGATGATGCGGGTGGGTTTGTGGGTTCACCCACATCACAATGTATATAATATAAAGGAGTCAACTTGACATGATAATAGGTGAAGATAATCATCGAGGGAAACAAGTAGTTGAAATAGGGCGAAAAATGCCGAATTAGTTTTTAAATTGGATAGAAATTCTATTAGGAAAGAGTTTTCTACAGATTGAGACGATTATTAGGTGCAAAGAACTAAGGAAAATAATTCCACAAAGGAAAGAGCGGTGACCTAGGCACAAGAATTAGAGGAAAAAGTAAAGGGAAGAAGAGGGGATCTCTATTTGGAAGGTTGGCTTTGAGGTTCAAACTCCAGGAGCAGTCCGAGTTTATATCTAACGTCTCCACTCTCCTCTCTCTAGCGCCAACGACTTTGATCTTTTTGCTGTTGGGTTGAGTGGGTCACCCGCACACTCACCCACAACCCACCCACCACCCGGCGGATGGCTCCCAGCGCAACCCGTCACCCACCCACAAACCCACCCACTTAACGAAATTCGGGTCAAATGCGGGTGGGTCGGCCCAAACCCGCGGATGATCCGCCCGCATGCCCAGCCCTAGTAGTCGATACACCATTTTCAACATTCAAAAGGTGCCAACTATCTAAAAGCCCTCCATGAGGATTGTCCAACACGAAATGCACCTAATATTCAAGATACTAAACATTTACAATGAGGATTACTACCAAAGAAACTAGAGTATCAGACTACATAAGAAGCACAACTTCTCTAAAGCTGTTGGCAAAGTTGCCACTGGTTGAGTCAATAGTAGGGGTTGCTATTTTAGCACAAGATAACCAACCATAGAACAAATGTTTCCTAAACGATCTTCAAACAATTTTCATGCAATCATAGTCAACTAACTGCGGCAAATATAACAGAGACCTGTGCTGATCAGTAATTTCGATCTTCTTCACTTGCTTTGCCCTGGTAAAAAACCCTGCAGACAGCACATACAAGGACACCATACATAAGTTTCAGGGAGTACCCAGTTCATCAAGGAAATAATAGAACGTACAAAGACCGGAACCCACCACGACGAAGAAAACCATCATGAAAATCCCGATGCTGGTGATCGCCGCCCAACGAAACCGCGCCAGGTAACGAGACAGACACTCGGGAGCGATCGAATGCGAGGAACCGACGAGAGCCAAAGTAAAAGATGGGTTTGGGTCTTCTTGCAAAATCGTCTTCCTCTAAACAAACTTCATTGCTCCCGTCGCGTCGATGGCAGCTACCGGGTGATTGGAAACCCAATTCCCCGTAGCCAGGAGCTGAAGGAAGTCCAAAGGCCGAGAATGAAGACGAAGAAGAAGTGAAATGAGGTAGAGGAGTAAGCTTGTGGGAGCGACGAAGGTGGGAGAGAAGGCGATATGATGTTTGCATTAAAACAGCTTCCGAGCGGAGTTCACTGGGTATAGCTTCTTCCTCGGCGAACTTTCATGGAGGAGTTCTTCCCCCTCTCGTTTCCTCAACGCTGGCTTCCGTTCAGTGGGGAGAAGAAATGAAATGTGGGAGAGATTCCTCGCAGGCACGGAAGAAGAGCATATCCCTCTCCTCCTTCTGCACTCTATTCCGTCCCAAACAACTACAAAAGTGACGCAGCTCTTCTTACCAAGAAAAAAAAAAAAAGTGACGCAGCTCCCACTGTGAACTGGAGAGTCGGTGGTGAATTTGGGAAGGTGAAGTTTTCTTTCCAATTTGGATCGAACAGTTTGGGCCACTTTCTAATCCAAAATGGAGGACTCCCTAAGCCCAACGAATCGTCGGATCATCTTGCTCAAAAGCCCAAACGTCAAGGTCCACAAAGTTTCAATCTTTTTTCCTTTTTTTCAACGCCAAATTGTATAATTTTAATACGATGCCGTTGCAACGACAATAAGAAAAATGGTTTGGAAATTGAGTATGATTAACTGATGAATAATTAAATTAAATTAAATCATCTTATAGATAAAGAGTCGCAAACAAATGAACAATAGAATCTAGATCAGAGGTAAAGCATGAAGTAACAGAAGTTACAACATAAATATTTTTAATAAAAATTATAATATAAAAATTAAATACAACGGGATGAGAATGCATCGGTAAGATCGAGACAAGTCAATACGAGGATCCATGCTCACCTCGTCCCGTCTATATATAATATCATTCTGAAAGCAAAATGGGACTGAACAATCAACCAAGTCGGAATCAATTTGTCATCGTATAGATAAAGAGTATGATTAACTGATAAATAATCAAATTAAATCATCTTATAGACAAAGAGTCGCAAACAAATGAACAATAGAATCTAGATCAGAGGTAAAGCATAAAGTAACAGAAGTTACCACATAAATATTTTTAATAAAAATTATTATATAAAAATTAAATACAACGGGATGAGAATGCATCGGTAAGATCGAGACAAGTCAATACGAGGATCCATGCTCACCTCGTACCGTCTATATATAATATCATTCTGAAAGCAAAATGGGACAGGACAATCAACCAAGTCGGATTCAATTTGTCATCATATAACAACAAAATTCAACCCATACGAAGTTCTCATTTGTCTCGTCTATATATAATAGCTTAGTTTGGCAATACTGTAGCTTTTGCAGAAGTAACTTCTGACTGGGGCTTTTAGATAAGTACTTTTAAAAAAAAGCAGTTGAGTGTTTGGCTGTAGGGATGGCAACAAAACCTGAACCCACGGGTACCCACCCGACCCAACCCGGTCAACGCGGGTAAAATCCGTGTTGACGGGTTTTGGGCCGGGTTTGGGTTTAAATCCGTTCACTATTCATCAGGTTGGGTTTGGGTTTAGGTAAACCCGGCCCGTGGGTACCCGCCCACTCATATAATTAATTTTTTCGGTATATTTAATATTCTAAATAACTAATCTTATTTATGTTTGCGGAGACATGTCTAATTTTTTCTTTTTAATTGTGTAGAATGAAGTTGATGTTATGGAGTGGAGAGTAAAGAAACTTAATTGAAAGGAAGAAGCTTTCAATTAAACATGTTATTTATGAATAATTTGTGATTTGCTTCAATTTTCTTGAGTTTTCTAGATTGGTGTTGAACAATTTGTATAGTTTATTTGTGATTTGCTTGAATTTTCTAGAATGGTGTTTTATATATGGATAATTTGTATTGAGAGATTGATATTTGACTTTAATTTTGATAAGAACTTGTAATTGTAAATTTTTTAGGACAAAACCCGTGGGTACCCATGAACCCGCGGATACCCAACGGGTTGGGTTGGGTTTGAGTTTTTCAAACCCAGTGGGTTTTACCCCGGGTTTTTTTCAAAGATAAACCCATGGGTTTGGGTTTGGCAAAACCCGACCCAACCCGACCCATTGCCATCCCTATTTGGCTGTAAAACTATTAGAAGTGCTTTTTAATATAAGAGGTTGTGTAAAATGACTATAAAGGACTTATAATATAAAATATGAATAAAAATTCTAAACAATAAAAAGTGGTCAAAATGGATCTTGTTAATTTCTTTTATATTAAATAATATGATTTTATAATTTATTTTATTTTTAAAATGATATAAATGAAGGAAAATTATGTTTTCTGAAATAAAATTAAAATATGGTAAGGATAATCTTGTATTTTCAAAACAGCTTTTCGCAGAAGTTCCAAATCGGAGATCTGCTTTTATGTTGCCTATGTTTGGCCCGGCTTTTAGAAGTGCTTTTCGGTTTCAAAAGTTGAAGCAGGGCCAAACACCTCTAAAAAGTCGGCTTTTGAAAAGCCGAAAAGCGCTTTTGTATAACATAAAAGCAGAAGCTCCGATTTGGAGCTTCTGCGAAAAGCTTTTTTGAAAATACAAGATTATCCTTACCATATTTTAATTTTATTTCAGAAAATATAATTTTTCTTCATTTATATCATTTTAAAAATAAAATAAATTATAAAATCATATTATTTAATATAAAAGAAATCTAACAAGATCCATTTTGACTACTTTTTATTGTTTAGAATTTTTATTTATATTTTATATTATAAGTCCTTTATAGTAATTTTACACAACCGCTCATATTAAAAAGCACTTCTAATAGTTTTACAGCCAAACACTAAACTGCTTTTTTTGAAAAGTACTTATCTAAAAGCTACAGCTAGAAGCTGCTTCTGCAAAAGCTACAGCAGGGCCAAACTAAGCTGTTATACAAAAGCGCTTTTCGGCTTTTCAAAAGCCGAGCTTTTACAGGTGTTTGGCCCTGCTTCAGCTTTTGAACCCGAAAAGCACTTCTAAAAGCCAGGCCAAACGTAGGGAATATCCATCACTTCCGTTTCAATCTCAAGGATGGCATCTTAATGACGCTAACAAAGCGCTAACGGTGATGACATGGCAACACCTAATCTCTATTATTCCACGTAAGCAGTTTAATTGCTTAACAAAACTCTACCAAAAAAATAAATCTGGAACCGTTGCAATCAGCGGTCTATCTACTCAAATTTCCTACCATTTTAAGAGAAAAGAAAACTTGATATATAAAATCCAAGATGATGATTTATTGATGAATAATGAAGTTAAATCATCTAACAGATGAAGAGTAGCAAATAATAGAATTTAGATCAGAGGCAAAGCATGAAGTAACAGAGGTTACAACGTAAATATTTTCAATAAAAATTAAACACAACGGGATGAGAATGCATAGGTAAGATCGAGACAAGTCAGTACGAGGATAAATGCTCATCTCGTCCTGCGTATATATGACATCATTTTGAAAGCAAAACAAAACAGGATAATCAACCAGGTCGGATCCAGAATCCAGATTGTCAACAGCGAAATTCAACTCATACTGAAGTTTTCATTTGTGCATAAATAAATCATAATGCATGTTGGCAAAAAACAAATTCCATTTTCCGCTCTATGATCAATTGTCAAAAATATATTAATAGTCTCATCTTCCAGGCGAAGATTTTTAGCAAAAGGAGAAAACTCAGGAGCTAAAAACTACTTTCCTATATGGTATTTTACATGGTAAGTCCATAGCTTCCAATCGACCCTTTTTTAGCCATCAAGTATACAACAGCTCTAAACCTAAACGGCCTAGAAATAGAGGAAAACTTCCCATCCTCTGGAAGTTCCCCAAATGTGAGCTAGCTTGCCCTGCAATCCCACAACCATGTCGCCCATTTCAATTTCTGAACCCTACTGTGTAATAAGTAATTAGTTCACTGACCACATCCAGCTCATCATCCAGCGCAACTGCTGCCGTGGAAAAGAATCTAATGGGTTCAATCAAACTGTAGACAGAGCAGCCGGTTGGGGAAAGAAATGTTTACCCGTCGACTGCTGATCACCATTGCCCTTCTTTCCTGCCCCTCGACCTGGTTATTTTGTCGTCTGTCTGTGCATTCATCTGTCCATCTTGATGCTTCACAATTCTCAACGGGTGAGCTTCGGTGTTGAAGACCCATTCGTCTAGTGAGATGACGGAAGTAGGTGAGAAAAGAAGGTACAGGTACTTGAGTGTCTCGGCAAGGAAGAAGCTTTGCATCATGTTGTCTTTGATGCCGGTATTCACCTGAATAGGAAACATTAGCGCTTGAATGTTAAGTGGCAGAAACTTGCACGGACAAACACACAATCAGCTTGCAATTTCAATCATGAATTCTCATGTTCTTACAATGAGAACACTGCAGTTGAAAAATTAAGGATCTCCTAGGATAGGCTAGTTCAATAGAGATTAGCAGACGGGCCATAAAAGATAATGCACTTCGGCTGTACTGTATGAAGTTCTAAAATCTATGGCAGAACCCTTGTACAAGACTGAGGTATATTCAAGAGAAGATTTTAGGGATTGATGGAGTACTTACATCCTTCAGTCCAACATAACCACCCTCAACGCGTGAGTTCTTTTCAAACGCTTGGAATATGTTCCAACCCCACTCCTGATATGTCTTGTTGCCCGTTAAACGCCAGAGGTAAAAGAGTGATTCCACAGTTTCCGGCCTCAGTATGTTCCATGATGTGCCAACGCTCATATCCTAACATGTGAAGTACAAAGAAGAAATAAGAAAACGCCAGCATTTAATTTCACACATTTGGAAAACAGATAACAACCTCTCCAGATCGGAAGAAGTAGTTTTCTCCAGCCAATTTTGTTGGTGTTGATTGATAGAAATTGTAACATGTCCAAGCAAGCTGCAAAAGGAAAATAACTTCATCAAGATTCTGCTACACAGTGCTGGAAGGAAGAATCAATCTGATAATGGACGAAAATAAGAAGCACAAGAAATGCTCTCTCAGGCAACTGAAAAGAAGATGAATTTTGACTCGGTTCATGAGAAAAAGTCAGAAGTCAGCTTGTGGACTGGGATTAAACCCACAAATTATCCAGACTTGACCCCTGAAGACTTTCCTACGCACCATTTTCCAGAAACAATCAGGAAAACGGTGGCGGTAAATTAAATGTCCAGCATGAATATGTTTATATCCATTTGTTTCCATTGTATATAAAGAATACCTCTTCCGCAAGCGAGAGAATTCTCTCAGATTCAGCAGGTTCATAACCAGCTGATCCCAAAGCCAGCATTCCTGGAGCAAAGCAAGCTAATTCATCCATCTGAACAAAGAAAGAGACGAGAAAAATTATATCAACGATGTGAACTACATCAAAACAGTATAACCATAAGAAGGATGGAGAAACCACATAGTATGCAAGCTAAGCACAATAACCCTGAGAGTATCCTCCTGATAGAAAGGATTGCAATGACAGTGTTCACATGAACTATAAAAGAAAAAGGAGTAGAAACTTTGAGTGCAAGATCTAATTTCTTTTGTAAGTTTAGGTAAAAGTGATGGAATATTATCCAAATTCAGTGTGCGGGTTGAAGGAGAAGAAAAGTAGTGAAAAGCAATATTACCTTGTCTGTCAACCAGTCACCACTTTTCTCACAAATGTATGTAAAAGATGAAGGTGTACTTCGCCTAACTAAGCTAACTAGACCCTTCATTGATTTCTCCCACATATCTCTGCAAGCAAGCACAAAATGATTGTTCAGAAGTCCCAACAGAACTAGCTATTCATCAACGGGTGAAGGAGAATAAAAACTTGGTCAGGCGAAAAACAGTTTACACAAGAAAGGGAGACAAAAAAGATGCTTGGTGTTCAAAGCTGGGCAAAATAGGCGCTGATTTAGGTCCTTGAGGAGTTTAATTAAATACCCATCAAGAGAAACGTAATTAGATGAATGCATGCACCTTCATATGTCAGCAGCAGTACGACAGTAGTACACAAGCCTGTATATCATCATACTGAGATGAACAACAAAAGGAGGGACGTAAAAATCTGCTTACTGACCTGTAAAGTTTCACAGCTCCAGTTTTATTTCCTTGAATCCACACTTTAAGCAGGTATTCATAAAAGCTGCAACAAAATTTTTAAAGATGAAAAGACATGGGGGGAATACGGACAAGAAAATCAACTTTCCAAAAGTTAAGAATCTATACCTATCACCCATTGCACCAAAAGTTATTGTGGAGCTTGAACCAGTTCCCGAATCAGGACTTATATAGATTGGAAGAAGGCCATCAGCAGGAAAAGTTTTATTCAGCTCCAGGATAACCCTTTCAGCCTGAAGTATCAATTGCAACCAAATTAATCATCTGTTCGTCAAGTATGCTATTTTCAGCCTTTAGATGAATCTTCAAAGAAACAGGACCCTTTCGGAAAAAAGAAACTAAGGAAAAATCCAAAGCCATTGTATCGTCAGAAATACCTACTTCAAATTTACTACCATTCCGCAACAGGAATACTGGAAGAGGACTACCGATTCAGTTGAGAATCCTTGAGGGTTAGAACAAATGTCATTTGCTACATTACATGCATGTATAGGCTTACCTTTTGATGATACTTCTGGTCTCCTGTCCTTTGAGAGAGAGCAAAAAACTCAAGCTGCTCTGTACCAGAATCTGCAAGAATACTGGATCCCTGCAAACAAGAAAATAAAATCAAATGCCTGCACCAAACCTAAAAGTAGCCAATACATTTTCCAAATAGAACTTTATGCACATCAAAAGAACTTATGACACATCGAGAATGAAGGGAAATCAGAAAGGACCAAAAAAAAGGGTCTAGAAACATGGCTGAATGTGTAACTGTGTACTATACTGAAATCAAAAGACCACCCAGTAAAATGAGTAAACAGATAAGGAATTACAAAAAAATTAATGTTACGTCCAGTAAGAATTAAGAAAGTCGAAGAGAAAAGCACAAAAATAACAGACAAAATAGAAGGATAACACACAACTTCAATAGAAGCATGGTGGACAGCATAAAATCAACTCCACAAAGCCACGTACCAATATGCAGAGCAACCATAATTATTCTAGCCTTTAGATACAACAGTGAATTAACTTACACCAGTCCAACCAGGGTTATGGGGATTTCCATTTTCCAAGTTGATAATGTTGTAAGGTATGCCAGTAGGTGTATCCCATGCAGGCAGCAATCTATCAGCAATGTCCTTAGCCTTATCAAGGAAAACTTTGTCCCCAGAAAGGTCATAAGCACTCAGTAGGCCACCTACGACTCTGGAATTGCATCAACAAATCCCAGACATTTTAACAGCACAATTAATCTCTCAACCCATGCCATAAATAATATAAAGAAACTACAGCACACTAGCTGTCGAAATAAAAGTAACTACACAATAAACCTGATAATGCAACCTTATGGTTGTCTCAAATACACTAGCATCGTAATCCTTATTGAAATCCAACGAGGTTGCAACCCACCTACAAAGAAACACAATTGAGTGAATACATATCCAAATCCAGATGCTATCAACGAATACACCAACCTAATAAAATGTTGACAATGTTACCAAAAAAATAACGAGAATGAGAAAAAGCAAAGAAGCATGGCTAAACGTGATGGAGAAAGCCTTTAGTTCAAAAGAAGCAAATGTCTGGATATCAATACTGTAACAGCAAGAAATCTCATGGATTCATATCAGCCATATAAACAACAAACCCAACTTAAAAAATACAAGTAATATATCCAGCAAGAACATCAGGTTCCAATCAGTTGGCTCAAGTATGTTGGGGAAATAACCTCCCCATTCGCATTTCTTTGTAAATCCCAGTCTTCACATTAAAGTTACAGTACGTAAGCTCTCTAGACAAGGAGTGAATAAATAAGAAAAAAGATTAACTTACTCTCTAGCTCTTTGGAACTGCTCATCCAGACCCATTATATATAATGTATCAAGAGAATCTATTAGTGTTGCTCCAAGGCCACCAAAGCTGTCGACACCATCCTTCGTCTGCGGCTGCAAACCCAAAGAAAAAGAACTCAGAATATTAATGTACCCACAGAGTTTCAGAAACATAGGATAGAGTAATTGCCAGTCAATATTTATTCAAGCCCAAGGAAATACCCTTTCAGGATCCTGACACATACATAACTTGCCAGACAAGGCTGACCAGACAAGACTTAAGACCACAGCTACAGAATTCACGAGCTGTGTCAAAATATAAATAGAGATACAAGAAACTCGGAACAAGAGAAGACAATGCAGATTGTTAGCAAAAGGAATTTTGAATCATACCTGAAGTTCATCATGACCCCATGCATATTTTTCATACGAACTCCAAGCATGAATCATGGCGTCTTTCACTTTCTCTCTTCTATGAATATCAACAGGGTCATCAGGAAGAACCTTCGAGGTGAGTTTGGATTTCCCACTCACGGAACTGTCTTCATCCCCATGAGTACTCTTTAACTCTTCCAGCTGAAGGAACAAACTAATTTTAGTCATAGAAGACCATCAAAACAAGATTTTCAAAAGCAATGCCACAAAAGATTTCAAACAAGCACCAACAATAAAGCATCTAAATGTCAAAACATAGCAGAAAAAGGCTTAAGATGACATCAAAGATCCTCCATTCTTGGAGAGAGCAAATTTCAAAGGATTCAGCAACAAATAAAATAATTGACAGCCCACACAAGCAAAAAGTAAGAAGACAAAGAAAGAAGAAACACGAAAAATGCTTAACAAAAAAAAATATAGCTCAAATGCAATAGTAAGTTGAGAAGTCGGTAGTATCAAGAAGAGTAGGCATCACTTACCATCAATTTTAATTGGTTCACTTCTTCACTTAACTTATCAACTTCCACCTGCCAGTTGGACAAAATACATCAGATGGAAGAAATTCTCAAGGAAAATTAGCAAAAGAGTTCTGAGGCCTGATAGGGGTAAAAACACAAATGAGTCCTTGTGCATCTGTGTGTGATACGGTACTTACACAAGCTCGTTCAGAGTTACGAAGTTGGGGATTAAAAAAAGGGACGAAAAAAACCATCATCAATCATAATCCACCAGTGGAAAATCTAATGAGCTGGCCTACATAGTTCTACGTCTTAAAAAGATGGAAAGTCAATTACAAGTAACCCAGATGGCCTTCTTCTATCACCTCCTTTCGTTTCAGTTGGAAGCTGAAGACTGTCGTCTACTGGACAATTCCAATACAAGAATAATGAGGAGAAGCTATACACATTCCCACAAGGTTCATCACAGGAAAGCCCAACTTCATTCAATCAATGGCAACAGGAAAAACAAATTTTCTGAAGCCACCGGTTATCACTAAACAACCAGAGAAAACCAGCCACGTGATCGACAGATCAAGGGTGAAACCTCCTCACTTCACGAAGGCAACAGTTTAAGGCCATTGCTCATTGACATTTGACATTGACATTGACAATACCCGTATAATCAATACGCATGATCAACCTAAATATTCAATGCACCACAGCCACAGCATCAGCATTCAACGTTCCCCCCAACCAGTACCACAAAAGTCACTTGCAAGCTAGAGACAAGTTTCCAACTCATGCCATTCCTCAAACATCTACAAACCCCTGAATTGCTACACACGAAAACGTTCACGATAAGCAGCCTCTCCGCCCAACATTTCCCACCAATCACCATAAAAAGCTACAGCATGTTTGCATTCTCCAAAAGGTCCCCCTCCACCCCAGAAGATGACGGGGAAAAAACAAATAGTAATAAACCCTTTTCTCCAAATTCTGCACCTAAAGATCCAATTCCCCAAAGTGAGTCATCAGATCTATCATGAAATTCAGACTGATTCCAGCTAACCATGTCACATTCAGCAAAAACAGAAGAAATGGGACAAAAAAATATGGGTACCTCGTGTTCCCGGACGAGAGTCTGGCGATCCCAAACCAGAAAACTGGCGCAAACAAACACGAAGAAGAGAAGAGCCAATCGCTTGGGGCGCTTCAGGTAATAAGCAGGGTTGCAGTACCTCCATTTCGAGGAAGACAACGACGAAGAAGCCGACGATCTGCTGCTCCTCCCCATTGATTGGTTATCGGGATCTCCGACGAACGCCAAGGGCAAAAGGGAGGAAGAAAAGAAAACCCCCAAGGGAGAAAAAACAAATTCAACCGCTGTCAATCAAAATTCAATCCGATGCTGGCTGAGGCGGGTGTTGTTGGTTCAAGAAATGCGCTAATGCAATGGTTTCCCGATCCGCGCTAGAAAGAAAAAGGAGAAAGTCCGGCAGGGGAAAATGTAAGGAAACAGAGATGGGATGAGGAAGGAAACAGGGGATCGGGAGAGAAATGAGGGAGCAAAGAATCTGACACCAACAACCGAAGAAGGCAGAGATATACGTCTCTTCCCCAACGAAACTGAAAAGGGGAGAGAGACGATATAATTGACCGGACGGAGACTATAGCAAAGGAGAGAGTACGGAGGACTACAAGAAAGGAATGGTCATGAAGAAACTAAAAACGATTTCCATCAATTTTGCTATGGTGCATTGGTGCTTAGTGCCTACATTCCATCGAAATGAGAATTATCTTATAGGTGTTCGAAGTTGGTGGATTCGGATGCAGACGTTTCGAGATCGTTGAATGGATGCGATTGTTATTTTATATGCGAGATAGTTCTTACGAAAGGATTGTGAACACTATAGTGTGGTGAGCATGTTCGATTGAAAGTGATGGTATTTGTTGTGTCCGAGTTGGTCTATATAAGATAATAGATAACGAATGGTGCTTTCGACCATCCTAGTTATAGCATGCACATATTTATCCGTGAGTGTCTTTTCTTTACTAATATCAATATGTGATTACAAGCCACGAAACAATCATCCTTGTACAATACAATATATCCCTATTACAACCATACCATAATGATTTATAGTCGAGTCTCGAATGGATTGTCAACTAACCTGAGTGTGGCCAAACATTTTACAGAACCGATATGGTAAAGGGCTCAGTGGCATCATATTTCGAATGTACAGGAACGAATCCTCACTTCACTTGCACTATCAAATGTCTTTGATGCTTACATTGCTTGCTCAATGGCTACCCACACGGTATACTCTTTTGTGAGTCATTTGAAGTATGATCTATTACAATGAGCTAAGTTATGATACACTCTAAGTCATGAAATATGCACAAGTATGACCACATGATGACTACTCCCTTAAAAGGCTCTTCATTTCTGTGACCACATTTTGGGTGGAGCCAACATCTTAGGTTAACTCTGTCACAAAATATCAACTAGTTGTACTCACTCAGCTTACCAATCTTCTTGCATTGTGTTAATTGATCGTGTCAACACAATACTTTACCATGATAAAGTTTAGTAATTATATAGGTTACAATACGCCACTCAATGTCATATTGTGCATTATAAGTAACACGATCAATGGTAGCCTTCCTCGACAAATTCATAATATTGATAGTTAAGATGTGTCACAAAATACAATTATCATGACTTGACTTATGGGTGTCAATGTCATTATTAACTTCTACTTCTATGACCAACTATTGGAGAATCATCAACCTTTTCGTTACACACCTGGCCATGAGAAGGAACGCATAAAATTAGAATGTAAATGAGATGAAATAAAAATAAGTTGGATTTGCATTGGTTTCAATATTAACTTGTTGTCCATCGACCATGCCTTTCGCCCTGGCCTTAGATCCTGACTCACCCTTTATGGACAAACCTTGCGAAGGAACCCCAAAATATCATAAAACATTGAGATTGAAAGATATAAATTTGTCAAGCTAGATATTAGCCTAAGACATGATTCATATGCTTCAAGCAATCAAAGACATAAGTCATTGATAAGGAAATATCAAATATGACTTGAAAAGTTGACACCTTGAGTAAAGACTACCTTTGTTAGGGCTCAAGGGCTTGGAAAAAAATAAAATTTCTTCATGGTCCTAAGTCTGAATGAAATTGTCCTCTTATGTTGAATGTTAAGCAAAGTGTTGAGAATAATTTGACGAGATCTAGACGAACTAGACAAGAGTTGTATGATGAAACTCTTCATTTAAGAACATAGGTTAAACCAGAATAACTTCCATCGACGACAATCAATGAAGGTAGACTATGGCAGAGAGACATCAGATAAAGGTCAGTTTATAGTTTTACAAGCCTCAGTTGATGCATTGGGCAAATGAGCAAACCTTTGATCATTTGTAGAGAGCAAGTCATTGAGGGGAATTCAATATATTTGCTTGAGGATCAAACTTTAGTATTGAGAAACATTTGTTGATAATTGAGGTTAAATCGAGGTTTCTTTAAGGGTTAAAATGAAATCATGAATCTTAAATTCAACAATTATGCATATACGGATGATTTTAGGTAACAATGATCTATGTATTTAGATTATTTCAACAACTTTTGGATAGGTGTTCATGGTTGACTCTCAGACTTATAAATTATAATTTGGCAACATCAATAGAAAATGGATGAAATTACATTTTTCTTATGTGAAATGGAAACACCATGTACATGTCTGAGGATATCTCAGTTGCCATGAATCCTCGGCAATCCATTTAAACGTTCGATTTGCTTACAACCCTACTGGTGACCACCAAAGAAAATTTCTCATGATGGTAGACTAAATTGAATTCGAGAGGACGCCATGCTTACCTTCATGGCTCATCACTTAAGCAACCCCTCAGTGGTATAAGTGAAGTGGTCGTTTTCATTTTTAAATATCATTATTTTGTTGTAGAATGATTTTCATGTCAGTCTCAAAGTGTTGCACAACGTTGTTACACGAGATGCATTCGTGTAGCGGTTTACGTCTTTATCTGCTTCCTATTTTCTCTTCTCTCAAACTCCTTCGAAGACGTATGCATAGCACTTGACGATGTAGTATGGCTGACGTGGCAAGCTGACTCGACATTATTAAAGTAATTAATGGATGGAGTTAGAAAGAGTGACCGTTTTGTTACGAGTCAATAAACTTGAGTGATGAGTTCGTCACCTTTGAAAGTTCAGTGATGAGTTTGTTACGATTTATATAGTTAAGGTACGGTTCATGTAATTAGTTCCACCTTAGTTCTTTCTCCCCCGCCCCCTGTTCCCAGACAAGAGAGATTTTTGTCTCACCTTCGTCTATCCCTCATATCCTCACCGTTGGTTGCTTTCCATTACCTAATCCGACGGTCTCGGATCTTCATCTCTCTCCTATACGCTCCCTCAATCACAATCCGTTCGATTCAGGGCTCTCATCAGAATCTCATTTTCAATTCCGATTCGAATCCGTTCCTTCCCACCATTTCGAATTGAACCCTGAGGTCTGTTGGCTTCTCTGCACAAGGTACAACCAGCACTGCCCTTTGTTCCTTCTCTTCTTTGAAAGCGACTATGAAAAGTCTCTTGCTTTATTGTTGTTTGTTTCGCATGCTGATGTTGATTTGTTCATATGATAAGACAGTCATGGTGCTGTTTCTCCTCGCAAATGAGTTAGGAATTGAATATCTCCGTGCCATTCTCGTTGCAACCTAGCTGGATGGTGGCGTTTTCTTTTCTGTTTCTTTCTTGTATTGATTCAGTAGCATAGACGTCATGATTCATTGGGCAATGTATTACTAGCTTTGACTTGCTTCTGTTATGACTTCCCAGGATATGATTTGGGTAAAGTTGAGAGCTTCATCTTCTTGTGTGTGTTTTCATGGGTTTTTGTTGTAGAAAATTTGGGTTTTATCGATTCACGAGTAATTGGTGTGGCATTTGCCTGTTAGTGTGGAAGTCTGATCCTTTTGTTTTAATAATCCTGTAGGTGTTGTGGGTTATATATCAGATTGAACTGCAAATTCAATTTCTTTGGTAAGTAACATAGTCAGAGGCGTACAACTTTACCTATAAAGTTAGTTGAAACTTGGAAGGAACATGGATGACATTCACGAGACTGATCCTGGAATGCAAATGGGCGATGGAGAGAATGAACTCCATATGCCTTATGAGCATCACCATCAGCATCAGGGGATGAGTAATGGGAGTTTGATGAACGATGGCGAAGAGCACAACCATTGCCACGACAACAATGGTATTGGGAGTGACACCATGGCAGAGGTGGACGTAGATCAGGGTAATTTTTCAGATACCCAGGTTATGATGGTGGCTGATCACAGTATTGAAAATGGCGATCAGCTCACTCTTTCCTTTCAGGGTCAAGTTTATGTCTTTGATTCTGTTTCACCGGAGAAGGTGATTGATTCTCTGTTCCTTTGGGCTACTGTTGGTTAACATATGATGATTGTCCATGTTTATCCTCCAACGTGTTTGATATGATAATCTTGGTGAACTGTGCAGGTTCAAGCTGTGCTATTATTATTAGGAGGCCGGGAGGTACCTTTAGGTGCTTCTGCTCTTCCAATGACCTCTCCTCAGAGTAGTAAGGTACAGATTTGTCTTCTTAGTACACCTATAGCTCAGTGTGTGTCTGACCTATTTTAATTTTCAGCTAATAATGCTTTTGATCAGGGCCTGACTGCTACCCCTGAAAAGTTTAGTGTGCCACATAGATTGGCTTCTCTGCACAGATTCCGGGAAAAGCGCAAGGAACGTAATTTTGATAAGAAAATTCGATATACTGTCCGGAAAGAAGTTGCTCTTAGGTATATCTTCTATCATTAATATACTATCTCATATTTTTGTGTGTGTCACCTTAGGATAGCCTCATCTATTTTTCTACCACATGTCTAAAGGGTGGTTCATGCTCCGTGGTGAGGTCCAATTGAACTGACGGAACATCCACTATGATTTGGGACCTAACAAGAATCTTGTGTTTTGAAACATTGGTATCATTAGCACAAGTTTCAAGAAATAGATTTGAATTGGCATTACCAAGACAGGGTGTTACGCTTTTCACTTTAACATTCGCCAGTGAAACTAATGACCACCATAAAGAAACTAAGTTCGACTTGATGATCAAGCATGTACGACTTATCTTGAATTCGATACTTGCGTTGCGCATTCTAATAATTCTGGGTTCAGATAGGAATGCCTCAGTGAACTTAGTAAGTAACCTGTAAGGACAGGGATAATGGCTAGGCTGTGATGTACAATGTTCCTGTTTTGGTGGCATGTGAACTATTATGTTGACATGAAATAATCAAGACGTTCCAGTTGAGATCTTAACAGATGTGTTTCATTGATGGTAAAATTAATGGTATTGCTTCAACTTTGAACTTAGATCAGAGAGACAAGAAAAGGGAAAGTAGATCTTTAGAAGTTTCTCTCTTTCCTCTTTTCCTTTGACCGTGGAGTATATTGTGTCTGCTTGTGCTCACTTGTTCTGTTCTACAGGATGCAACGACATAAAGGCCAGTTCACTTCAGCAAAGCCCAATCATGATGATTCAGCTTCTGCAGTTACTAGTTGGGGTTCGAGTGAGAGTTGTGGCTCAGACAATAATGGTTTGAAGCATCAGGAGGCCTTGTATGCTCTCTACTTGGCTAATAGTTGTTTTTATGCATAATTAGTCTTCCAGTGATTTATAGAAACAACCAGCATGACACCTTTTTTTTGTAAAGGTGATTCTGCCCCAATTTTCGAACCCAAGGTTGATAGATGTTATTAACCCCATGTTACCACCAGGCAAACCATTGAGGTTAACCAGCAAAAGCACATTAGTGCCGTGTACAAAAGTTTGCTTGCTGTGTCTGATTCGATGATTTATAAGAATTGGGACATTATAATTAAATATAACTGCTAGCAAATATAGTAAAGTCAAGTAAAAGACTCTTTGTCCAGCTTTTCGGAAGTTTCGTTCTTATGAAATTGATTCACAATATTAAGTATAGATATTAGTTGATGGCTCTACTATCTTATCAAGTGCTTTTAGCACTCTTAAGACATGTTTTTGATCCGTATGTGTCCTCCTACCACTCATTTTCACTTTTACTGTTTTCATTATACATGCTCCCAAAACACTGAACAGAACAGAAACTTGCAGTGAGATTCTCTCTTCGAAATATTCCTATTTTCGCAGCAGCATATTGTTTGTCATCTGGTACAATTGTATGATGCCTTGATTTGTAAATGTTCAGTTGTCAGCACTGTGGTACTAGTGAGAAGGCTACTCCAATGATGAGGCGTGGACCTGAAGGCCCCAGGACTCTTTGTAATGCTTGTGGCCTTATGTGGGCAAACAAGGTTAGTAGTCTTTAAGAATTAGTATGCTTAACGATCTGATGCATTAATGTGACTTTCTGCTATGGATTTATCACAATTGGTGAAGTACTGTGATCCTTCCAAAAAATTTATGTCCAACTCATGATAAATTTAGTTAGCTCACTTCCTTACATGACAAGTATGGATGCTTCAAAAAGAACAATGGCCCTGCTAGATGTTGTTAATGCACTTCACTCAAATTGCTAATGAGATCTCCATCTTTGTGTTTGCATTCCTTATCCATTTTTGTTCCAAGGATTTAATTTTTGACTCAAGGTACAAGATCTTTTACCTTAACTGTTGTCTTTGTGCGATCTTTAAATAAACAGGGAACGCTAAGGGACCTCTCGAAGGCAGCACCCCAGGTTGGACAGGCCACTTCTGCTTTGAAAGGGAACCCTGAGGTGAGATACTCCTGAAAAGTGTTCTGATCCGAATGAAATAAACTTTCTTTGGGGGGGTCAAGAAGCTGAGTTTCCTTGTTTTGTTGGTTTTTTTTTTCTTGTTGCTGGGAAGGTTGAGGCCAGCCAAGGGGGCTCTTGAAATTCCACGCGGAGAACGAATGATGTTTGTGAGGAAGCCGTTTTCTCAGTGCAAATATAAATTGGTTGAAAATGGAGGTAAGTTATCATCTAGATCACTGGATGTGGTGATCTGAACACCCGGTGGATTGATTTCGAGGCTGGCTTGAAGGTTTGGTTGTCCTCTCAACTCGGCAAAATCCATCAAGTTGCTCAGTTCTGCTTGCCTGGTTCCCTTAGGCATAGAAGATGTGCAGTATGGACTAGGAGTTCGATGGTTGTAACTACTGTCTAGAAATGTGGTTGTGGTGTTTTAGATTTGGAACTGTGATGGTTCATTGCTGATAAATAATTAGTTTGAAGACTCTGATACCAGTGTGAACCTTAGATCAATCCTAGATGAAAAATCGTATCTTGTAAAGTGCTAGATAGCCTTGTGGAACATAAAAAAGTATGTATGATTCGTTTAGAAATGGATATAAAAGAGTACAATTATTGATTTAATATGTCCTGTCTGTTTCCACTCCAGTCCTCACTTACCTTGACTTTATTCTCTCTAATCTTGTTCTTTTGTTTTTGTTTTTGCTCAGAAACAAGTTGGTTGTTATTATATAGTATTATAAATTTGAATCAACAAGCTGGGATAGCTCAGTTGGGAGAGCGTCAGACTGAAGATCTGAAGGTCGCGTGTTCGATCCACGCTCACCGCAATTTTTAGCTTATTTTCTTAACTCCTATTTGACTCCAGTTGGGCTTTTAGGAGTCACACCCATTCAGTTGATATCGGGCCCGATTTGAACTGGGCTTTTTCGCTCTCGCAGACCCATTTCATTGGTACCGAACCTGATCCAAATTATATTTTTAATGAATTAATCCAATTTTTTTGTACCAATGAATGTGCAATCTTATTTATAAACTCAATTTCTTATTAAACTTTTTTGTATGAATGTCCAATTATAAACTTCTTTGTATGATTTCTTATTAAAAAGATATCAACTTTAGGGCTAAAAGCAATTTTTTTTGTTTAACACTAGCCTAATGAATACATGATATTTATACTAACTAATTATTGTCATGCTTCAATATTTTTTATACATTCTTCAAAAGATATTTGTGATATTTTGTATACCCAAATATAAGTTCATATCATAAATTTTTTAGGTTTACGAGATATCAATTTGTACGTGTTAGGTAATTTCTCAATTAAGCACTCAATACTTTAATTTAAATAATAATTACCCGCTTCGCTTTTAGTAGAGTATTTCATAAAACATACTTTTAATCTCATTACCCTGACATACGATAATTCTTCAGGATGGCTTCAAAAGTACAAATCTACAAAAAAACACATTTGAAGATACAGTTCTGACATGACAAATTAGCCTCATAGTATCGTTCAAAGTTGAAATATGGCTTCAAGCCTGCAACAGCCAACAAGGTACCACAATCACAAGCCAACATGGAATATGGCTTCATGGAACTATTCATTAAGGCGCATCATACATTATGCATATCGCGCGCTTGTCCATATCGCGGAGCTGCAACAATCAAGCAGAAGCTTCTGATAACATTCACATTCTGCAGTCATCGCATCTCATATGCTCATGGATAGATAATGCAGGTATACAATTCAGTGTTCTAAGCTTGTTTCCAAACATACATCACTTTACATCGTCAAACAGTCGTATTTGTTTTCCCTTTATTGGCACAAAAAATGTCGAGTTGGGTTGGGCGTTTAAAGGGTGATACTCAACCTAGTTAGGTTCCAACAGAAACAGAGTCGCCGGATTCTGCATATTTTACATTGCAATGCTTGTGTTGTTGTATAAGCCCTTCATATGGTACCGGATACCGAAAGCGACTAGTCAAAGTCAGGGAGAAGGCCTTCTTCCATCAGGAAATATACGAGGACTGCGAGTAATACGATGAGAATAATGATCCACCAGCTTGATCCTCCTGCACAAGGAAACAACCAATAATATGAAACACTTGCTCAAAATCAGGAAATCAACACATCCTAGATATATATGAATGATTGCATTGTTTGCAATCCTCAACACTCATTTTCATTCTTGAGATTCAGGTCGCATCAATTGGTCCCCGGATTTGAAGGGATGAATCTCACAAACCCATATGGGAGTAGGGTTTGTCAAATCCAAGGGTCCCATAGTTTCGGCCTTCAGGGAATTATAAATACAAGGATTATGGCCAACAAGTTTCTACAAAGACCCTCTTCTCTACTCATGGACTTTATGCTCAAACCCATGATCCAAATGACCCCTAAATTCTTTACTTTCTCAACCAACCCTCCTCCGTTATTGGCATCTCATATAGAGGTAGCAAACAACTCGATGCATATTTTAGAGCCCAGGTGAAACTGATAACAACTCTTCTAGTTCAAGGGCATTAGTTTGATTTCTATTTGCTTTAATTTGATTGTACATACCGCTTTTCTTCTCCTTTATCAACGTTACTCGTGCACTGGAATCCATAGAAGCAGATACCAAAGCCCTGCATTAAAAATTACCAAACGCCAAGGTTAAACCCTAGATGGTGTTGGATAGGGATTTCAGAGGGAAGCATGAAGACCTGAATGAGCTCAGAATGGAACTTGAAGCAGGAATTAAGGTTTAAGTTACAAACTGCTTACCTTGAGTCATGTGAGAAGGCCAACGCAGTTACAAATCCAAGATGAGCTTTCCTAACGACCATCTGAACTCCCATCTTGGTTGAATCTACAACTACCACGTCCCCTTGGGTTGTACCACTGATGGTTCATCACCCCAAATGACGAAATGAATTTTACTATTGCACTTGATAAATTAAAAAGATTGCTCTGAGATAATGGAAGGGGGAATATATCATAAAGAAGAAATTGAGCCAATTCATACATTGCAAGGAGCCTTCCGTCAGGCGAGACATTGAAGGAAGAAATGGAATCACGACCCACATGCTTAGAGCGCGACCTTTTCCAAGAACTTGTGTTCCATGTCACTATACTTCCACCTTTACCTGCATAGAGTACATCCTTGTAAACTCTAAAAGATCAATCAAACCTTTCTCCTAGGAACTTAAGGGGAACAAAAAGAGTGTTTATACAAAGTTTTACCTGTTATGGCAGCAATATACAGTATTAGAGAATTATCCCTACTTTGCGCAAATCTACAAGAGAAGAACACCTCATCCTGGATGCAAAAGGAAACAAATTAAATTCTATTCAGTCAAAAGATGGGGAACTAGATTGACTTGCAGAAGAAAGCTTGGAGATTCATAATGGATGACATTCATTTTGAGCTGGAAAGGCAACAAGGTTATCATATTGTAGCTATGTTATCAAATGAGTTCTTGAAACTTAATATTTGGCTGATTCGGGAACTTAGGTATGCGATTATCACAACTCAAGAAAACAATTAAATTTCGATACTTCCATGGCTGTCAGTACAGGGGAAAATGAAAGTAAATAAACTCAAAAGCGTTTTTTATATATTGCACAAAGAGGAGGATGACTTTATAGTAACAGAAGAAAACAAATAGGAACTGCCTGGTCGACTTTCTAAGGAAACACAGCAAGACAGATAAACCACGCACTGAGTAGATAAGGAATCTGTTGAGATTAATTGGTTACTCACAGTTCCATTTGGCAACGAAGCTACAACTTTTGCTGAAGGTACATCCCATACTCTACCAGGACCACGACTCCCAAGGGAGATGAGAAACTTGCCATCAGGGCTGCACCAGAGTTCAGTGAAGTTATGAGCTACAGGGACTAAAATGCTATTCATGCTAATAGGTTATTTATTGTAGATTGAAGTCCTACAGCTAACCTGAAACACAAGTCTTTCACAGAAGAATGTGCTTGAGCCTCATTCAGAATCACTTCCATGCTTGGCCATTTAAAAATCCTCAAGTTTCCCTCCTGTACTGCACCAAAATCAGTGAGTCAAAGCAACTATCTCGAAGAATAAGTCGGCATTCATGTCGGCAACCAAACCAGCGAGTTTACAGAAATGGCACAACTTGTACTTGATAATAACACAGGGTACTGCTACACAACGTGGGAGAAATTACTTTTAAGGTGACCATAACCAAAAAAGTTTTAGCATTTCTTTGGTCAATAACACCTCCTCTGTCATGCAATCTCTACCAAACACTAGCAGGAGAATGCGAGAATCTACCTCACCACCGACAGCAAGAGTGGAACTGTCAGTGTCATAGGCTAACGCTAATTGTTGTCCAACATCTTGTAACAGATCCAGGGCTTTCTCCGAAACTTTGACATCCAGTTTGCGAGTTTCGTTCTCCTCGATCTCATCCCATTCAAAGAACCTGAATGAAAAGGTCGGACAAAGGAATTGACTAAGCATTCAAATAGGATAATCCTGCCAACAACGACCACGAAAATTCTACTAGCTTCCAGAACCCAATGATATGAACAAGAAAAGATACTGAACGGAATACGAAGCGAAGATGATCAGCTACACAAGATGAAAACAGCAGAGTGGAATGAATTTGTACCTGCAACTGTTTTGCATAGCACATATTAATCCATCCCCTTTTGGGTGAACAGCCATTCTATAAGGCAACTCTGAACCAAGAACAAGCTTAGCTACCTGAAACAGAAGAACGCAGAAGAATGACGAATAGAGATCCTCTCAGAAATGCATGAGCATGAACAACACTACCATGTTTATCTAATTGGTTGTAGAGAACCATGATGTCGTTCTATCAAGAACAAAACTGAACATTTCTGACACAAATTCAACGCCATGAATCAAGCCCCCAAGCACAATTCAAAACATATGCCGTCCTAACAATAACCTTTTAACTTACGGGCTGCGGCGAGAGAGCACTCGAAGCGAAATCGAAACGAGCAACAACAATTGCATTCGCTATGCCGCTTCGCCCTTCGCCGCCGCCACCAGCCAAAACCACGTAATACTCCGACGCAGCTGGTCCATCGGTCTTCTGCGCTTCTGCAGTAGACGGTCCCTCATCAACAGAATCCCCATCTTTGTCCGCCGGAGCGGAAGCATCAGATTCCTTGCTTGATTCTTCTTCTTCCCGCTTGTCATCAGATCGAGCCTGATCGAGCTTGGATTTGAGTTCCTTGTACGGGACCCAAGCCGCGGAATAGAAAGGGATGCCATACTTTTGCAACGCGGACGAGTCAGAACTCTGGCCGTTCGCCATCGGCAATTTCTGAAAACCGCTTGCCCGTACGATCGATCAATCCTCCGTTAGGAAGAGACAACCGACAAAGCGAAAGAGGGAGAAAGAACGGAGACGACAGCCGGCGGATCTCTGCCGATACCGGTGGCGGTCAATTAGTCGGATTACTGATCTAATAAAGCGATTGTCGTATTCAATTATGCGATTTGGGCCCGTTTGGGAAAGTAATTCTATTTTGGGCTTTTTGCTACGAGGCTTAACATGATTGGGCTGAAATGAAAAGTTAGGCCCAGTAGAATGGCTAAACCACTGGTAGGGTTTAGGAGTTGCATCTCCATCTCCGAGGAGCTCTTTTCCCCTCTTTCATGGTTACCGACTCGCTAGCTTCTGAGAAACCAGTGAGGAATTCGCGAAAAATACTCGGGAGCTGAGATTTGGGTTTCATCTCGTCGCTTTGGGCATTGATTCTATTGGAAAATGACGAAGTTCAGGAAGCTAAATCGGCCGACGGGCCACCGTATGGCCATGCTCAGGTTCTTGAAGAATTTGCCCCTTTTTTTTCCAGCTGGGTTTTTGTTTCTGCTGTATTCTTCTCTGATTCGTTGCGTATTTTTTGTACTTGTAGAACAATGGTTTCACAATTGGTGAAGCACGAGCGGATTGAAACCACTGTTGCCAAGGTACTTCTATATGTTTTTTTGCGCCATTTTGAGTTGCTTCTTTTGATCTTTGTAGTCTATGAGTGACTAGGCCCTCATACTGTGAGAGAAAAGATTGAACTTTTTGGCAGTAAGGAATTCACAGTTGATTGTGGCAATGCTAGCTGTTTTTATTTCTCTTGAACATAACTTGGGAACAGTGAAAGAAGTGATTTTTCTCTTTTACTGTGTTGTTTGATCTTATTTAGGCAAAAGAAATACGGAGGCTTGCTGATAATATGGTGCAGCTTGGCAAAGAGGTGAGTGCGGTAACTGAATTCCTATTTCAAATATGCCAACCAATTTGTACTCTTGGTTGACTTCTTTGAGTTAGAGTTATATGATGTGTGTGTGTTTTTTTTCTTTCAGTTAAGTTTCATGTTATCTCGAATCATTCAAATATTTCTTGAGAATTGCCGGGATCAGATGGTTTGAAACACCAAGCACATTCTTAAATTGATGTACCGGTGCTCGAAGTAGCCGGTCTTTTCTATAATGCTCAAAGCGTGAATTTCCCAGATTGGTGTTTAGGTGAATCGGTAAACACTGACGTGTACTATGAGAAAGTATGAAACTCAAGTTTTTCAGGTCTCAATCACACGAAATTATATTCGATAATTCAATTGTAGAGATGTCATGTAGCCTTTGAGAGTGATTTTAGCAGCGGGAAATCGCATTTTCCCAGTCTTTACTTCACGGGAGACGATGAAACTAAATATATAGCTCACCATTGGTGACTGGCAATAATTCATACTTGTGAGGACATCACAACCACTGTGTTTGTGTCATCAGTTTTGATATATCCATTCCTTGAACCAGCACTAGCTTGACTATTGTTTCAAAAATAATGATGCCTGCTTCAACAAAATAGTCAATTTCTGATCTCTGCTTCTTTCTATGAGAAAAAGGGCCTAAGGTTAATAAATAGATTACTTTTAGTATATCTATCTTTAGGGTTCTTACTGATCTTCTATTCTTTGGGATTGTTGCAGGGCACCCTTTGTGCAGCTAGGCGAGCTGCTGGTTTTGTGAGAGGAGATGAAGTCCTTCACAAACTATTTACTGAGCTAGCGTATCGATACAAGTATGCTTCGACCAGTTCGTTTTAGTTTCACTTTCTGTGTCTCTTGAAACGTTTACTTAAAATTCACATGGTGTATTACAGGGAGAGAGCAGGTGGCTACACAAGGCTGCTACGAACACGCATAAGAGTTGGTGATGCTGCACCTATGGCGTACATTGAGTGAGACTCTCTCTCTCTACCAACTTTCAAGTTTCCATCTTTTGTAGAGCTTTTCAAAAGGAAATCGAATAAAAACTCTTTCTCGTTGTTATGTTTATTATAATTTACACAACTTGAGCAGAATGCCAGCTTTTTCCGAAGGTTTCATGGCACATTAGGAACATGCTGGTATCATTTAAGAAGTCCCGTATGTTCATATTGTTAGTGTTGTGGTATATGATCCACGATTGAACCTCTCCCAATAACTCGAGTTATTGGGACCAACTGGTTCTTAACACATACTACATACTTCATACTTATAAGTTATCATCCAATCCTTATCAATTATTTGTTATGCACAAGACTCTTAAGGCTTTAGAATGGTTTGTATGTAGTTTCTATTGATCTTGTATTGCCTTGCAATAGTGGTTTGTGCTGATGGTACACATACATCAACCAGGTTTATCGACAGAGAGAACGAGCTCAGACAATCAAAACCGGCGGTCCCTCAGCTGCCACAGCGAGCCGCTCTCGATCCCTGGATGAGATCCCAGCTCACCAGGAACTTTGCACCTCCCAAGGAGGAAAAGAAATCTGATTCGGATTCCGACTTATGAACAGGCACTGGACAACACAAATAAACTGCTCCAATACTGACAACGGGTTTTCTCCTTGTTTACTCATCATACGGTTTTTCAAGATTTGGATCGTGTATAATTATGGAGGTCATATTTCCATTGATATTTGTAGAACTGATACGGGTCGGTCTGAGGCATTTCTGCTCTGTTCTTGTCAGTTTGAAAGTCTCCAGCTGTGTGTGGGTGTGGGGCTTTGTGGGTTGTTAGCCAGATGAAATTTTGGAAGCCGAATGATGAGGCCGCCATTGGAGAATGACATCTGGCTGTTTCTGGGTGGTGCATCAAAGCTTTCGTTTTCGTTTCCTTTTGAGTAATGCAAGGCAATGAGAGCTACTAAAAAAATTATCTGGTGGAGATTTGGAGATGTGGTTTTGTGGGTAACAACCTCAACACGAATGCAGCTGAACAGAGAAAATTTTTGAGAAGAAACAAACAACCACAAGTCCAACAACCTAGCAATCAAGAAACCGGAAGATATTTTCCCGCGCTTTCATCAAACGATACCCCAAACCATTTTACCAAGTCATCATCCAACATCTTGAATGTTTCATTTTCGATCCCCGTAAACTGTTTTCCTTGCATCTCACCCCCAGCAAACTCAATTCTACCTTTCGGGCATTGTTAAAGAACTTAAAATCATAAGTATCTCTCTAATAATGGGTCAATTATCAACGTGATAACGATTATTCTTTCTCTCATTCAAAGCACAACACACTTGTACAGTTGTACGCAGAACTTTGATAGTTTTACTCAATTTATTCAAAACGAAACAGGGTAACGTCTCGATCAATAAGTGTAGAAACCGTCTTGCGTTACTTGCCAACTTCTTATCATCTTGTGTTGACTATTTTCTACAAACTAGATAGCTGCACTTGCTTTCGCTCGGGAAATCCGCAACATGCTCTTGTGTCTTGAGACGAGATTTCACACTCTTGCTTATTTGACAGTCTGTTGAATTGGGCACTCATACACGAGCAAGTTAATAAGTAAATATCTCGTTAGACATCACTAAGCTCAATTTTTGTCTTTTTAAAAAATATACACAGTAGACTGAATTCAAATATTCGATAATTACTTTAAAAACTATCATTACGATACCAACCTAACAACCAAAATTCACAAAAAAAAAAAAACATTAGAAGAATGAAGTATGTACGATGTGAGCTCCAACGATAATGATAATGTGGAGGTGCTATATAACAGATAAAAAAAAACTAGGTTCGAATTTGGGTAATCAAAAATTACGAGGATCAAGATGTGAAACAGTAGAAAGGTAGTGTAGTAGAATAACATTTTTTTCAGTTTTCAAAAAGAAAACGAGGTTTCCGTTTCTTTCCTTCATTCAAGGCCAAGGAAGGAACTTAGCTGCGTGTCCAACTCGGCTCTCTCAAGTCTCAAATTTCTTTCTCCTTCTTCCACAGTCTCTACTCCACCACCACACAAAATCTAGTGTCCTATTTTTAGCCGCCACCGCGACACCGTTGCTTCTTTCTTTCGTATAAGATCCATTATCGAACCTCTCACAAATCGCAACAACAACAACGTATCATTTCCTTGTACCACTTTTCACCTCCGCCACCAGTCTACCGCCGGTGTCTCTTCATCAATCAATCAACATTGCCTTTTTAGCCTACATTTTCGCCGGATCACGAAATCACCCCGCCGCCCTTCTCCTTCCTTTCACCGCACAACCAGAAAAACTCTCTTCTCTTCTCTCCTTGAATCTCTCTTCCTCAATCCCCTACTTAATCCCTCCTCTCTAATAATCAACCACTCAATTCTTACTTCCCCTCTCATTTTTGAATTTTCTCCGATCAAGGACGGAAAGAAAAATGGAGGATCGGTCTAGGGTTTGCGAGCTCTGCTCGGGATCACCGGACGTTTACTGCAACTCCGACGACGCCTTCCTCTGCTTCCACTGCGACGCCAGAGTCCACCACGCCAACTTCCTCGTCTCCCGCCACGTCCGCCTCTTGCTCTGCCGGAGCTGCGGCTGCCTCACTCCCAACTCCATTTTCGGACCCCGATCGGCCGCCTGCGCGGCCTGCTCAACGTCGGAGCTGGAAATCGCTTCTCCGGATCAAGAATCGGACTCGATCTCCTGCTGCTCGTCCTCCAACAAGTCCGAATCGGGGAGCTCCACTGCGAAATCGAAAGTCCTCCGCTCCGACGAGGCGGTGGACCAGCAGGTTAAAACGTCGAGATCTGGAGTCTGCGAGGGGGAGATCGGGGCCGTTTTCGCGAATTGGTGCGGGAAGCTGGGGGTGGACGGCGGCGAGATGGTGGAGGCGAAGGCGGTTCAGGCGATGGGATTGTTGTGCACGGGGCGGCGGCTCGGGAGAGTGCTGCCGCTGCGACTGAGCTTAGCGGCGGGGTTTTGGTTCGGAGTGAGGGGCGGATCGGGTGACACGCGGCGGAACCTGCGGAGGCTGGCGCAAGAGTCCGGCGTGCCGGCGGAGCTGATCGTGAAGGTGGTGGCCAAGCTTGAACAGGGGTTGTTGAAAGGCCGTGGCGGAGCGCGGCGGCGACCGGAGCCGGAGGAAGGTTGGGCGGAGTCCCTTGCTTGATCCACTCGACACGTGTCTGCTTGGGTGTGGTTTAGTACTTTAATTAGCGGAGGTAGATATCAATTAAGGCTAGTTAATTCAGATTTTATTTTATGTAATTTGACTACATTACGAGATTAGTCAGCTGGAGAATTAGTTAGTTAATCTGTGCATAAAAGAATGATGAAAGTTGGTGTTTTTTATGTGTTATTCGCGCTTAATGATTTTATCATTGACGATCAATTTCCGATTTCTAACATGCAAGAAAATCGACATGTATTCAAACTCAACCATTCTCGTATCGAATTTTTTTTCCAACGCACAACGAGCGGTGAAATTGAAAGATTTATTGTTTCAAATAAACAAAAAAAATTCTTGGAACTAATTTTGCGATTCCAAACCACCAAATATCTCCCAAATATGAAAATGAAAATAATGTCCTACGTAACGAATTTCTTATCCTTCTTGCTTGTAGGCTTCTCTGCTGCTTCCAGCTCGGAAGACCGCTTCCTCTTCTTCTTCTTCTTCTCACCGCCATCTTCAACATCATCATTCTGTTCACCTTCAGCTTGTTTCTTCTTCTTCTTTTTCTTTTCTTTCTTTACACCATTAGCACCTCCAGCAGCTTCCACATCCTTGCTATTCTTCTTGTCCAAAGAAAGACCTTTCTTTTCATCAGTAGCTGGAGCTTCCTCATCAAACTTCCTCTTCATCTCGACGGTCTCCTCTCCAACCGATTTCGGTGTTAGCTCAAGAACAGCATCAGCAGAAGGATTGTAGGTCTGCGGGAAAAAAAAGGACCATTAGTCATCACTGAGGGCACAAGTATAATCAAACTCAAACAGCTCAAGTTCATAGCAAACCAAACCTTTGCAGGAGTTATCATTCCAGCTGCTCCTCCCTTCTTCCTATCCTTGTCATAAGCCTCAATCATCGGCTTCCCCTTAACCAAACCTGCAGAACGTCCCAAAACCTCGCCCTTGAGCCTCCTCAATCGCGCTTCCAGCTGCAAATACAGCCCAAATGATAAGTACTTCCTAACCCCAACCCATGCTTTGGAATCAATCAATGTACCTTGAGACGATTCTCTAATCCGATGGAGTTATCTTGTCCGTCTCCAAGAGCATCGCATCGAATCGCAAGAGAAGCTTTAGCAGCAAGCGACCTGGAAATCTTCCCTTTCATCTTGGGCATTGCTTGGCCAACAAGGGACGCATGGTAGATCAACCCATATTTAGGAGTGGCGTGCTTCGTCTTCAGGGCTCTGAACAGGGCCTTCTCTGCTCCAAGAATCTGGACGGTGCTCCCTGCCTGCTTGGCGAGATTCATCAGGCTGCCTCCATGGGCAATCAGCCGAGCCCCAACGAGCTCCCCAACCAGAGCAGTCAAATTAGGCGCGACGGTGTTCATCCTGCTCTTCAGATAGTCGTACAGTTGAGGCCTGTGTTCGGATAGAGACAAGAACTTGTCACAGAGCTGCATTATATTTGCCATGTCGTATTCGCCCATTTCAGTCCCCATCGATGTCTTGGCTGCTTCCTTCACTGCTTCCTCGACACCCTCGGGCAATATCTACAAAATCAAGAACATGCAGCAGTTAGCCACTTTACCTATTCCGCCAATCCTCGGTCCAAACAGAGAACTGAAACTAGTCAAGTCAAAATTCAGAGGTACATTACCTCGGAGAAATCAAGTTTCGCAGCATTCTCACGGAAGGACATCAACTTCACAGCTTTAGCATAGACAATGTTGTCTTGAACAATCTTGGCAAGCTCTGGAAAATGCCAACCGTACCATTCCCTCATCGCCATTGCATACTGATTAAGCTGCTTATCGAGATCGTCAAGCACGCCAATAGCGTGAATGATCATTGTATCAACCTGGAACATGAAGAAGAAAGCGTATATAGGTCAGTCTACACACCCTGCTACACATAAATATGTTGGACAGAAGATGCATCGAACATGAACAAGTACCTTATCAGGGCTGAACTTCAGCTTGTATCTGGACATGCTATGAGACAAACCGAGGCTCATTGGTGCCAAATCTTGGCTCCCTAGACCAGCTATAAGTTCTGTCAACTGGCTCCTCACACCTCTCATCAATTCCATGACACCATTGTTGTGCACACAGTCAATTTTCTGAAATTCCCAATCACCGATACGATTTAGAAAGGCTAGCTGGTACATCTATATATAAGAACACACCCAATGTTTAACCAAACAGAAGCATACCAATTTCTCCTTGATTGCATTCCCCAGCTTTGAGTCAGCCACAGCCAATCTCTCGCCTTCGCAGTGAGCTTTCAGGAATCTCCGCAGGCTTTTAGTGGTTGAGCCGTCGCTGATTTTGGTTGCTGCCTCCAGAGCATCAGCCGTATTGTCAAACTTATCAAAGGCTTTCAGCTTCACCACCTAATTTTCCACAACCCAAGAGAAAAGACTTCACAGAATCTACATACACGAATAGACAATCACAACTCAGAGGAGAAGAACGAACAAATCTACCTTCCTCGCAGTGTCAGAGGAAGAGAACTCCTTCCACAAGTCCTTAAACAAAACCCAGAGGATTGAGCTAATATCAACACACTAAACTGCTGCTGACAGTAAGAACCTATTCTCCATGATTATGTTAGGACCCAAAAATGTTTTGCTGATGATGACAGGATTTGTACATAACGTTTTACCTCAACTTTGGATAGCTTCCCTTCATCCAGGACTTTGAAAAGGGCAAATCCGGCTGGAGTCTCAAACAGTACTAACATCTTCCACGGCAAACCCTAATCAATCCTGCATATATATACGAACACACTACCAACCGTTCACAGCTCAGAACGTTCACCAATCAGAAAGACAAAGCCCTGCATTCTAGCAGCGCACGCAGCTTGGTTACTCTGCATGGGCTGCATGGGCTCGGCTCCGATTGATAGGTTCATCACCGCCGTTGCCGAAATTCACGAGCTCAAATTAAAAAAAAAGAAATCGACAGCCCAAGGATACGAAATGCCAAGAACCCAGAAAACGTGAAACAACGATTTTTCGACTTGCAAATCAAAAGCTTAAAACCCTAAAGAGGGGAAAGGAGACGACCGAACGAGTAAAGAAGATCACGGTCTTTCTTCAATCAAAACCCACAAAGCAGTTAGTATAGAAACAGAAACCAGAGAACGATTTACAAGCTTTTCATGGAGAAATATCGCCTACGTACGTTACCTCCTTGGTTCAGCGGGAATGGCAGATGCTGGCTATGGCGGCTGTTAGTGCTTCCAGGGTTTCGCGCCGAAGTCGTTTGGCGGTACGTGCTGCTTGAGGTTGAGATTATAATGGGCTCTGGACCAGAACAGGAGTGATTTTTGGGTCCGTCGAGGCCCTTGGTTATGGACTACGGCCCAAAAAGTACTTGGGCCGCGTTTAGGGGGGATAAGGGGCCTAAGAGCTCGTGTGGTCTTGGTGGTAAGAGGAGCCCAAATCTCTATAACCACATTTGCAAAGATGTGCCATCGTCGTCCGATCGGAAGTCGGGTGTTTCGTGATCATTGGATGAGCGCGGTGATAATTTTGTAAATGAGATGTCACACGTGTTTATATAATGGTCATGAAGTTTTTAGTGAGTGATCAAACAATAATGAACACTTTATGAACGTATTTATAAATGGTGTTGTGAGTATCATAATCATATTTGACGAATTAACGCGATTTTTATATTTATAATAATGTAAACTAGTGCGGTATGAAATCAATTGACCATATTGATAAATAAAGACCAAATTTTTTTACTATTTTAGAAAAAAAGGACATAACACGATTTAGTAATTCCAGTGACCAAAAGTCGCATTTACCCTTATTTAAAATTTTGTTAACCATGTTAATAGCAAGATTGTATAACCGTAATTTAATATTGAGAAATTGATATTTGACTTTAATTTTGATAGGAACTTGTTATTGTAAATTTTTTAAGACTAAAACCCGTGGGTACCCAGCGGGTTGGGTTTGAATTTTTCAAACTCAGTGGGTTTTACCCAGATTTTTTTCACGAATAAACCCATGGGTTTGGACTTGGGTTTGGCAAAACCCGACCCAACCTGACTCATTGTCATCCCTACTTCCAGAGTGCAATACAGTTTTTCAATGCTTGGTTAATAAAGGGCCCGACCGAACGGCTGCGGACCCGGATCGAATCTCTCTTTTGAAGACCCAACGTCTTTCATTCCATTCATCCGCCATTAACAAAGAAGAGAATCTCCAGAAAGCCAAAAAGGCAAAAACCCTTGTTAAATCTCTATTTCCTGCTTCCTCTTCGTCTCTCTTTGCCCCTCCGATTTCCCGACAATCTCTGCTCTGTTCGCAGTGCTTACTCAATGGAGTCTCTGTCAAGCTCGGCGTTCGTCTCCAGATTCCCAGAAACACACCCATCGCTCAGCCCTCCGTCACCTTCCTCCTCCTCATCCTCCTCTTCTGCCTGCTGTTACTCGTCTTCCAGCAAGATTCTGCTCAGTAAGGGAATTATAGGGTCTCCCAAATTCGCCGAAGCAGCGCGTTTCCCTCGACTGCGCCTTCAGGGTCTGGCCCGTGAGCTGTCTGGTGGAGCCGGAGAGGAAAACAGTCACTTGGGTGATGATGGGTTTGGATTGGTTTCTGATGCCACGCTCTCCCTGCCTCAGGTATCCCATTTCTCCCTCAACTTCAGGTCTGAGAGTGGGTCAAGTGTGGAGAGTGTTTTGTTTACTTCACAGGAATAATTTCAGATGAGTAACCAAAATGTGGGGAGGGTTTTGCTCTGGTTACTGGTAAGATAGAACAAGGATGCCATGTTGCGGTTTCGAGAGCTTGAAAATTCAGCTTGAAACATTATATTCATACACTTGTTGCGATTGTCGATAGTGATGCATGTATTCTACTTAGGGTGGTCTATAGAGGCTGCCATGTTGCGGTTTCAAGAACTTGAAAGTTCTGATTGAATCGTCATACATTTGCTGCATCTTCAATAATGTATGGCCTTATGAGTCTATACATTAGAGCTAATATGTCGATACCATCTGCCCTTAGGAAATTTCAGTATCTTTTTCTTATTGAACTATTGACAAGGTTAGCGGTGTTAAGGCTCCAGGGAGAACTTGTAATGGGACTGGGCTTCTGTGAGTCTTGTTTTGAGCAAATCCAAGAGCTAACTTGAAAACAATGCGGTTGATTCCCAGTTCTTAAGAGTTGGTTTGCTTAGTAGGTTACGCATTTGTCGCTAATGATATGAACCACTTTCAGCAACTAATTTCAAGCCAGGATCTGTTACTGTTGTTATTTTCCAGCAAGTGCTCGAAGTATACATGTACAACCTTGCTTCAAAAAATGATGTCAAAGATGTTTATCCGCCGAAGTTTCTTTAGTGGTACTTCCATGATCCCATCTTGCACTTTAAAGCTAGAATTGGAAGGAACAGAAGTAAAAGGTTTAGTGAGTTTGGGGAAGAATCTGTGGGATATAACCTTCAACGAGGACTCAAATTATGAGAAACAAAAAACGCAAAGAAAATTGTACTTCATATAGATATCTTTTGTCGTTGTAGAAAGCGTGAGATTGATTTAGATATATGTTGTTAGCGTGTAGGTCTTGTCCTGCTTTTTTGTTTGATACTTGGAACATCATCTTTGCTGTGATATAGAAAGTAAATCGATGTATCAAATGGCTGCTACAGCTTGGTAGTGATCGCCTCTCTTGTGCTATGAAGGGACTCATAAAGCAAGCTGAAAGCAGTCAAAAGGATTCAGAGAAATTATTGAAGGTGGAGTCACCATTGACAGTTCCCCATGGAAGTGGAACCAGTGGGGGTACAAGAGCAGGGCTTTTCAGAACTCCAATTTCTGGTGGTGTACAGAGTGCAACCTCAGCACATGGCTTACCTCGGCCAGCCCTTGCAGTTCGCAACCTGATGGAACAGGTACTACTGCTGATGTCTTTTGCCATCTAATGATATCACTCCACATGGTTGGTTTTTGATGAAGTATTATCTCTAAATTGGGGTTGTTTTTTGTTATTAAGGCCAGATTTGCCCATCTATGCACCACTATGTCTCGGATGCACCATCGACGAGAAGGGTATCCATTTGGTTCCTTGGTGGATTTTGCTCCAGATGCGATGGGCCGTAAGTAATCATTTTTTGGTATATGGTTGCCACAATGGATACTGTTTTGGGGGGGTGTGTGATCAATAATACTGTTCCAATTCTCTTTGAAGGTCTATTAAGCTTATTGATGTGTATGCTAAACCTATAACTTCGATGATTGACTCTATTTTGCATGAACGGTCTTCTTATGTGCAAATATTATCGATGCTAGATAACTTCAATTTGCATATAATAATGGCCATAACCCATAGCCTTACCTTTAAGATTGTGCTTGAATTGCAGATCCAATATTTTCATTTTCACCCTTGGCCATACACACAAGGAATTTGTTAGCAGATCCAAAATGCACCCTTGTTGTGCAGGTTTGCTGTTGGACTGTCATTATTTTAGGTGGCCGTTTCTGTATCTTCTGCATTATGATTTTGTTAATAGTTATTCTGACAGATACCTGGATGGAGTAGCTTATCAAATGCAAGAGTTACAATTTTCGGAGATGTGTACCCTCTAGCAGAAGATGAACAGGTGCTTGCTCATCCTTTATTTCTTGCCCCTTCTTGCCCATGTCTGTATGGCACCAAATCTTTCATAGTTTTCCATATCCATGGTTTTGATTGGAACTTGTTCGTAGAAGAGTTTGCTGGTTTCGTTCTATTTGTTCAAATGTTGTTGTCATTTCTAAGTTCTGATTGCTGGTCCAGGAGTGGGCTCATAAACAGTATATTGCTAAACATCAGCAAGGTCCTTCCCAACAGTGGGGGAATTTCTACTACTTCAGAATGCAAAATATAAGGTCTGTTTCTATCATATCGTTAGGTAACTGTAGATAATCTAATTTTTCCATGACTATAGTACCCCATTACATATCTTCTGATGACGCTGCATCTTATGAAGTAAAATCCAAAACCATTTGCTGAAGTTGGGCTTGGGCTATACTCATACTGTGGCCAACTGGAAGCTTATCTGTTCCTAGGCATAAATCATCACCCCTTCATTATGTTTGTAGCCTTACGATATTCCTACTTGTTTGTGTCATGTGTAAAAGTTTTCTACCTGGTGGTCTTCTTAGCCCCCCTCCCCCCAACACACACCCCTTCTCTCAAAGTCAATTTGTCAGCATGAAGAAACGTGAACCAGTTAGATGTCGCTGATGTGACATGTAGCTACAAACTTATGGTTTTGTAAATGGAAGTAACCTAGATTCTCATCTTTCAGTGACATATACTTCATTGGAGGTTTCGGCACTGTTGCATGGGTCGATGTCAAGGAGTACGAGGCCCTTCAGCCAGATAAGATTGCGGTTGATGGAGGAGAGCACAATCTCAAGGTAATGTTGATTGCTCTTTCTTGCAGCGCAACACATTTGACAACCTATGCTTGTCAGTTACCTCTAATACATATGTTTCACAATGGGAATGAGTAAGTTCAAACTTTTTCATCTGCTGTCGTTGTCTGCACTCGTTCGTGACAGGAACTGAATGTGATATTCTCAAAGCGGCTTAAGGAGCTGTTATCGAGTGAGATGGAAGTAGATGATGCCGCAATCATATCGATAGACAGCAAAGGAATCGACATAAGGGTCCGTCAAGGTGCACAAGTAAGTAGTAAAAGACAATAACTTCCTCTCGCGAGCCTTCACATCACCGTTCTTTTTTCTGTTCGATCTCGATGGAATCTGCTTTTGATACCTGCATCTTGTCCATCGTATCTCGTTGCAGTTCAACGTTCAGAGGTTATCATTTGAAGAAGGTCATGCAGTTGAAAATCTGGAAGAGGCCAAGAGTGCCGTGCGGAGAGTATTAAACAAAGGCAAAGTTCAAAACTTGCAGAAATGATAGTTACTGAGCCTGGCTAACATTGGAGGAGCTTTTTCCCACCATTGGAGGAGCTTCAACAACATGCATGCGAACATGATGCATGATGCTCTTGCATGCCCTGTTTCTTGCTAATCTTCTGAAGGGACCAAAAAGGTTATTTGGCTTTAACTTCTGTTTGGAGTTTGGGAATCTAATTGGAAGTTTGCGTTAGAGATGGTTGGCTTTTACGTTAAGACTGATGACTAGCTCGACGAGGAGGTTTCAGGAGAAGTTGGATTGTGATAAATGTGTTCACGGATCGGATTGGCATTCGAAATCCTGTAAGCCGTCGTTTAGCGTTGTAATTTTAAAGGCTGTCTGTCGTTTACCGTCTGTCTGTTCCCTTCTCTTTTTTTTTTTTTTTTTTGTCATAGAAATCCTCCCGGATTAACCAGATAAGCGTGTGGGGTCACAGCAATTACAACCCCTACACGGACTCAAGACAGACCATATAAGAATAATCAAATAATACATTACAAATACCAGGATAGCGAAGGGCATTACGTGCCACAATATGGGCAGCCCGGTTCACTTCTCCTTTTCTAATAAATAGAGACTCAAATCAAATAAATTACTAATTGACAAATTTCCCATGAAATGAAAGGCTCCAAATCCAATTCTATTGTTGGCCAACTAGGTTTAATAGTTGTATCCGACTCACTTCTAAGTGCAATTTTTGTTACACCGTTATCTTTTCTGACAAGTATAAGATTGTAACGCGTTTAATGCCACGACAAGGGACCTCATCTAAATGATGCGTGTTGGATTAGAATCGTGTATTTTGTTGAAAGATGGAAAAAAAGACTTCCCCCGTCCCAAGCTTCTCATCCCTCCGGAGTGAGGAGGAGAGAGGTGATGTAGTAACCGATAAATATGAGGGGCTTGTCAGCTTAAGAGAGGTCTGGGATTGGCCGAAGAGCAATTTTAGTCTCTCGACCAAATTCGTTATTCGGATCCATGCAATCACTGTGACGGCTGACGACCCCAAGTGAAGACGATGGATGACCCACCAAGTCATCAGCATGATATCGGCTTTCTCCTTGTATCATGAAATATTATAGTTCGCTACTCGTTGTTAAGTTTTAGGATGACAAAAATAACGATTTAGTAAATAGTGACGTTTATTCTAAGATAAAAACTTGTTGTCGAATTAACCCGGAGCTGACAAAAGAATAGAATTCATAGAGATTCTGATGGCGGGACCATTTTCCCGGGGAAAAAAATCCTGACCAGTAGGCAGTAACCACAGTCCAAGACCCAAAGAGTGTAGAAAAATGGCGGATTTTACCGCCAATGGACGAAAATAGTAAGAGCTATCACTCTCAGGCTTCAGCGACAGCAGATGGAGGCGGCAGCTTCAGCAGCTCCCCACTCACACTCGCTCCCTTTCTTTTGTCGTCAAACAACTCATTCTTCCATTCCACAGATCGGAAGAAGCCCGACCAAGACTCGATTTCCTGATTCATGGCTTCTCCTTCTTCTACCGACAGCAATGGTTCATCATCATCATCCTCCTCGCCGCCGATCATCAGCATGGCTGCAGATCATCTCTTCACAGTCCTGCTCCTGCTCCCCGTCGAATCGATCCTCTCCTTCGCCGCCACCTGCAAGAGGTTCAGCTCCCTCGCGACTTCGGACGCGCTCTGGGAGTCGGTTTGCGCCAGGGAATTTGGGGATTCCTCTGTCCACGCCCTCAGATCTTCCCTCTTACCCAATTTCAGAAACGTTGCTGCGAAACCGTGGATGGCGATGTACAAGAAGTTGTCACGGCTTGACACCGTGTCCTGCCGCAGGCTTCTCACGGACCCAGATCAATTGGAGGGGATTCCCAGCCCAAGGGCTTCTCACTCGCTCAACTTCATCTCTGATTGCTTGGTCCTCTTTGGCGGCGGCTGCGAAGGAGGTTGGTAGCCCGAAAAAAATCTTATCCTCTTGGTTTGATTGCAGAATCGTTATAGTTGTGAAATTGTGAATCAAAGGGTTGATTTTTTTTTTTTTTTTTGTTGTTGTTGCTAATTTGTCATGATCTTGAGTAATGCACGCAAGGTGCTTGTAGATATGCCTCTCCGGTTCAGGGGTTTTAGGAAAGGTTTTTCCTTCTGGTCTTTGAAGCAAGGGAAGTCTAGACTTGGATTGGAATGGCATATTTCGCTTGTTGTTTGATTTTATCTTGGTCAGAATGCAACGTTGACACTCGGATTTTCATCCATCCTTTCCCAATGCTTGGTTTGGGGCCACCCTCCATTTTTCCTTGTCCAAATGAAGAATGCACTCAAGCACCAATATCGTTACTGAAAGATTGATTGAACTATAAAAGTGCATGCTTTTTCCTTTCTCTGATAATGCCGCACTCCTTTTTAAACAATTTTTTCATGTTTTCTGCTCCTTGCAGGACGCCATCTCGACGAGACATGGATAACATATGTTGGCAGTAACTCTCAAACAACGGTAAAATGGCAGAAAGTCAGTACAGGGATCCCCAGTGGTAGGTTTGGGCATACATGCATTGCTATTGGCAATTATGTCATCCTGTTTGGTGGTATCAATGACCGTGGAGTCCGTCACAACGACACATGGATTGGGCGAGTGCTATCCACGGAGAATAGTGCTGTTGGTGGTGGAATTACTTTTTCGTGGCGGCTGCTTGATCTTGATCTGGGTTCCGCCAGGGCTCCACCACCAAGGGGTGCTCATGCTGCTTGTTGCTTCGAGAGGAAGATGGTCATCCAGGGAGGCATAGGGCTTTATGGCCTGAGGTTAGGCGACACATGGGTTTTGGATCCATCAGAAGACTTCTGTTCAGGAACATGGCGTGAACTGCTGACTTATCCAGCACCTCCACCGCGATCAGGGCACTCGATGACCTGCATTGGAGGAACCAAAATGGTTCTCTTTGGTGGAAGAGGGCTGGGGTATGAGGTCATGGATGACTTGTGGCTTCTGCAAATGTCTGAAGGTGGTGATCTGAGGTGGGTGCAGGTAATGTATGAAAATCAGAAGGTGCCTCAAGGTGTGTCGCTGAGACGAGTTGGTCATTCAGCTACAACGATCTTGGGAGGGCGGCTGCTGATCTACGGAGGAGAAGATTCACTTAGGCACAGAAAAGATGACTTCTTGATTCTGGACATCGAGGCGGTTAAGCCTATCAGAGAGCAGCTGCCACCTCCGGCGTTGAATACCAGGAGATTGCAGCAGGCATTGTCTAGTTTGTGGAAGAGGATCAATGTAAAGGGTCACAAACCAAACCGTAGGTCGTTCCATAGAGCTTGTGGAGATCAATCGGGGCGTTATTTGTACCTGTATGGTGGGATGGTGGATGGTTTGCTTCAGCCTGGTGAAGCTGCTGGTTTGAGGTTTGATGGGGAGCTCTTTGTTGTAGAACTTTTTCAGTAGCCTTGTAAATCATCAGAAATAAAGAAAGAAAAAGTAATGAGATTGCATCGCCAACTAGCTCCATCTACAGCATTGCTGTTGTAGTTTGTGTTTTTCACTCTCGCTGACCACCGACGGGCTGTTGCTTGCTGTAGAAGTCAAAGATGAAACCTGAAACCTTGTACTTAAGATCTGAATATCGCAACCTTCTAAAATGATGATAACTAGATGGTTGATAAACTGAAAAGTGAAAACAGGATGGGATTGTGTAACTTCTTGTCCTTTTAAGAATGAAAACAAATGATATCGAATACACATTCCTTTAACTCGGAAGTATGGTATGACGTGAACTCTAAAGACTCGGTCAGTTCCTACCTTCTAGATTTAGAAGCAAACGAAACTGAAGAAGGCTGGGGGGAAAGCTCTAAGGAAAGAATATAATGATGATACAGACCTGTTACAATCGCCAGAAATGCAAATAATGAATTAGACAAAACTAGCCTTCAGGGTTCCAACTTCAATTTGGCTCTCCACATTTCTCCAATGACTTTCTTGGGTGCAGGATCGTCTGGTCCTTTGTCTCGCTGTCCCGACGTGAAGTACACATGCCCATCCCAGAAACCAACCAGCGTGGTCTTGACTCGGTAAGGAAGTTTTCCAATCACTGACCATTTCTGCAGTAAGTATCAGCCAGATACCAAAGTTCGCCAAAGGTTGAGAAACTCGGCTTGAAATTCAGTTAACTAATTCTTTCACTCTCAGATGATCCAAAGACACATAAGCGAGTGAATGAATGAAGTTCTTACCAGATTATTTAGGTTGAACTGGAAAATTTCGCCAACGAGGACCATCTTCTTTGTTACAGGATGCTTCTCTGTCGTCCCTCCAACGATTACAATAGAATTATTTACAAGCGCCCAAGCAAATTCAATGTGAGAATCAGGCTTTGGCATTGACGGTAGCACTTTCCACTTCATCTCATCATCCAGCATGTACACGTCACCGAATACTACCTGAGGTGAATTCAGGGACCATGTGAATTATTCAGTACATAATACGAAGATATAAAAACATGAAGATAGACTGATAGAGTAAGAAATGGAAATGCAACTGATGGAGTTGGACATGCATAATGAAGCACCCATTTGGACTCCTAGATTCCAGTTCACTCAACTAATCAGAAACACTTGGGTGAATCCTAGATTCCTAGTTCACTCAACTAATCTCTGGGATTCTAGCATTGAGTGAATCCCAGAGATCCTAATTTCAGAAACACGTATCATCGGGAAAACTGTAAACTCGGTGTCCTGTTTGTCAGTCAGAGAGAGAAGTAATGCTATTTCACCATTAAAACAATCTCATTAGCAACCAACAGGATGACACGCAAGTTAAGTATGGTTGAACTGTCTTCTATAAGCGGAGGTTGGTCACCTTCTACATGATAAAGAACGCACTTTTAGAATTCTACCGAGCGATGTCTTGTCATTCATCTATCTGAGCAGAACCAGGATACACGCTTATAAAAAATGATGGGCTGAATCACAGACAGATACTTCATAGAACCACCACCCTCCTGGAGGAAGTACAAAAGAGGAAATAAGTGTTGCCACATTACCTCATTTCTACGTGAACACTTGAATATTGGAGATCCAGGTTTGGCCATGAAGTCACCCTCTTGACCACCAATTACATAAAGTCGATCATCTACAACAACACAGGCCCTAGAGAAAAACCAAAACAGTAGTAGTAGTTTAGCTGTTTGTAACAAGAGCCTAATAGAAGATGCAATCTACAAGTTTGCAGAATAAAAGCACGAGTGACCAGGAACAGGTATCATCATGGACCACAAACCTATGAGGCCCTCCACGAGGTATGGGAATTTCTGTCCGCCATTCCTTTTCCAAGGCTTTTCCATCCTTAACGGCCAGACTCCAATGCTCTAAACCTGGTGTGTGCCTATTCTCCTTGCTACCACCCATCACATGAAGCCTACCCATCCAGAGCTGGGTCGCTGGTGCGTATCTGTGTTCAGAAAAAGATAACGGTCCTATAAACTATGCAGAAATATCATATAACCATCCCGCACAAGAATAGATAAATAAAATAAATTTGTCATCATAAAGCTTATCAAAATCTAATCACCATGTTGGAATCTGGTTCCATAAAATCAATTGCAGCCCTGAAGCTGCTTTTACATTGTGACTAAAGGAAGAAAGTAAGGAACTGATTTAAACTCGATTCTGAGCGCAACTGTTCACTGACTAATTATATGGCTCACAGAAGTTCTGTTGGGTTCTAGGTATGGAGCAACCCAAGTTCATTCACACACATTCATCAAGAATTCAAGATGCTGTCACATTATAATGTTGGGTGATAATAATACTTGTCCAACCAAATTCTGCAGTTATTTTAACAAGCTCATCCAGGGATTACATTGCTTAAAACGGCAATTTCCAGTCTGATCAAATGCATGCGAATAAGCAGCATAACATGATATCAGTGTATATTCCTAAAACATTCATTGCAAGCATTAGGAGACAATTAAGTGGAACATAATTTGTTCCGACTCTCATGTATTTAAGCTAATTTGAGAAAGGTGCATACCTTGGAACTGGTAAAGGTGGCATATCTCTCCATTGTTTTGTTTCAGTATCAAGAACAAATGTATGAGCAGTAGGTCCTCTGCATTGTGGGCCATATTGTCCAGTCACAACATATATGTATCTCCCATCTGTTACCATTCCCAAGTGTGAATGTGCCATCTCTTTGGGCATGTCAAATCTCCCTCCCCAAGTATTATCAGTAAAATTATAAATATCGACATGTGAATGTACCTACTCCACATGAAAATTAGAAAATGCAGAAATCAGCATTATATAGTAAGTCATTGCAACTAGAAGCCGACATTGATTCAACAGGGCAAGCAAACTTGAAAAGATTCTTCTAAATATCAAGAAACTACAAGGAAAAGGGAACAAGATAGCAGCAAATAAACAGCATATCTAATTTTGACTAACTGCAAAAGCAGGTGCTCGTTAAGGCGTACCATTACTGTTTTATGCTGTTCTACTTAGTTTCACTAAGCTCTGCCAGCTTACATCTCGAAAGGACCGAGTACGACATGAAATCATCCATACCCACCAAACTTCATAAGATCAATGGCAGCCCCATTGAAACCCTTCACCAGCTAACATGAGTTGCAGCAAAACACTAAAGGAGGAACTATAGACAACCATACTATATTTCACACTTTCCCTCCACTGCTTTCAAGTTCTAATGATATAACGCGTTCCCAAGTTCTCTTAATGGGTCTATATGACCAATCACAAAGAGTTTCTCAACTATGAGCAGATCAGAACTAAGAGAACGAGCATAAAGAATCAGAAGAACAGGGTCCTCACATAATCAATTGTACCGTATCCAGCAAAGACAAACAGAAGATTCTTGATCTGGATAGCAGCTCCATCAAGACGCGGCACCGGGGCAGGAGCCATCTTCTTCCAATCTAGCAGCGGTGCAGGCAAATCGGCAAATGTTGCTGACAGGAATCTCTCCGGCACATTGGCTAACTTCTTCTTGTCCTTCGAATTACCTTTTCCCTTAACACTCCCATCTTTCTCAGCTCCCTGCGGAATGATCCGACTGGTTATGGAGATACCGGCGCCAGAGAAAGTCGAAGCCCCGAAACGAGGAGACGACGCCCACAGATAATCGGCGATTAAGCCGAAACCCAGCAGCGACACGCAGACCACGGCCAATCTCGCCGGTTTCTGCTTAGATCCTGGCGGCCGTACCATCTCATCTCACTGTAGCTTTACTCCGCTCTCCGTCGTCGCTGCCGGCGAGATCACACCAACTAGAGAGTAGTTGCGTGCGTCAGAGATATAAAGGATAGGACTTTTTTGTTAGATGTGTATTGATTGAGGGTCTTTTTGTAAAATAGACTTGACCCTATAAAATGCATAAACTTTTACTGCGAATCAGAGGGTTTTTCTGTCTCTCTGGCCTCTGCTCGTTCTTCTTCTTCTTCCTTCTTCCACAATTCATTACCTTTCTTCTTCAATTCTAGTCTCCCTCTCTCTTCTCACTCGCCGGAAAGTTCTAATGCCGGTCGCGTCCATTACTGGAGACAAATCTGCAGTGAGACCAATCAATGACGCCAAGCATTCCGCCAAAAAGACGAAGTCTTTATGCCCGGTTACGCTTCTGGACAGTGTAGCATTGTTACTTAGTTTGTTACTCCCATGAAGTTGGTGAGCATCTCCTCTGGGTTTATGCATCTGCTGAAACTGAATTGACCTTTGCTTCATGTTAATTTTGAGCTCTCTTTGTTCCGCAGACGTGCTTGAGCAGCGGTACTGGCTACCAGTACCCTCCGTGTCACATTCTTGAAGATGTGTGTGGGTTTAGGATATTGCTGGACTGCCCACTAGACCTTTCTGCACTCTCGGTCTTTTCCCCAGTTCCTCCTGATAACGGCTTTGTATCTGATGGAGAAAGCTCGCACATTTCAGCCCGTGATTGTTACGACAAGGAACAGGAGATTCGGAAGAGGCAGAAATTTGGAACACCACTTCATGGGGAAGACTTGATTCACGATGAACTTTGGTACAAAACTGTAAAGAATTTGCACCTCTGGGACCCTTCTTCTATTGATGTTGTGCTGATATCAAGTGTCATGGGGATGCTTGGATTGCCGTTTCTTACTCGTGCTGAAGGTTTCTCTGCAAAGGTTAGTCATGTTAAATTATGTTTTGATTTCTTCAACCTCTGTAGTATTTTCCTTATCATCGCATGGTTTATATGTTTGTGGAGGTCAGATTTATGTGACTGATGCAGCTGCGAGGCTGGCACGGCTTATGATGGAGGATCTTGTCTCAATGAATATGGAATTTCAGTACTTTTATGGTCCCAGGGAGTCTGGTGCTCCTCATTGGATGAGGAGGGAAGAACTTGAGTTGCTCAGGCCTGAAGTTAAGGAGGTAGTGGTTGGCAAGGATGGGAGTGAGCTGGGTGTGTGGATGCCACTTTACAGGTAATTTTTGCTCCGTGTTCTTCTATGATGATGCCTAGAATTGATTCGCTTTCTGTTGGGATGTGATTCTGAATCTTTGCATCCATTTCATAGTATGGGGAAAATGTCTGTTAGATGATAGTAATACTAGAGCCACACTGAAAACACTCCTATGATATGCAGATAGTAAGAGCTCTATTTTGTTGCTCCGTTCATTGATGTGGCTAATTGAGGTCTTATATCTTTCTCACATTTTAGACAAAGGTAACAGGATAGGGAAGCTTTTTATGGTTAGTAGCATCATCTGATAAACATGGTTTGTTGCTTTGGTTGGCCTTAAACTCTATGTGGTATTCTGAAACTTCTAATCATTTTGCTTGATGATAATGGCAGTTTGGCAGATGTGATGGATTGTATGCAGAAGGTCCAAACACTTAAATATGCAGAAGCAGCATGCTACAACGGAACCTTGGTCTTAAAACCATTCAGCTCAGGTTCAGAGATAGGATCCTGTAATTGGACGATTGATGGTCCCAAAAGAAATATCACGTGGCTTTCCTGCTCAATATTTGCTTCTAAACATGCAATGAACTTTGATTATGATGCATTGAGGGGACGCGATCTGGTGTTATATTCAGATAAGCAGTTCCTGCCTTTAATGGATGAAGTTCAAAGCAATGATGCTTCTTCAACCATTCCATCTAAGGATTTATCAGATCTAAGGTGGGATCACCTTGCTTGACTGTGATTGAATAGATTATGATATTTTTCAGCTTTGTTGCAATGGCAATCATATAATAGTAGAGTCTTTTTTACCATCTTCGGAGTCTTAAATCATCTCCCCTTGAACATGGTGCTTTTTAGTAGGTGTTGCAGTGCTGATAAAGATGATTGGAAAAAATTGTCTGAAAGCTTACTGAGTACTGACGAGATTTTAGAAAAAGAGAAATTAGATTTTATTTGCTCATGCATTCTCCAGTCTGTTCAAGCTGGTGGTTCAGTCGTTATACCTTATAATCGACTTGGAATTCTTCTGCAGCTATTGGAAATGATACCGGTCCTCCTTGAGTCGTTGGCAGCAGATGTAAGTAGATGCCTTTTCCTGTGTACATTCCTTGCACTTTTTGCTAGGAAGAGATTTTTAGGCCTGAACTTGTTTTTGGCTTATAAAGAAGATTGGAGTTCTAGATATCTGCTTGGTTGTGAAAATTGGTTTTATGCCCTTATGGATATTATGAGTGAGAGGAAAGAGAGCTGGTGGAGGAGAGAAGTTCTTGACGGGAAAAATTATTTTGCTCACACTTTTGAATGAGCTCAATATGTATATTTATCTATGAAGCCAACTATTTTATACCATCTTGGATTCTATGTTTCTCTTAGTGATGACATAAGATTCTATTACTATAGTCATATACCTTGAATATACTATCTGCTAAGTTTTAGGTTCCTAACTCTTTGCTTTTGTAACTCATTTACCAACAATCCAGGTTCCGATTTACGTTATCTCTTCAATAGCTGCTGAACTATTAGCATTCACTACCGTCGTACCAGAATGGGTGTGTAAGCCACGACAAGAGAAGGTACACCTGTTTTCTATTTCTTTGTCAGGATTTTAACTTCACTTTCAGGTCTCAAAGGTTTCCTCTTCCTCTGGATGTTCCTTGCAGATGTTTTCTGGTGAGCCGATGTTCTCCCATGTCGACCTTATGAGCAAAAGGAAGCTTCATGTATTTTCAGCTATTCACTCTCCTGAACTACTGTAAGACGTTATTCTCCTATCTTATGTTAACCCGTGCATTACATTTACTCGTTTAGCTATGGTAATTTCACGCTTCGGTGTTCTACTAGTTTTTGAGTTTTTTTCTACACTCCGGATATTTGACGCCCTATTTTTTTTTGTAGAATGGATATACTGGCCATTGTTTTAAGTTGCAAATGCAATGGTCCTTGTTTGTCTCAGTCCCTATACATCTTAATCTGTGAATGCAACTCTGAATCATTCAAATTTGCATCATGCTCAAATTAACATTGTCTTCAGAACCACTTGGCAGGAACCTTGCATCATATTTGCTTCACATTGGAGTCTAAGACTTGGTGCTGTTGTTCATTTGCTTCGGCGCTGGGGTGGTGATGCTAACTCTCTACTTATCTTAGAGGTGTGTTTGCTTTATGATTACTAGTTTGTTGTGTGAAGTTTTACTCCAAAATGCTGAAGAACCTTAGAAGGGACAATATAAAACCGTCTTCATCCAATGTGGAATTGTAGGAAAGTACGAGGTTGTTGATATAGTATTACTTTTCAGGATGGGGTTGATGCTGATATTGCCCTTCTGCCTTTCAAGCCTCTGGAAATGAAGGTTCTGCAGTGCTCTTTTCTTCCCGAGAGAAGGTAAGCAACCAGTTAAAGTGCTCACTGTACTTACTATGTATCTGCAGTATAAAACCCGAGTATTGAACATCTATGTTCTGAACTACTCACTTCCCGCTCTGAGTCTTCATTCAGTCACACAAAACCATTATCGTGTTGGGATTATATCTGAAATCTATTATCTGGAGTGTACTAGACTTCTGGAGCAAGCACTAGAAATGCTTAAAATAATGTTAAAAGTTGCTCAAATCAACTTGTTCAGAAATGGGGTCTCTTCACTGTTATACACGTTAAAAGGTTCCACCCTCTTGGTCGTCTTCCGAAGCTTTCAAATGTGCATGCATAAAACTCTGACCTTTTTTCTTTCATTTTGGGTATGTCAATGTTATAGGCTACCTAAAATTGAGTGTCTGCTGAAGTTACTGCAGCCAAAGATTCTGGTGGTAAGTCATTCGCTCTCGTCCCCGTCTCTGGTCACTTAGTCAGTATCTCCACTTTATCAACTTTTGTCTCTGTGGAAAGCATTGAACCTTTGTTTTTCTTGCATTAAAATGCAGCTCCCTGATGATCTGAAGGAGAAGCTGGATTTCTCAAATCCCAGTTCGGACAAATTTCCAGTCCTCTACTACACAGAAGGCAAAACATTATGTTTACCAAGCTCCCCAGAAGGAAGCGTGGACCTAGAAATCGCATCTGTTTTGGCCGAGAGGCTTGTTTGGCAAACCTTGGAAAAGCATGATGTAATGTACACACGATTGGAAGGAGAGCTAGTTATGGAGCAAGGCAAATTCCGGCTACTACCTGGAATCGCAAGAGCAGATTCGCACCTATCAAAAACCAAGGAAATGAAAACCGATGCAGGTTAGTCCCAGTTCAGCAAGCTGCTTACCACTACGCTGGACATCGCCCGAAAGGCTCTCGAACCATCTTCATACAAAGGTCATTCATGGATGATGGATCCACAGAAGGAATTTGCCATGTTGCATACAGCCCTCGACTTAAGCACCATTTGCCTACTAACCTGGATAACACAGAAGATACTGTAATAAATGTAAATGTAATGGTGGTACCAAGTTCCAGCTGTCACTCTAGACTTCTATATTATACTCATCTTTGTCAAAATTCCAGCCTACCATATGGGATGGAGGTTGAGATTGGCTGACAAGATGCTTTCCAGAAGCTGTTGTTTTTCTTTATTTCATTTGTTGACTACTGAGTAACACAGAGATAGAAAGAAATATATAACATACAGAGGGATATAGCTCACAGATGGTCTTTTCTTTTTCCTTCTTTCTATTTAACATAACCGGGCAAATCTGCTCAAACATTGGTAAAAACTTGTCCCTTCCTACAATATAATCATTAACATCCACCCCACATAGCCAAAAGCCTTCTTCAATCCCTAGTTGAAAAATTGAAAAAATGGAAACCAGATTAAACAAAAAAAGAGAGGCCAACACCAAACTATACACGAGTAAAACTTCCCAGGGATAAAAACAAAACAAAAAATTACAAAAAGAGAAACACCACCACCTAATCATCATTACAATCATCAACATCACCACTCATAATAACAGCAGCACCATCACCACCAGCAATGCTGTATGTTCTGTTGCCTGCCTGCCTGCCTGCCTTGCTGCTGCCGCATCACCACCACCAATATTAATGGAAGAAATATGCAGGAAAAAGGAAAGGAGAAGAAAAGGGCTGCCATAGAGTCTGTCTACCATCCAACAGTTATTACACAGGTATGACATCATTCCTGGAGGTGTCTTCACATCTCAACACAATGCCCTCGAGACTTGCAGGACAGATGCACTTTCCCCACTGACAACCCGTCGTGAAGGGTTCAGGAGGTGGTAGGATCATAAGCACATTGTCATTCCTTTGAACAACTCCCATTACGCTCACTGTGCTTCCTTCTTTGATGTATCTGTACACAATAAGAGGTTAACAACAACAACATAACAGTGAGTATAACTGTCAAACCCAAACGAACATGTAGAAGAGAACAAATACTTACGCTTCTTTTAACCGCATCATCCGATCATCGCTCGATAGATTCCTCTCAGCCAACCATCTCGAGAAATCCCGAGACATTTCTTCAGAACCCGCATTGATGTCCATGACAAAAGAGTCATCTACATAGGGCGTCACTCTTGCTCCAAACCCTGTTTTAACCAACGCTCTCAATCCCGACTGGAAGTCAGATATGTAGAAGTCAACCGCACGACTCTGCCAACAAAGATTATCAAACTTTTAATGGAGATATATCCCACTAAGGTATATGGAAAAATGGCATGCATAATGGAACATTTAGGAAAATAACCAAAAGACAGGTATGATTTAACCATATGTATCAATGTTGATCCGATCTTGAGCTGAAGATAATTCCCCAAGTAATAAAACATAGTTTAAAAATGACAAATCTCTACAGAGTCACAAGAACGAAAACTGTAGCAAGTACAAGTTCCCTCCTCATATATCAGCAAAAGTGCACTTGCAAATGAATGTAATTGGCAAGAAGATGCATGAACTGGAAGGATTTGGTCACTCACTTCTAGAGATCTGAGCCCCCAAGTGAAACGGCGATGTTTAGCATTGGCAGCTTTCGAATCCCATCCTCGATACTCGTACAAACTGGTGGATGTATAAACACATCTAGGAACCTTTTGGAACGAGGACTCCAGAGGAACATTGCCACAGGTAACCACCTTCAAAGTGTAACCAAGTCAGAACATTCTGGGTCTAGATAGAATTGGGTTTTCACTTCAGAAGCACAAGTTTTGCAACCATATGAATTGAAACCCAAGCAAGAATAGGTAAAGCCTAAGCTATTAAGACGAATGAGAGATGCAAGGCCAGTTTTTAAACTAGCTATAGAACTACTTGAGGAGAAGCATGTATACATACCCCAGAGATCTTCACAAATTGCCCATTTTTGGCATTTCGTAACTCAGCATCTGGATACTGGGCAATGTAGCCCATGATAGCTTTCCTCCCAAAACAGTTATTCCATATGAACAATGCAGCGACAGCACCAAAAAGAACCACAACAACTATAAGAAGTATGGGATTATGGACTGCTCCAAGGATAAACCCACCAGCAATGAAGCCCATTACAAAGAGTAGAATCAGTGACCAAAATATTGGTTTTGGAAAGTTCTTTTTGAAGGAAAACTCATCATCTTGGCTGAGAATAGTGACAGCCTGATTGTGAACACCAGAATTTGGATTCTTGATCGATCCCATAGATTCCAGAGGACCAGATACCTTACGAGGAGCCCCAGAGGAATTTAGTGGTCCTGAAGAAATAGGCCCAGATGTGATTAGGCCAGTTGCAGGAAGAACAGGAGGAATAGGGCCAGAGTTTTGTCGACCGGAGGGTGTCACTCCACCAGATTGAGGACCAGATGACTTCTTTAGTGGTTCGCCGTGTTTGTTAAGGGGTCCAGAATTTGATTTCTTTAGAGAAGCTGAGCCAGACATGGCACCCGACGACGCAGCACCTGACGTAGTGTATGCAGCCCGAGCAGCTGCATTGGGCATAATTGGTCCAGAATGTGAAGCAGCACCCCCAAACGATCCCGTCCTTGAAGGTGCACCAGTAATAGGTCCAGACTTCCTAGACTTTGAGCCATCCACAGGGATATCAAACATCTTCCCCAATTCTCCAGACTTCTTGATATCACCCCCTGTATATGGCATTGCCACAGAACTCATTGTTGGACCTCTTTCCTTTGGCTGCTCAGGCCGGCCTGATACATAGAGCCCATTGCTGAGCTGATGAGATGGGAAACGGGAACCCATCTATCTAGCTTTCCTAATGCACACCACCCAGAAGTAATACAGCTACCTCCGTTGATGCAATGATCAAAGCACTCCTACAACAGAAGGAAAAAAACAATATAATGTTAACAAGTTCTCCTATACCCACAGTACAATAGTAGAAGATATATGGTTTCACTTCAAAGCATTAAGTATCTCATGGATATTAATTGGAGGTAAAATAGTTACATAACCGGGATAACCACTATAACATTCTGAAGGGACTTTATAGCATAAGAATAATATATAACCGAAGTCAGACAACGAGATGCACGTAAGAGACAGAAGCTCCCTCAAAATAAGCTAAGAACCAAAGTAATATAACAATGTTAGCAAAAGCTTTAAATACAGTGAGGAACAAGAACCATTGAGACTTGAGAGTCCACATTGTCAGCAGAAATCATTATGCAGTGATCTTTAAATACCATGGCATGTCTGAGATCATATGAGCAGCAAAACCTATGCTAAAAACAACTCGCATTTGAAGCAAAGAAAAGAAAAACACAAGATGTTGTGTTCAGCACAATATCAAGACCAGTGGGAACATAATGCTTGAAAAGGAAACAAAAATACCACAGGAGACAAATAAATAGTAAGACAACTCATTATTACCAATGACGGTTAGCCAGGTCATGTTCAGCTCAAACACCAGCTAAGTTTGACACATAAACAACAGTTACTAAATCAACCCTCGTCTGCTCCTATTTTCAAGAAATAAGAACCAAGAACAGTGTGTTAAATTAGCCCGCTCTCCATGACATACTTGAGAGATTGAAAAGGTTCATCAGTACCCCAAATGCTGTAAATATGCAGATAATTAGGAACTCCTCCAAATATTCACTCCTTTCGGAAAGCAAGCAAAACAAAAGGATGGCAACTCTAAAAATAAGGTGAAACAGGACATAGTCACATAAGATTCAGTGGTTTCCTCGTAAAAGTGGTTGCATAGTCTACTGCCTTGAAACACCCAGAATTCACTGCAGCAAGGAAGTCAAACACACATTTCGTCCAGATTCCCTAGTCCTAAGATTCCAATTCAAGAGCCCAAACATGTGAACTGAACATTTGACTATCCAGGCTTCAACAAATCAATATACACAATCAAGATCCATTGAGTTGGCTAAAACCAAGCTCCAATACCTAAACAGTAAACACCATAGCTTGAGTGTTCTTCTAAAATCACAGCATTCTAGCATTTTACTCTCAGTTCATCAAAACCTAGGAGCAGATAAACTGACAAGGGCGACGTTCCATCCCAAGTAAGAATCAGCTAGAATAACAGTATTTATACATACCCATTACCCATAGATTCAAATTGAACTTGTCCCATCTGAGAAAAGTGAAACCCATATCAACATTATGCACAACTAAACAAGATCTAGAGGAAATTAGGAGCTAGAATTCCAAAGATCTCATCCAATAGTGGAAGTTCGAGAGTACCAGATGAATTAGAAACAAGAAAAAAGATCCAGCGCACTTAGAACTCCCAAAAGAGCATCCAAATCTTTAACCAATAGTTTGAGATTTCACACGACCCGAGTACAGGATTTTGGGCCAAGAGATAGAACTTCAGAGCAGAAATCCAGAAAACGAGACGAACCCAGGTCGCCATTTAGGGTACAAGCCCAGTAAATGGGAGAGATCTAAGCAGAGAAGTACAGTTTCGGACCCAAATAATAGAGGACCGCCATGAATACAGAGTTTGGGAACAGTCGGAAAGAAGAAGAGCAAAAAGATAACAAGAATTAAGTACATACCTCAAGAAGCAGAAGCCGAAGAATACGAATAGAGTGAAGAGTGAGCAAAGGAAGAAATCTGAGGAAGATTAGGGGACAACAGCAACAACACCAATAACAATAACATGGGTATGGTGAATCAAAAGGACAAGACTTGGTTACTACCAATCAGCACTACTTTCTCTCTCCTTCCTCCCCCTCCTCTCTCTCTCTCTCTCTCTCTCTCTCACTCCCTGTGCAATATCTCACACACACTCTCACACACTGTCCCCTTCTATCTCTCTCTCTCTGCCTCGCCCTCAATTTCTCTCACTAAAAGGAAGAAGACTCCCTTTCTCCCTCTAAAGTTGCCATTTTTTTCCCTTCCATTTGTGCTTCTCTTCTCTTCTCTTTCTTCCTTCCTACCGTGTTTTCTTTGGCTGGTGGGTTCGTGGGAGTGTCACTTGAGAGAGCCGCAACAGCTGGTGAGTTGTCTCGTCCAGCAAACCAATTATTTTCCGTTTCCAATTTTCCCATTTTAATGGCAGAAACCTAATCTCGGCGAAGGTTATGGGGTGGGTAACTCCTTTCCTTATTTTGTAATTGAAGTCTTATGTGATAATGTCAAGCATTAAACTCTAATCTAAGCTAAATAATGAACTTTGTATTACCATCATGGTAAGTTGCTACCCTACTAAATACAATTTTAATCATTATGGTGTTTTTTTTTGGAACAAGAAATGCCATAGTATACTATTCCACCGGTAGAGGACAAATATATATTAGACAATAACGTAATTACATGTTTGATAAATAACGTATATAGTAACGCTTGACGTATTTCTGGAGTATATCGTAGTCTAAAAGATATGCTATCTTGATGTATTTTGTTATACTTAGACAGATCAAAAATGCAAAATGTTAATGTCAACTAAAGTGATTTTCAAGTTTGAGTTTAAAGAACCGAGGCCGTAGTTTATCCGTTAGAGGTTATTGAAAGATCATACCTCAAACTCTTTTTAGCTCATGGTTCAGATAAAAATATATCACTATGTGTACCAGAAGTATCGCAGATTTTAAAAAAGACAGCAATATAGCATTATGACTTACACTAGTGAATACCGATAAAATGGAAATAAGTAAAATATATACGAGTATAATAAGGTCATTTATTGTTAAGGAGTTGGTCTCTAAATGAGATTTTCCAAATTCGACAAATCATTGGATTTTTTTTAAGCTTTATGATTAATCAAAAATTGTATTTGAAGCTAGGGCAACTTGCAACCTCCCTCTCAGTCAAATCATTGGATTAAGAATACAAAAAACTAAATATAATATGTAATTCCATAAAAATTGCGTCATTTGACAACTAATATTTTGAAAAACAAAAATGTAGGACAAATCTAATGCAACGAAAATCTAGTTCAATAGGAAAAGAATTCAGAACGAAATATCACATATATTATTGTATATGATCTAATTTTATATTATCCAAATAAAAAAAACACCACATTGCATTGTTTTTTTTTTTACAAATGGGATTTTATTGCACTTCAAAAGATCAGTTACAAAGAGGGAGAACGAACCAACAATCTGGTTCCAACAAGAGGAAGCCCAAATGCATCCGGTTACAAACAAAGCTGTGTAAGACAAAGTGCAGCAACAGAGAACAAAACACAGTCTGCAAAGCAACCATACGGAAAGAGCAAAACCCTTGACCGAAAACAGATCATCAAGAAACTCTCTTGTAAATAACCAATCAAAGTGCAACAAAACCAAAATCAGCTTGTTCGATCATATCGAAATCCATGGTAGTTGAACATCATCACTCCATGTGCCGCCTCCTGGGGAAAAACTCAAAGGCATCCATCACAGTGAATCTAGAAACTAGACTGTATGGCGGTGGAAGAGGATATAACCAGATTGCTCCAAGCTGAAGAGGCAGAGGAGGCCGAGGCAGAGAGATCAGGTTCGAAGAAAGGTAGCCACAAACCTCCACGAAAACACCGAATCCCAACCGCAACCACCGGAGAAGACCCAACCCACCACCATCCGACAGCTCACCAAGCCACTCAGACACCTAGGGAGGTCGAAGAGGGGAAGAAGGGAATGGCTTCACCTTGAAGATGATGCCACCAACGGGGGACAACCCACCATCCAGATCTGGAAGAGGCTCCCAAGTTGTAGACTCCAGCTCCTACGACGAGCAAGCCCAAGAACAAGGGCCTAGATCTGAAAGAAGAGCCATAACTCGACTAGAAATGAGAAAACTGAAAGCCAGAACGGCTGGAAATCCGATTGAAAACTGCCCAGGACCCAGGCAAGAGCACCAAAGCAAGAAAAGGAAACAAAAGCAGGAGAAAAAAAGTTTTGGGCTACCGCCGGTCACCTAAAAGGAGCCAGCGGCAGCCCCCGGAATCTGAAAATGGAGGCTGGAAGAAGAGAGAAGGCAGAGCTTCTTTCAAAAAGGGAAAGGTAGAGAGCTCCTGCTGTCTTGATTAATGTAAATTTTGATGCATTGTATTGTCATTTGGTGTAGTATAACTGGTCCAAATCGATTTGAGTCGATGTAATCCGATACGATACGGACCAAACCCTTTGTACACCCCCTACCCCTAAAACAAATGAACCCTTAAACTGAACTTACCACACCATTGGACCCGGTGTTAAGCAAAATGGGCCGCGAGCCCAACTCCATCCTCAAATTCTACCGTGAGCCCAACTCCAGACAAAGAAATATGCCCATTTAAATGAAAAGGACCCAGCGGTCTGATTATACATTTATACTAAAGGACACTAGGCCCATTTAAATGAAGAAAAAGAAGCAAGAAAGAAAGCCCAGCATCGTGGTACTACACTACAGGGGTCAGGGATACGCGACTATATCCAACAGAGCAAGTGAACTAGGTAGTGGTTCGTTTGAGTACAAAATTATCTAAACCCGAAATGCTCGGATATCGTCGTTGGAAAAGGCTGCGGTAGAATATTTTATGCTGAAATCATGGTTTAACCGTGATTCAATCGCTAAATACTGTCGGTACGGTATGATATTTTCTGATCGAACCACCCGTAAAGTACTAATTTGTTAGAAGTCTGGGTACCTGTTTGTAATTGTGTATATTAATGACGTGAGAAGGGTTAGGGTTCTCGGTCGGCCTAGTATATATTCTTGTGTTGATGGCCGACCTCTGTAACTTTGACGGTGAATAAGATACATCTCCGCCTTGTGCCGTGGACTAGTCTTGACGATACTCGTCAAGGAAACCACGTAAATCACGTGTTCTCGATCGTTCATATTTGTGTTTATGATTATTATCATGGTATCAGAGCCTCAGGATTCTTGATCGCGCCTGACGATTTCGTGTTAAGGGTTTTCGTGGGGAGTTTGGTGTTTACGTGAGGAGCTTGGTGTTACGTACGTGGTGCTCTTCCTATTTGGGTCCTCTTGGTTTTTTTTTTTGCTGCTCTCTGGTTTCTTTTGTGGGCTGTGCTTCTCTACTGAGTGTTCTTGGTCTTCGGCAGCTGTATATTTCTTGGGCATCTTGTTTGACTTATTGATTATGGAGGGACTTAAACCGGATGCTGTGGTTGTTCGCTTCAATGGTAAGAATTTCGCGCTCTGGGAATTGCAATTTCGTCTTCATATGCAGGGTCGTCGCTTGTTTTCCTATTTGGATGGGTCTGCTCCGCCGCCGGCTGATGATGCGGCGCCTAAGGTGCGGGAGGATTGGGCTGCCAATAACGCAGCAGTGATGTCTTCGTTGCTTGGTTCCCTCGAGCCCGGGATTGCCTTAAGCCTGCGTGGCCTTCCTACCGCTGCTGTCATGTGGAAACACTTGGGCGATCTGTACTCTAAGGCCAGTGCTTCGAGGAAGTATGATATCGAGTTTGATTTGGCGGCTTTGAAGCAGGGGGAGTGGGATATCAGCTCCTATTATCAAGAGGCTATGACGTTGTGGACTGAACATGACTTAATTATCAGTTCTCTTGTTTCGTCACCCGCTTCCACTGAGGTACTTCAGGAACGTGCTGGTTCTCGGGTGATGCACTTCCTCATGAATCTTCGCGCGGAGTTTGAAGGGATTCGAGCTTCCCTGCTGCATAGGGGTGTCTCCACGATTGAAGCTGTCCTCCCTGAGCTTCTTCGTGAAGAAACACGGCTGAAGAGCCAAGCGAAGCTTGACATCCATGCTTCGGAACCCGCCACTGTCTTTGCTGCAACTTCTGGACGTCCTCAGTTCACACGTACTTCCTCGGGCGAGATTATATGTCATTTTTGCAAAGAGCCAGGTCACATTCAGTACCATTGCAAGAAGAGGAATACGTGCAATTACTGCAATCTTGACGGCCACCTTATTGCTGATTGTCCGATCCTGGCGAAACGTGGTCGTCATCGTAGCGGGCCCAGGTCATCTCGACCTCGTGGCGGTTATGCTTCACGTCCATCGGGCAGTGTGTATGCCGCATCGGAGGCTGCTCCATCTCCTACTGGCTTGACTTCGGAGGATGTGCGGCGGCTGGTTCAGGAGGCATTGAAGGAGGCGTTTGCAACGGGTATGCCTTCTTCCTCTATCTCTCGTCCTTGGCATTTAGACTCAGCGGCCTATAATCACATGACTAGTGATCGACGGTTATTTTCTACACTTGATTCCTCTTGTTTACCCCTTGATCTTCAAGCCGCTGATGGATCTCGCATGACAGTCAATGGAATTGGTTCTGTTGTTCAAAATAATGTCTCCCTTCATAATACATTGTTTGTCCCTAAGCTTGTCCCAAACCTCATCTCCGTGGGTCAACTAGCCGAGGCTGGTTGTCGTGTTCTGTTTGATGAGACTGGGTGTGTTATGCAGGACACGAAAACGGGGATGGAGATCGGGCGAGGGAGTAAGGCTGGTCGGGTCTATTTGCTGGATAGGCTCTCGAAGTTGGGAGAGACGGCTGGTGGCGGTGGTGGATCGAGTTCGTTTAGAGTATCGGTGAAGTCATTAGTTAATAATGTCGGCAATAAACATGTGTTTTCTTGTTCTGGTTTTTCGGCTCAATTGTCAAACTGGGATTTGTGGCATTTTCGTTTGGGGCATCCTAATTCAGTGAGACTTCGTACTATGTTTCAGAATCATTGGTTATCGGGATCTCTTTCTGGAAATAATTCCCATGAGTGTGTTCATTGTTTACAAGCTAAGCTTTCACAGCAATCCTCTACTGCGAGTGATACGGAGTATACTGAACCATTTGCATTGGTCCATACTGATCTCTGGGGCCCGTCACCGGTGACCTCCCGATTAGGCTTTCGATACTTTGCGCTATTTGTGGATCACGCCACACGCTTTACATGGGTGTACTTTCTTCGGCAAAAATCTGCAGTTTAGTTATCCTACTCATAGGATATAGTGTGAGTATATACTCACAGGGCCGGATGGCCACCCACGTCGCCGAGCCGAAATCAGACGGTGGAGGAAGGTTGGCACCAATTTGTGAGGGGAGGAGAGCCGAGTACATCGGCTGTACCAAGCCCAGACACTCTAGGACAAAAAGTGGGGTTCACTTGGTCC